TGTGCTGTTTGACGATCCCCTCGCCTTGTTGTAGGATAGTACATATGAGTGCAGGTATGTAGCAGTGACAGGGGCATCGATAATGATTATTGTAAATTATCTGGGCGTTGGGAGCCATAGCACTAGGATTTAGACTAGTGCGCATGGCTGTAGCCATAAAAACCGTAGACTATTTTATGGATGGTAGCCATGGCCCGGGATCGAACTCGTGACCCTTCCAAAAAACGAGTGGGTTCTGCAGCAATAACCACTGAGCCATAACAGCATACTAGATAGCTTTATCTTGTCATTTAAAACCCTAATAACACCTGCCAAAAAATGGCAAGCTCCTTTCCCTAAGTGGGGGAAACAACCCTAACCTCTAACCACCCTAAACCCCTACCAACCCTGACCGCTCACCAACCCGAACCCTAGCCAGTAAAAAAAAAACATGATTTTTGGGACCCGAAGCCCTATCCCAAACCCAAACACTATCCCAAACCCGAACCTGTCTTAAGTCCGAGAAGGAGGGACACAGCAGGGTATCACTTGTGGGTGGCTGATGGAGATCACATGATCACGCAAGAGACTAATATACATGGCTACAGCCATGCTATGGCTACCATCCATAAAATAGTGTAGGGTTTTTATGGCTACAGCCATGACATTAGTCTAAATCCTAGTGCTACTGGTGGGATGTGAGTCTAAATCTTGACCATGAAGGTCCTATGCGGTCTCGAGTTCGAGTCTAGGATATATATTTTTTCACACCGAATCGAAATTGCTTCCCAAAATCCGCTTCGCAGCAGCCTTGGAAATTTTCAACGAATTGGGGGAAAAGGAGGTGGAATAGTCTCTGAATCGGTGTATAGCGTCTCGGAAAGGTCGAAAATCGAGCCAAAGGGCAGAGTTTCAGTCTTATATCCATGTAGGCATCAAAAAACAACTTGTGAGACCTATGTACGGGTTGAACAAATATGGGGGGCATCAGCCAAATTTTGGGCTAACATTTGACTGTATTATCCGGGGTCCTGCGTCCAGACGCCGCACTTTAAGAGCCTGCACCGACAAGGACTCACTCAGCGAACGGCCATGTAGAACGCGTGGTAAGAGCAAAATGAGGGAATAATCTAGCGTCAGATACGTAACGACATAAGGAGTAGTATAGGATATTAGGGGTGCTACTCTAAACGCGCTTGCCAGTGACGGCACCGTCCTGCACCTCGTAGTGTGCGGCGGGCGCGCCAACGAAGCCGTCCTGGTTCTCGTTCGACAGCTCCTCGAGCGTCTTGCCCTTCGTCTCGGGGATGAGCAGTGTCGAGAAGATACCCGTCAGCATGAAGAACGCGAAGATCTCGAGGCTGGAGAAGAGGAGGCGGATGAGTCGGGAGAGCTGCACACAAGGGAGAGACGATAAACGCACATGTGCTTGACGAACTTGTTGGGTCCGCCGATGTTGACCATCTTGGAGAATCCGACCTGCGCAACGATGGCGCCAAGCTTGCCGGACGCAGCGGAGATACCGTGCGCGGTCGAGCGGTAACGAGTGGGGAAGGCCTCGCCGGGGACGACGAAGGTCGTCGTGTTCGGGCCGAAGTTTTGGAAGAAGTTGGTCAGGCAGTAGAGGAAGATGAAGGCACCCTTGGACGAGGCGGTGGCAGTCAGCTTGTCGTATCCGAAACCTGGCGAAGAACGTAAGTCATTGCGAGCACATGCAGAAAGATACGCACCCATGATGATGAACAGGATGGTGAGCATGGTGAACCCCATCAGCTGAATGGGCTTGCGGCCCCAGGTGTCAATGAACAGGAAAGTCGCGTAGTATCCCGGGATGAGACCAGCAGCAGACAGGATCAAGTTACCGACACAGATGTTGTGCAGGTTGTCGTAGATGTTCCGGGTGCCGTGGCTGGACGCGCTACCGAAACCAATGGCAGTCAGGATTGTGGAGGTGTTGAGACCAAGACCGTAGAAAGCAATCTGCAGAGGAACGTGAATCAGTGATGCGGTCACATGAAATATGAGAGAGCACACACGTCAAGAGCGAACCACGAGTAGGCAGTACCGAACAGGACCTTACCGTTCTCCCACTTGCCGAAGTAAGCGCAGAAGTCAGCCCATGTAGCACGGGGCATCTCGGCGCGGGGAGCGACAGTCTCGGGGTTGCGGTTGAAGTCGCCGGTGGTGAGCACCTTCTCGATGTCGTCGGTGGCCTGGACGACGTTGCGCTCGATGTCCATGGTGAAACGCGGGGTCTCGGGGATGGTGAGACGGAAGTACAGCGCGACGACACCGGGGATGCAGCCGAGACCGATGAGGAGACGCCACATGTAGTCAACCGTGGGGACGTGGTTGATGGCCGGGTCGGCGAGAATCTTGTGCTTGTAGCCGGTGGTGATGCACAGAGCGACAAGGGCCGCGGCTACGCAAGTCGATCAGTCATCGGTAGAGTCGAGAGGAGCACTGGAGACGCACTGAAGTTACCCCATCCCTGGTTGGCGAAGACAGCCGTCATCAAACGGCCACGGATGCGGGTAGCAGCGAACTCGGATGAGATCGTGGCAGACAGAGGGTAGTCGCCACCGATACCCACACCGACGATGAAACGCCACACGATGATGACACCGATGATGGAGACGGCACCGCCGTTGCCAGCAAGGGCCTGGGCAAAGGTACCGACGATGATGATCATGAGCTCGATTCCGTCTGGAGGGGCTGATCAGCACTGGGAAAACCCAACAGACCGATGGCTGAACATACACATGCGCTTGCGACCGACGACATCCGCGAACCAACCGAAGAAAGTCTGACCGAACAGGTTACCGATGGGGACGGCAACCTTGACGCCGAGGTCCTGGTTCGGGTTGAGCTTGCCAGCAGCAGTGGCAGAGCCCTTTCCGTAGACGAAGCCGAGCATGGTCGCCGCAATGTTGATGGCGAAGATGTCATAGCTGGGGAAGCTGATCAGAAACGGAGGGGAAGCGGGGAAGAAAGATAAGCACGCACGCATCCGTGAAGAAGCCGACACCAGCGACCAAGCAGACCTTGACGTGGAACCAACTGCAGGTAGTATGTGAGCACGGAGTATGGGCAGTGGAAGGGAGAAAGAAAAAACGCACGAGAACTTGGCGTTGTCGACCTCGGCGAGGGCAGCACGACGGCGCTCGTCGAGCGCGTAGGTGGCATCAGCGCCTTTTGCGGCGGAAGCGTGGGACTCGAGGTCAGACATTGGAACAGTCGACGACAGGGAGGAGTCGGTGGGTGGGCAGTCGTGTGCAGAGAGCAGCGAGAAAATCAGAGCGTTTCCGGGCGCTACTTGTATGTCCGCCCATGACTGTCCGAAAAAGGAAGGTTACATTCACGAACGTTGTTGAGTCGCGCTGATCACCGGTGGCTCAGAGTACTACCGCGCCACGTTCGTACTTGGCACACCACCCAGCGCGCGTCCAGGCACATTCCTTTGCTTTTGGTTTATGCGACAAGGAACATATCCCTGGAGAATTCCACACAACTTCACGCACCTGCGCACTGTCCGCCCGCATCCCTCAAACAATAAGAGCGCCAAGAGGTCCCCTCGGCTTTATCATTCTGCAGAGAACGAGCTCGTCACTCTTCAACGTGGTTGTCTGATGAGCATGGCTCGATCTATACAACTCGGTCTAGCTCCAAGAAGATTTCGACCATCAGCTCAAGCACCAACCGCACAAGCATACATTCCACGCATCCTTCGTTGGAAAATTTTCTGAAACGGAGAAATTACAAATGTCACTCCTGAGTCTCAAGAGGTCTCAAGGAGATCGGCGTTGCGGAACGGAACAGGGCCTGGGAAAAATTAGTGGAAGCCGACTGTAACAACTTCGTCATTCTTGGCTACACGATCTGTTGATCTGCCACGTCAAACTCGTACTTCCTTCTCGCTTTTCACGGACGCCGGACAGCGTCGTGCGCCAGCTCGCTGAGCACAAATGCACACCCTAGTCCACCACGGATGATCACTGTACTAGGGCCCAGAGCTATGCGTGTACCGCCGACAGGAAGCCAAAAATCGAAGTCGCCTTGGAATAACTCCAAAGCACGGCCAACCGCCTGCCGACTGAATCTCACACGATGTCCGCATATCATCTCCACCCCCGTGCGCGAACTCGTCCTCGGAGCCGTTCCCTCCTTCTCAGCATTCGCGTGCTCGCCCATCTCCGCTGTTCTCTTCCCGTTCTCGGATCTCGGCACGTTGACGACCCGTGGAAGGTTGCGACCGAAGGACAGGGGTGGGGCCCCGAAGTCTGGAGTCTGCGTCGTCGGCCGCAGCCTCGAAGGTCTGGAATCTTCTGATCCATTGCTTCCTCTGTGCGTTCGCCGGGTCAGGGATAGGGTCCAGGAGGATTGGACAGTGGGCACGCGACCTGCCCTGCAGCCTGCAGGCGTTTGCGGAGAGCTAGAATCGCTCGGGCATGCAATCAGGCAGCACCTCGCTGGTGCAGATAGGCAGTCCAGGCACTGAGTCGTGCTATCTTACGATGTTTGCCCGTGCTGGAGGTGGCGTGGAATCAGGGAGACATCCTCGGTCGCCAGTCGCCGTCTACTTGATCAGGCCTGGCTTACGAATAAGCAGCCCTACATGATGCCTCGCGGCAGCACCACAAGCTGAAGCTCGAGAACTGGGGCGCAGGGCACATCAGATGGAGCTCTTCGAAGAAGCAAGTGATTCAGCGGGACAGGCTCCATTTGCGCTAGACACGGTCGACTGAGCTGTGCAGGCAGTTCGACTTAAGCAAGGAATGAATGCTACCCATCATTGGGCCCCTGCACCATGTACACGCTCCGATCTCCTAGTCCTAACGCGAGTCTCCAGGATCGATCTTTCCGGCCCACTAGCCTGTTTGTTCCGGAATCGTCATCTTCGACTTGGAAGACGAGCGACAACGGTGGGAACGGTCCGCATAACGGGCTATTGCGCGCAGACAGCCATCGATTGTGGCAGCCCGGGTGACGGAGCCCATCTCCGGCATAAATAGCGGTGCGATAAGCCTTGTCTTCCAACGATGTACCCCACTTTCGACTTCAACACGACCGCCGAAGAGGTTGCGACGGCCTTTGCAGAACAGATCAAGGGCAAAAATGGTCTGTCGGCATGAACTGCATGCTGGAATATGCTCAATTCATATCGATAGTCCTTATCACCGGGACATCACTCAACAGCCTTGGATTCGAGACTGCGCGCGTCGTGGCGAAATACGCGAATCTGGTCATCATAACGGGATACAACACAGAGCGGTGAGTTCAGCCCTCGTCGACGGCAGAAGCTCAGACTGATCGATCATGACCAGACTCGGACTGGCACAAGCTGAACTACAGAAAGCAGGCCCTCATGCCGAAATCCGACCACTCGTCATAGATCTCGCCTCGCTTAAAGACGTGCGCAGGGCGGCTGCTGAGGTCAACGCCTACGCAGAACCCATCCACGTCCTGGTCAACAACGCAGCCGCTGCAGTCGGAGATTTCAAGCTCAGCCCAGAGGGCTACGAGAACCAACTCGCAACCGACCATCTGGGCCCGTTCCTCTTTACCGCTCTCATTGCTCCAAAGCTCCTGGCCGCCCGGACCGAGACCTTTACTCCACGGGTCATCTTCGTGTCCAGCCTGGCGCATCTTTTCGGGGGTGTGAGCCTCGAGACCTGGGGTAAACCCGACCCGGCGTCATACGATTCGATGGCCGCCTATGCCCAAGCGAAGACTGCTAACATCCTCACTGCTGCCGAGCTCTCGCGGCGGGCCAAAGGGGCACTCAAGAGCTACAGTCTGCATCCTGGAAGTGAGTTTGTAGTGTCCCTGCTCGATGCCGTATGCTGATCTCTATGCATTCTACAGTCATCTTCACGAACATCAACCAGAAGGAGGAAAGCGCGGAGAAACAGAAGGAATTGGGTATCCTCCTCCCCGATGGCTCGCCCAACCTCGAGAAATACCAATGGAAGTCGATCCCCGAGGGCTCCGCGACGACAGTGGCGGCTGCGTTTGACCCGCGACTGGAAGATTCGCCAGGGGCGTTCCTGGATGATTCGAAAGTGGCGAACGATAAGCGCTCGCCGCAGGCTGCTGATTCTGTGAGTGACTACTTTTTGTTGTGACTTGTCTATCACTACCTGCTATCGACTCATGCGGGATGCCAGGCTCTTGCTGCAAGACTGTGGGGTATCACGGAGGAGCTCGTCGGTTTCAAGTTTAGCTTCTGAAATCCATCGAAAATATGTCTTGGCATGTGTAAATAGCAGGGGTCTTGGTTCCCCCAAGTAAGATGCGGCAAATGCATTGTAGAATTAGCGTTTGGAGAAAAGCTGATTGGTAAGGAAGGGATGCAGTTGCGAGAATTAGGGCATCTCTTATTGTTCTCCTCTGTCGTCGAGGCTTCCGGTTCAACTTGAACGGAAAGCCAGCTGTGAGGAGATCAGCCTATCAAGGATTCGCACAGACTAGGAGAGATTCAAGTTGTGTTGCGCGATGTCCTTGTCCTTGGTCACACCGATAGAATGATTAAAACCGATTTTGTGTACAGAGGTGAATTTTGGACGGCCACAGCTCGCTGTTACTTTACGTGGATTGTTTTGCTGGAACAGTGACATAGCTGACGATTCCGTTTTAGTCAGCATTGATGCGGTTAATTCCACCCTTGCATTGGCCCCTACAGTCTGATCCTGTTCCCACCTTTACACTGTGTCTTTGTTCGGTACTGCCGGTACTGCCTTTCATCGTAACAGTGCATATTGGAGAAGAGGAAGTTGGCACGTGGGCACGCGGCCTACCCTGCAGGCTCTTTCGAGAATCAGTGAAACCACCTTGCGTGGAATGTCGCAGCACGGTTGCTGGCTATCGATCTGTTGTCCAGGGACACCACCGTTCACATCCTTCGGTATCTGTGCGTGTGGCGGCTAGCGCTAAATAACTGGGGCAGCTTTGGTGGCAGTCTGCTTGGTTGGGTCTACTGGACGACTTTCAGCAGCACAAGCCGAAGCCGAAGACCGAGAACTAGGGCATGAGGCACCACAGCTGGGGTCGATCTTCCGAGAAGCATGCGAATGTGATTGGTGCAAGACTGAGGTGAGTTGAGCTGATCACAGCTTATTCTTGCAGGAAATGGACATATGCGCAGTTTTCACCATTAGCTCGTCCTCGCGATTGCACATGCAGAGATTCCACTACGGCTCTAACGAGCAATCGCTCAGATCACTCAGATTCACTCGCTCGTTTGATCAGACAATTGTCATCCTGGACACGTCACGCATGCGAGCCTGGTGTGGAGGCAGTAATCGATATGCGTAATCCGGGGTAGGGGGCAAAACGGCGTTATAAATGGCGGTGGGGAAGTTCAGTCCTTCAACAATGTATCCCACCTTCGACTTCCACACGACCGCCGAGGACGTTGCGACAGCATTCGCAGAGCAGATCCAGCGCAAAAATAGTTTGTTGCCACTGTCGACGCTGAACTAGGGGAAGCTGACTTGATTGCTGCAGTCCTCATCACTGGGACGTCTCTCAATGGCCTCGGCTTCGAGACCGCGCGCGCCGTGGCAAAGTATGCAAATCTGGTGATCATCACAGGATATAACAAGGAGCGGTGAGCTTCGCCCTCGTCGGTGACAGAACCCCGCAGACTGATCTCTCACGGCCAGACTCGGGCTGGCGCACGCTGAACTACGGAAAGAAGGCTCTCACGCCGAAATCAGGCCTCTGGTCATAGACCTCGCCTCGCTCAAAGACGTGCGCAGGGCGGCTGCCGAGGTCAATGCTTACGCGGAACCCATCCATGTCCTGGTCAACAATGCAGCCGCTGCAGTCGGGGCTTTCAAGCTCAGCCCGGAGGGCTACGAGAACCAGCTCGCAACCGACCATCTAGGCCCGTTCCTCTTCACCGCCCTCATTGCTCCAAAGCTTCTGGCCGCACGGACCGAGACGTTCACACCCCGAGTGGTTTTCGTGTCCAGTTTGGGGCACGAGTATGGATCAGTCAATTTCGAGACTTTGGGTAAACCCGATCCTGCGCTGTACGATTCGATGGGTGCCTACAGGCAAGCGAAGACCGCCAACATCCTCACTGCTTCCGAGCTCTCGCGGCGGGCCAAAGGGGCACTCAAGAGCTACAGTCTGCATCCAGGAAGTGAGCATATAAGCTTCCTGCTCGATAGCGGATGTTGAGCTCTGTGCATTCTACAGTCATCTTCACGAACATCACCCAAAAGGAGGAAAGCGCGGAGAAACAGAAGCAGGCAGGCATCCTCTTGCCTGATGGCTCGCCCAACCTCGAGAAGTACCATTGGAAGTCGATCCCGGAAGGCTCCGCAACGACGGTGGCGGCTGCGTTTGACCCGCGACTGGAAGATTCACCGGGGGCATATCTAGACGATTCGAAAGTAGCGAACGACAAGCTCGCGCCGCATGCTGCTGATCCTGTGAGTAATCCATTCCTTCTCTCTCTGCTCCTTACCCATTCACGTTGGATGTCAGGTCATCGCGGCCAGGCTGTGGGATGTCACGGAGGAGCTCGTCGGCTTCAAGTTTACCTTCTGAAACCCATCGAAACTCTGTCTTGACATGTGTAAATAGCAGTGGTCTAGCCTGGTCTGCTCAACATGTCTTGCGGTGGGCGCATGCGGAGAGAACGGGTCTGCCGTTTCACCTTGTAAGTTGCAGCAAATGTATTAGCGCATATGGGTAGGCACTGGATGACGATCCTTACCTGTACTGGTAAGATTTTCATATCCTTTGTCAATATAAAACTGGTATGATCCAATACAGCTTCTTGTGCACATAGTCGGATTTCTGGAAGGCCACAGCTCACTGTTATAAGTATGTGGATTGTACTGGAACAGTGATGGAAAGTGAGGCCTCGAGGAATCAGCCAGGACTCAGCAGTCATGATTATTCGCATGATGCGATCAATGACACTTCGCATTTGCGTAGTCGACTCCTGTTTCCTCTTTCCAGTCATATTCGGCGCCCCCCGTCCACTATAACAGAGCATATAAGTAACAACTAGGGAAGAGGATGTCTTTATGTGGGCATCCGCCTCGCCCTGCGGACTCTTGCGAGAATCAATAAAACCGCCTTGACGTCGAATGTGGCAGTAGCGTCGCTCCTTGTCTTTTTGTGTTTTGTGGCTGCCACTGAATCAGCGCGGCATCCTCGGTCGCCTTCGGCCTCGTTGAGTCTACTCGATGACTCACAGCAGCATGATCCGACCCTCGAGAACTGGAGCACAAGGGCATATCAGCTGGGCCGGTCTTCGAAGAAGCCTGTGGACTTGGTGAGAATGCCTTGGTTGGCCCAAGACTGGGTGCGTTGAACTGATCACTACTTGGTTCACGCAAGGAATGAATATATGCGTCATTTCGGCTCTCAGCCTTCCTCGCGTTTGGACTAGCGGAGAGCTTCTCGACCGCTCCCCAGGCTTTCAAGAGGCGGCCATTAAGGTCCACTCACGCGTTCTTTCCGAAAATCGTCATCCTGGACACGTCACGAATGCGGGAACCGGGGGAATCCTCTTTATCTTGGATCCCGGTGTGGAGGTAGTGATTGATATGGGTAATCCGGGGGTTGAGGGGCGAGGACGGTGTTATAAATGGCGGTGCGAGAGGCCAGTCCTTCAACGATGTATCCCACCTTCGACTTCCACACGACTGCCGAGGACGTTGCGACGGCATTCGCAGAACGGATCTCAGGCAAAAACGGTTCGTCTGCGCTGTGGATTTCCGAACCGGAAGACGCTGACTTGACGCGCTCAGTTATCATCACCGGGACGTCGCCCAATGGCATAGGGTTCGAGACTGCGCGCGCCGTCGCGAAATATGCCAATCTGGTGATCGTCACAGGATACAACAAGGAGCGGTGAGCTTCGCTCGCGCGTATAGTAGAAGCCCGCAGACCGATTGCCCACGTCCAGACTCCAGTTGACACAGGCTGCACTCCGTGAAGGAAGCCCTCGCGCTGAGATCCGAACACTCGCCCTGGACCTCTCCTCGCTCAAGGACGTTCGCAGGGCGGCTGCCGAGGTCAATGCCTACGCCGAGCCCATCCACATCTTGGTCAACAACGCCGCTGCGACGCTCGGAGCTTTCAAACTCAGCCCGGAGGGCTTTGAGAACCAGCTCGCGACCGACCATCTGGGTCCGTTCCTCTTCACCGCCCTCATTGCCCCGAAGATCCTCGCTGCGCGGACGGAGACGTTTACCCCCCGGGTCATCTTTGTGTCTAGTATGGGGCATGTGTCCGGGCCAGTGAATCTCGAGACGTTGCGCAAACCCGATCCTGCGCTGTATGATCCATTCGGTACTTATGGCCAAGCGAAGACGGCCAACATCCTCACTGCTGCCGAACTCTCCCGTCGGTCGAACGGGACGATCAAGAGCTACAGTCTGCATCCGGGAGGTGGCTATGTTGTTTTTACACTCGATGACCGGAGTTGACCTTCACCCATTCCGCAGTCATCTTCACGAACCTTGCCCGCAGAGAAGAAAGCGCGGAGATATCGAAGGAGGCGGGCATCCTCCTCCCTGATGGCACGCCTAACCTCGAGAAGTACCAATGGAAGTCGATCCCGGAGGGCGCCGCGACGACGGTGGCGGCTGCGTTTGACCCGCGACTGGAAGATGTCCCGGGGGCGTTTCTAGACGATTCGAAAGTTTCCAACGACAAGCTCGCTCCGCATGCTGCTGATTCTGTGAGTGCTCTCTTTTCCGTCGTTCTCTGTTCTGTGCTGCCCATTGACGCTGGATCCTAGGCTGCCGCGGCGAAACTGTGGGATGTCACGGAGGAGCTCGTCGGTTTCAAGTTTGCCTTCTGAAACTCGTCGAATAGCTACCCTGGCATGTTTTATAGCACTGGTCTTGAATTCACCTTGCATCCGACCTGCAATCTGGCAGCATTGTGCCCATGTCGATCCGCTGTCCGGGCACATCGCTGTTCTATCCCTCAGCATGTGCGTACGGTGGATGACGCCTGAGTAGCGGTAGATTTTCGGTGGCCGTCAGCTTGATCAGGTCTCTGCTTACGAGAAAAAAGCCGACATGATGCCTTGCCCCATCACAACCTGGAGCACAATAGCCCTGGAGCGAGCGGTGCATGAGGTGGGCCGATCATCGAAACATATGGACTCGGTGCGACTGGCTTGATCTGTACAACGTACCGTCGGCTGAGCCACAGATCACAGCTTGTCCATGCAAGATGGAGACACAGCTGCATAGGTGGTTTTCGCCCTCAGCTCTCACTCGCGCTCTGCACCTGCTGAGATTCTTCGGTCCTGACACGAGCTTCCAGGATCGTCATTTGGACTCACTAGCTTGTTTGCTCCGGAAATCGGCATCCATACCACGTCACGAATGCGAGCACCGCGGGAACCCTCCTCGTTGTGGAATGCGGTATGGCGAAAGGTATCCCGAGGCAGCGGAATATAGAGGCGGTATAAATGGCGGCGAAAGCGGCCATTCCTTACACAACGATGTATCCCACTTTCGACTTCAACACCACCGCCGAAGAAGTTGCGACGACATTCGCAGAACAGATCCAGGGCAAGAATGGTTTGTTTGCGCTCTTGAGATTGACCTCGAGGACGCTGACCTCGTCCCTGCAGTCCTCATCACCGGAACGTCGCTCAATGGCCTCGGTTTCGAGACCGCGCGCGTCGTGGCCAAATACGCGAATCTGGTCATCATAACAGGATACAACAAGGAGCGGTGAGCTTCGCCCTCGTCGATGACAGAAGCTCGTGGACTGATCTGATCCTTCGCGGACAGACTTGGTTTGACACAGGCCGAACTCCAGAAAGGAGATCCCCGCGCCAAAATCAGACCGCTGGTTTTGGACCTTGCCTCTCTCAAGGACGTGCGCAGGGCAGCTGCCGAGGTCAATGCCTACGCTGAACCCATCCACGTCCTGATCAACAACGCAGCCGCCGCCATCGCAGGATTCAAGCTCAGCGCAGACGGCTTTGAGAACCAGTTCGCCACTGATCACCTCGGCCCATTCCTCTTCACTGCCCTCATCGCCCCAAAGCTCCTTGCTGCGCGGACGGAGACCTTCACCCCGCGGGTCGTCTTCGTGTCCAGCTTGGCGCATGAGTACGGAGCAGTGAATTTCGAGACATTGAGTAAACCCGACCCGGCGTCGTACGATTCGTTGGGTGGCTACGCGCAAGCGAAGACTGCCAACATCCTCACTGCTGCAGAGCTCTCGCGGCGGTCGAAAGGGATGATCAAGAGCTATAGTCTGCATCCTGGAGGTGATTATATAGTTCCCCTGCTCGATAACAGATGCCGAGCTTCATCCATTGCACAGTCATCTTCACGAACATCAACTCAACCGAGGAGAGTATACAACAACAAAAGGAGGCGGGCATTCTCCTGCCTGATGGCTCGCCTAATCCAGAGAAGTTCCGTTGGAAGTCGATCCCGGAGGGCTCTGCGACGACGGTGGCGGCGGCGTTCGACCCGCGCCTAGAAGATACACCGGGCGTGTATCTGGACGATTCGAAAGTGGCAAACGACAAGCTTTCGCCGCATGCTGCAGATCCCGTGAGTGCTCCCGCTCTCTGAAGGTTTCTGCCCACTCACGCTGGATGCCAGGCTGTCGCGGCCAAGCTGTGGGAAGTCACGGAGGAGCTTGTTGGTTTCAAATTCACCTTCTGACTGAGAATTACGAAGTTTCTTTATGCGAGGATATAAAGTTGGTCCTCGTCTTGCTTGGGACACGGCGGAAGGATCGTGGAATTCGTAGCAAGGGGTTAGGGTCAGACCCTCATCCTCGAGCTCCCTCATCCCACATTGTGCCAATCGAATTCTATCGTCAAGCTGAAATGGCTCTCGCCTACTCACGTATCCTGATGCACAGTCCACCCAGTCCACACTTCGTAGCACTGCATCACAAACAAGACCTGCTGGCAACGCTCTCTCAATCCTTCCCGATACCGCTCATTCTCACGCGCCGCTGAGTCCTTGCGCAGTGTCGTAGAAACCCGAACGGACACAGAGTTTTGCGCATCTGGAGGCCAACTTAGGAAGTACTTTGCGCTCCGGCGAGTGGGGGCGTAGCTTGGATTGGATTGAGCAGAGGAGGAAGTCGCATTCTCGGGTCAGTAATTTGCCGTTGAACCAAAGTGCACGCACGGGTCAAGGATGAATGCTCGCTCTGAATGTTGACACGCTGCGGCACACCAAGTTCTCGATCTCACTGTGTCCATCGAACGTGGAGTGATGGATGAAGCCGTGCGCCACTCGAGATCTGCTGCAAGCGCCCACTCGAATCATGCATCGCATCGCAAAGTCAGCCGCTTCTGTGGTCAGTTTTTACGGAACGACATTGTCCGCCTCCCTATATTCCTCCTTGAAGACGCCGTAATACTTGTGCTGCCTGCTGCCAGAGTCGCTCTATCTCCTGCGGCTTGCTTCGAATTAGCGCTGGGACTGGGCACGCCATTGGGCATGAGGCATCTATCTAAAGACATAAAGCATCACGCGAAGTAGGGATGCTGGATCACCCGATTCCAACCCAGGTTTTTCCCGTCTATCATGACAGTGACCTCGCAGCCTCTTGACAACGAACCAAGACATGAGAAGTACTACCTGGATCCCATCATCTTTAAAGTATGCTGCGTCTTAGGCAGTGCCAGCCTCCGTACTCACCCGCCGCACTAACCAGGTCGAAGACCAACTATTCAAGGTTCCGCGATACCACTTTCAGCGCAACTCCGAGATCTTCCAAGACACCTTCTCACTCCCAGTTCCCGGGAATGACGACGCAGAAGGCAACTCGGAAGAGCACCCCTTCGTGCTGGAGGGCATCGAGAAAGTGGATTTCGCTTGTTTACTGAATGTTCTGTATCCCCTGTACGGTTTTTCCCCTTCTGCCACGCGAGACCCGCACATTCACCTCGTCTGTCGCACCGCACAGGGATATCCCCCAGATCTTGACTTCCACGACGACGGACGAGTGGATCTCGGTGCTCAAGCTATCGACGCTCTGGCGCTTCCTCGATGCGCGTGATCTCGCCATCAAGCAACTTAACCACAGAGTCACTGCCGTGCGACGTGTCGTCCTTGCCCGAGACTATCACGTCGCAGACTGGCTGCGCAGAGGGTTCACGGAGCTGGCCACGCGGGGGGAGGGTTTGGACCAGGAAGATGTTGAACAGTTGGGCTACACGGATGCCGTGCGCCTCTATCAGATCAGGGAGGATGCGATCAAGACTGCGACGTCCCACAAGGTCCGCTATGGCTATGAAGACTCCAGATTCCAGGATGCCAATGTCGAGGATACGTTCGTAGAAGACTTCGAACTAGCGGATATGCTCAGTCGTTCTTACGCTAAGAGTGGGTGTCACTCACATTAGGTACACAACAGGATCTAAATTGATAATATTAGACCCAGATCCATGGGTGACTGGCGAAATGGCATCGCGTCTGACTACGATTCTGTCGGTCAATCAGGAGATTGCAGGTTCGACCCCTGCGTCGCTCATTTTTCCCAACGATCCAATTAAGTTTTGCTACGGAGCTTATGCCCAGCGCTTATCCAAGCCCATTCAGTTTTTGTCGCGACAGGGCTCTCCCAAAAAGACGGATGATTCTCAATGTACGCTCTGTATCTCATACAACCACGCAAGAAAACCGTCTCCGAGGCAATCACCAACTCCAGCACCTTCAATCAGATATCCCGGACCAAGTAAATGCCGAAATCGCAAAGCCTCTGGTCCCTCAAACACGTTCCTCGTGTTCCAAGTCGTATCAAGCAGTTGCCCGGGGGCATACGGACCGATTCCAAAATATTAAACAGCATCCTTGCATGAAAGGTCACCGACTTCGAGGAATTTAGCTACAAAGCGACTGCACTGAGAGGTCTCAGGACATCCAATGCATCGTATATCGCACGCTAGACCTGTTTGAGGGAACAACTTGGATCCGATAACGTAGACACATAGATCACGCGCTCGCAGGTATGTATCACTTTACGATGGACAATATACCTGGCACTGACCGCTACGACATAGTCCGACGACTTTCAGCGTTCACATTCGTCAAGATCACAGCCCACGGATCAGTTTGCGTGCAGCCTCATCTCTCGTACGGACGGCGCATTGGAAAGGAAGCGGATGCCTGTACCCGACTTTCGTCAACGATTCCCTTCCGATCAACTTCATCATACGCACGTCACTGTCATACTAGACCATCCGACGGCGATATCGATTTCCTCTCCCCGTTCGTCGAGTGCCTTGCCGATGTCAAAGACCGACAGGAGAGCGCTGTAGAGCAGGAAGAGCGTCGTTTCACCTAAGAGACGGCCTGCATCTGGGCGTCAGCGAGGGCCGACGATAGCAGGCTGTTGGTTGCTCGTACCGGGGCAGGCGCTGGGGACGTCGATTGAGATGTTGATCAAAAGCGCGCTCGCACCAGAAGCTCACCGTCGTCCGAATCCAAAGACCGTCTTGCCCGGATCTTCCTCCGGTGCTCTGCCCTCGGTGCCGAGAAAACGAGAAGGATCGAATTGCTCCGGGTTCCTGTATCGGCGAGGATCGCGATTCATTTTCCTGCCCACGATCAGGGGGAACAGTGGATCCGAGAAAGGTGCGAGTATACCAGACGTTCGCGATGATCATCGAGTCCTTCGGGATGAGCACAGGTCCCGAGCTCGATTCGTAGATGAACGATTCATTTGCACGATGCGGCAGTGCTGGAGATCCGTCCGTCAAGGCATGCTGCACAAATACCACAGAGGGGCCGACGGACCCGTGGGCGTTGTGACGAACCAGCGCAGCACTTCACGGGACAGTGCGTCCACATGCGGCAATTCGGGTCTGTCCTTGACGGTCGGGAGCCTGTCCCTGCCAATGACGCGATCGATTTCCTGCTGAGCATTGCGTTGGATGTCAGGGTGGAGAGCCATCGCAAGGAAAAATGCTGAAAGTTGGGAAGCCGTCTGAAACGCAGTCAGCTTAAGCAAGGCGAGATGTGGCTATCCTGACCGTGTCACTCGCCCCGTGAACGAGCGTCAAAGGGACTACTCTAGCCCAGTACTCATCTGCATCAGTTTCGAGCACAGCCGTAGCAAAGCAGGGCTCAGAAACACCGGTTGCCTGACATCGTCAGCGAACCTCAGAAGTGACAACTCGGAACACGACGCACCATGCGCTCTCTGACAGCAGCTAGACCTTCGTATCTTGTCTGCTGTAATACTGCATTGATCCGCTTTGCAGCATGATGAAAACCACCGCCAGGCAGCCAGGATGGCCAGTAACGAACTGGGGCTCCTCAGACGCAGAAATGGCAGAGCTAATGACACGTACGGAAAGGGAACAGATCGACAAACGAGGCACCTGGTGTGGTAATGCGAAAGAAGTTATTTGAGCTCTGCTCTGCCATGTCGAATAGAGTGTCGGAGAGGTCCGTTGGACGACTGTGGTTCACCTTGTGCCCAAATCCCAGACGTAGACCTATAGCCATAGTGGTTCTGACACAATTTACATGAGTGTTCGATGGAGACTGCTGATTGACGCGCCGCATCACCTGCGAATATCGTCCGAGAGGACCCCCTGCCGGCCATCCACCGCTCTGAGGAAGGCACCGACCTCCTCCACCAGCCCGGGGATCAGCCTTGATATGGCAGTAGGCGTGCCTTGAAACGCGTGATACAGCTTGCGCTCGCGCCTGACTTGATCAAGATCGCCAGAGGGCTGGGCAAGCGGCAGACTCGTTTCGAATCCACAGAGCCCTCCGGCCATGGGAAGGACGGGGCGTTCGGATGTTAGAGCAGAAGACTGGACGAGCACAGACGTAGCAGCCTCCAGTGTGTGCAACAGGATGGTTGTGCGGCCCGGCATTGCTAGGGAGGTGATTTCGCCTGCGGCTGCGTGAGATAGGGGACCCATAGAGAGGAGAGAAAGGAAGAAAGTACCGTACTTGTCCCCCATGGCAGAGAAGGCCAGCCACGGCTCCTTTGCCGGTATATCGAGCAAGTTCCCGATAAGCGGCAGACGGGGCGGACCAGGCGGAAGAGAGGGGCGCATCTTCCTCGTCCAACTCCAGATGATTATGGACGATGTGATGACGAGAAAAGGGAGGCACTGAGTCGTAGACAGCGACATGAGATTGGGATTCGAAGCAGGGGGCTGGATGTCCTCTTGTATGAGGTCAGATAGATCCGAGTAGAGGGCTATCATCACCGGACCACGAGGTGGCTGGAGCTGGCACAATCCGAATTGGACGTGGCCATAGCCAACTTGAAGCGTTCCGGCCTTGATTCGAGCCGTCAGAAGCTACATCGACTTTTGAAAGTCCTTGGTAGTTGGAGATATCGATGAAGATTGAAATCAACGTAGACGAGTTCACGATTCCAGAGTAGTGTCACGAGCAGAGCCACCAGAAGCGATGGCTCATAGTTACCGCTGGCCGGTCACCGTCACAGGGCTTTCACTCGCCCATTCCCAGAAGCCAGCCTTTTATCCCTTTGTTGGAGAATTCGCCGTACCCCCTCCGAGTTAGAGCATGCACAGCAGTCTGCCGATCTCTCGTCGCCCCGAGGAGGCCTGGACCTCACCCACGCTGGGTACCAGTCCCACTAACGAGGCGGGTGTGTGCGTTGGAACGCGTGGTACAGCTTGTGTCCGCATCTGACTGATGGAGATCGTCAGTGGAATGCGGAAGGAGTATGGTCGTGTCGCATTCGCGAAATGTTCTCTAGTACCCTAATCAAGCCATGGCTGAAGGTCGTTTAGAACGATGGTGAACAAGGAGGCCTATAAAGCCTGAGCAGTTGAATGGGCAGAGAATTGACGGCGTAATAGACTGCAGATAAAGGCCAACAAGCCTTCGATATCCTTAGAGTTGGTCAAGAGACGACAACCAGAAGAAATTGGGCAGGTGTAGGCTCAGTGTGACATGTGACTTGACGTTGTCATCCTCGCCTACTTACTACCGTCAAGTACTTTCGCTTATTCAATAGCGTCATCATGCCGGAGGACGATCCTTCAGGCGTGACTACCTGTCGCTTGGTTGAGGAAGGGTCATTCCGAGGAGAGGCGGGATGCAATCATCTCAGGTCCAAGTTACACGCACCTGCATACATGTGCGTTTGGCGGCATACATCACAGCGTTCACATTCATTCAGATGAAAAGAGCATCCATATGTCTCATACGATCTACGTCAGCATTCAACACTCAAACGGGATGCACCCGGCCTGAGTCTGCAGACCTACTGCATGCCGATTCACGTATTAGTAACATATGTTCTGTGTCTTGGGCATTTGTCATTGGGCTGCGGCATAAATGCTCGTGGCTCAATTACACCGAGCTATCACCCCAACAAGCCTCCCGATCCCCTCGAAATGTCTTACCCAACTTTCAACGCCGATACCACTGCCGAGGAGGTCGCAACAGCTTTCGCCGACCAGATCGAGGGCAAGAACGGTGTGTCCCTCATGAAGAGTTTGTTGGCGCGCCCATTGACCCCGGCGATTCCGCAGTGCTTATCACCGGAACGTCTCTGAACGGGATCGGCTTCGAGGCAGCGCGCGTCATAGCCAAGTATGCCCATCTCGTCATCATCACCGGATACAACAAGGAGCGGCAAGTGTGGCTTGCCCTGTGGCGAGCAGCATTGGGCGCTGAGCATCGTATTGTAGATTGGAGCTTACGCGAGCTGCATTGGAGAAGGAGAACCCCAAGGCTGAGATTCGGCCACTGGTTCTCGATCTTTCTTCGCTTGAGGACGTGCGCCGAGCAGCTGCCGAGGTCAACGCGTACGCCGAGCCCATCCATGTCCTGGTTAACAACGCCGCTGCCGCGATCGGTGGTTTCAAGCTCACCGTGGACGGCTTCGAGAGCCAAATCGGCACGGACCACATCGGCCCGTTCCTCTTCACGGCCCTCATCGCGCCAAAGATCCTCGCCGCACGCACCGCGACGTTCACCCCGCGCGTGGTCTTCGTCTCGAGCTCCGCGCACACTTACCAGGCGTTGGATCCCGAGAAGCTTGCCAAACCCGATCCGGAGTCATACGCCCCGGTCAACGCGTACTCCAATGCCAAGACGGCGAACGTGCTCACTGCGGCCGAAATCTCGAGGCGGTCCAAGGGGCAGATCAAGGGATACAGTCTCCATCCCGGATGTGAGTGCGCTGTGAATTACATATAATTCCGGCATTGAGCACGCCTGTTCACCCCAGTTATCTTCACCAACATCAATCAGAAAGAGGAAACCATTGTATTGGGGAAACAGGCAGGCATCCTCCTCCCCGACGGCACGCCCAACCACGAGGCCGTGCCGTGGAAGTCGATTCCGGTGGGCGCTGCGACGACTGTGACCGCTGCGTTCGACCCGCGCCTGGAGAGCGTTCCGGGCGCGTATCTCGAGGATTGCGTCGTTGCGAACAAGAAGATTGCGCCGCATGCTGCTGATCCTGTGAGCCACGTTGTTCTCCTGTCAGGTCTATCGCCAACTCACGATCGATGCCAGGACGTTGCTGCAAAGCTGTGGGACATCACAGAAGGGCTCGTCGGCGTCAAGTTCAACTTTTGAAGATGCCATACTCAAGTATCTAGATTACTTTTCGCAATTGTGTCAGTCAGTACGAACGATAATGTCGCTCGTGGGGCTTCTTACCAGTGATTTGGCCATTCGTACTCAATATGTAGAATGGCGATGCGGGACGGACGATGCCCAACAAAACGAGGCAGACATTGCGCAGTCGTCTCGCTGATCGTCTCCATACTATTCGAGAGAGACAAAGGATTCAACACTATCAGGAGATAGCTCTAGCCCATGTTGCTCCCGATCGACATGGTGGTTCTAGTGAGAGCACTCTCAGAGTGTTCATTGAGTCTTGTGAGTTTACTGCAGCCCCTGACAAATATGAGCTAGCAGAGCCCTCCGCCAGACATCCATCTCCCGCGGAAAGGCACCGGAAAGGCGCCAATCTCCCCAACCAATCAAGCTAGAGTCCAAACGCTGCAGTTGTACGGTAACACGCAAGATATAGCTTTCGCTCGCATCCGACTTGATTAAGCCCTTCTGTTCAAGTTCAAGGCATTGGATTCAAGCCGATTTTACGGAAATCAGTGCAGGAGATTGGGCGAGAACGAGGTGGCCGCCAAATGCATAGTAGTCTGAGAAGCAAAATTGTGTGGCCAGGTTTCGTCAGGGATGTGGTTTCATCTTGAGTTTCACAAGAAAGAGAGAGGGAAAGCTGAGGCGGACACGACGCGAAACGAGGACGCACCACATTGGTCTTACATCTCAGAAAAGCCTAGTCAAGCGACGACTGAGGCCGTACTTAAGTAAAGTAGTGGTCGAGATCGCGTCATGTGGGGGTATGTAGAGCTAGAGCATCGGATTGAACAGTAATTCGAAAGAGTAAGTCCCTATGATTGCGTGACGAAACGCGTCTGATGACCTTGAAGTTGGTCAAGACGTACACGACGAGAAGGCACGTGAGCGTGTGCTGAGTGTGACATGTGACAGTGCATCACTCGGCTCTCGACCAGTACGCTCAGTATCAACTATGCTATCGCTCAGTATTGTCGCCGTGCTACAAGACAAGAGCTGCCCGAGGTCCTCCAGATTTTAATTCCGGTCGCATGGTTGTGGACGTGTGCACTTTGGGAAGAGGCTGGAAGCGATCATCCAAGTCTGCATACTGTCTGCTTTTGGCCGCTTGCATCACGGCGTTCAGAACAGTTCTAGACAAGATATATCCGTCTCATGCGATCTACATCAGCACTGCGCGGCGAATGGGCAACACCCGGCTTGGTTTCGCAGACCTATCGCCCGCCGACCTGGTATTGGTAACACGCATATCCCGGTCAAGGTCGGAGAAGCGTGGTCATCAATATCCTCAGTCACCCAACACATAGACCGGGATTACCTGTCTCTCTCGGGCATCGGCCATTGAACTTTGGTATAAATGCTCGTAGCTTGAGAACACTCAGCTATCAGCCCAACAAGCCTCCAAATCCACTACAGATGTCTGACCCAACTTTCAACGCGGATACCACTGCCGAGGAGGTCGCGACAGCTTTCGCCGACGAGATCAAGGGCAAGAATGGTGTGTGTCTCCGCAAGAGCTTGTTGGCGCGCCCATTGACCCCGGCGATTCCGCAGTGCTCATCACTGGAACATCTCTGAACGGGATCGGCTTTGAGGCTGCGCGTGTCATAGCCAAGTATGCCCATCTCGTCATCATCACCGGATACAACCAGGAGCGGTGAGCGGGGCTTGACCTGTGAAAAGCAGCATTGGGCGCTGAGCATGGTATTGCAGATTGCAGCTCACAGAGGCCGAGCTGGCGAAAGATGGACCCAAGGCCGAAATCCGAACTCTCGTCGTCGATCTTTCGTCGCTCGAGGACGTGCGGAGAGCAGCCGCCGAGGTCAACGCGTACGCCGAGCCTATCCACGTCCTGGTCAACAACGCCGCTGCCGCGATCGGCGGATTCAAGCTCACCGCGGACGGCTTCGAGAGCCAAGTCGGCACGGACCACATCGGTCCGTTCCTCTTCACCGCCCTCATCGCGCCAAAGATCCTCGCCGCGCGCACGGCGACGTTCATTCCGCGCGTGGTCTTCGTCTCGAGCACCGTGCACACTTACTTTCCGTTGGATCTGGAGACGCTGGCCAAACCCGATTCGGAGTCGTACGCCCCGATAAACGCATACGCCCAAGCCAAGGTGGCGAACGTGCTCACCGCGGCGGAGATGTCGCGGCGGTCGAAGGGGCAGATCAACGCGTACAGTCTCCACCCCGGAGGTGAGTGGCTCGTATCCATGCATACGTGCGTCGCTCCCGGCACTAAGCACGTCTGTTCACTCCAGTCATCTTCACCAACATCAATCAGAAGAAGGAAGCGATCGAAATGGGGAAGGAGGTGGGCATTCTCCATCCCGACGGCACGCCCAACCACGAGGCTGCGCCGTGGAAGTCGATTCCGGCGGGTGCTGCGACGACTGTGACTGCTGCGTTTGACCCGCGTCTGGAGAGCGTTCCGGGTGCATATCTCGATGATTGCGTTGTTGCGAACGAGAAGATTGCGGCTCATGCTGCGGATCCGGTGAGTCGCGCTGTTCTGCTGTGAGAGAGATCGGCAACTCACCATCGATTCCAGGTCGTTGCTGCAAAGCTTTGGGAGATCACGGAAGAACTTGTCGGTGTTAAGTTCAACTTTTGAAGATGTCATACGTATCTAGATTGCATTTTGCAATGGTGTCACAATCAGCATGAACGATGAAGTCTTCCTATTAGTGATTCGGTCATCAATTTCCCCCGAGAAACAGCAGTGCTTTCTTAAAAGAATGACTATCCGGAACAAACGACACGCAACAAGACGAGGCCGACATTGTGTAGTTGTCGCACGATCATCTCAGTCGGAAGAGCTTGGGTCTCAGAAGAAGATACGCCAGGTCTCCAGAAAGAGCTGCTTGTTATTTTGCAAGCAGGTCTCACAAGGTCAACAACCAGTCTGCAGCTGGAACGTGCCTCTTCTTCAGCCTTTTGAAGCCATATAAATAGGATGAAATTGATGTTTTGAATCAGTCACCATACTCGCAGAAATGATTATCTGAGTGATATTGCAAAAATGAGATTTTATGCACAGTGGAATGAATCATGTAGGTAAGTACAAGCACACATTACATTACGGTTTTGACTAATTCTGGCAAGTATAAGGGAGAACGGATGGCTGACATGGGTTTCCTTAGAGAAAACGGCCTTTGAGACATCTCATGCATTTTCCGAAGCTGTCAGCTGACGGCTCAAGGCGGTTCGTACTTATCCTCGAGAAGGTGCCAGCTCTGTCAGCCCGGCTTACGTGAGGCACGTGACATCAACATCGGTGGGCAGATAGCGTTCAGTAGCGCGACTCAAACTGCCACCTTTGAGCTCTCCAATTTTCGATCATAGCCATTCAGGGTCTCGAATGCGCCCACAGCTCTCCGATGAGGCCCGTGGGCACATATATTAGCTGTTTCTCCTCTCTGTTGCTTTCAAACCAGACGCAGTACTAAGCAATTCCCGATCTGCGTCGGAAAACGCCATTCGTCTCCAATGCTCTGGATCATTTCCCAAGAGTCGACGCGACATCCTTTCGCACTCTGCTTGATAATCCAACTGGAGGTATAAAGTGGGGCGGGGTTGGGTTGGTTCTCGACAGAACAAACCACTATTTGCCATGGCAGGAACTTCATATCCCACCTTCACCTTCGACACCACCGCCGAGGAAGTCGCGACGGCGTTCGCGGACGAGATAAAGGGCAAAAACGGTACGTTCGTTGCTCGGGGGAACAGAGCGGAGCGCTGATTCCTGTTGGTCTACTATATGCAGTCCTCATCACAGGAACTTCGATCAACGGAATCGGGTTCGAGACTGCGCGTGTTATCGCCAAACACGCGAATCTGGTCATCATAACCGGCTACAATCGGGAGCGGTGAGTCGTCCCGGCTTTGTGAACGGAACACTAGACTGAGTACCGCGTTGCGCAGACTGGAGCTTGCGCGAGCTGAACTGGAGAAGGAGAGCCCGAAGGCTGAGATTCGGCCACTGGTTCTCGACCTCTCGTCGCTCAAGGATGTGCGCCGAGCAGCCGCCGAGGTCAATACTTACGCCGAGCCCATCCACATCCTGATCAACAACGCGGCCGCTGCCATCAGCAGTTTCAAGCTCACCGTGGACGGTTTCGAGAGCCAAATCGGCACGGACCACATCGGTCCGTTCCTCTTCACGTCGCTTATCGCGCCAAAGATCCTCTCCGCGCGCACCGCGACGTTCACCCCGCGCGTGGTGTTCGTCTCGAGTTCCGCGCACAGGTACCAGGGGCTGAATCTGGAGACACTGGACAAACCCGATCCTAAATCTTACGACCCAATGAACGTATATTCTCAAGCCAAGACTGCGAATGTGCTCACTGCGGCAGAGATCTCGCGGCGGTCCAAGGGGCAGATCAACGGGTACAGTCTACATCCCGGAGGTGAGGGATCTCATCAGCCAGTCATATGGCACGACTGACGCCGTGCAGTGATCCTCACAAACATGAGCGGGAAGGAAGAGATAAAAGACATCCAGAAGGAGCTCGGTATCCTCCTCCCCGACGGCACACCCAACCTCGATATGATGAAGTGGAAGACAATTCCGCAGGGCGCCGCGACCACCGTCACCGCCGCATTCGATCCGCGGTTGGACAGTCTCCCCGGTGCTTACCTGGACGACTCCACCGTCGCGAACGACACGGTTGCGCCGCACGCGTCTGATCCTGTGAGTTGTTTGGTCTCACCCTTGTGTGCACGGCCCGCTCACAGTCGAATGTCAGGCGATCGCAGCGACGTTGTGGGATGCCACGGAGGCGCTCGTCGGTGTGAAATTCTCAGTCTGAGCTTATATAGAGTCGGCTCAGTGGATAGATTGTGCTTTGAACTCTCATATCCATGTGTATCACACTCAGTTCAATCTTGTATCAATTCATTCAGAGTTCACGCATGTTTATTGTCGGCCTGGAAGATTGTCTCCGCTGTGCAATTGGTGGATGGAAGTTACTAAGTCGATCAAGACACGAGTTAGTTGACCAGATATAGCGCGTTCGCTTTCGACCGACTTTGAACTTCCGACCCCGACCTCAGAGCTACGCCGTAGTCCGGCACGTCATGATTTCGAGTGTGGCCCACTTCTGACGTCAGAAACTCCTCATATCACATGACCGTGTTCAATCATTACTGGAAGTTCAACCCAGTGTTGAAGCAACGTCTCAGTGCAATGACAGCTAGCAGACAGGGCATGATATAAGTGTCAATCTTGTAGTGAAACCTTTTCTTGGTCAGAATGGCCGCAAGTTCTCAACGGAGCTTACACCTCTTAAAGAGGAATTTTTGCCCGCAGTCAAGCTTCCCTGCATCCGTGCGACTTATCTGGAAAAGGACGTCCGAGAGTGTAGTGATGATCAAACTTCGACAAGAAACTATACTGCAGAAAAACGAATGAATAAATGAATTTAAGCGCATGGCAAATTCGGGCCAGTTCAGTTCCAAGGTGTCGTACCGCCAACCGCCCAAATCGATCGTGAACCGTTGGTCAGGATCCAGATCAATCAGCATTGCAAAGAGACACGAGGATCGACACGACGGAATAACCATCCATAACTTCGTGGCAATTGAATATCAATGGAATAGTTGCGAGTAAGCACCTCAACTTATACGGACTCGACCTGTAGCATAACACACTTCTCTCCGGTTTCCCAATCCAGCGGAAACAGGGTATGTGCCGTACAAGCAACGGTGTTTCTCCCAGGCGGAATGCTGAAGCTGAATTTGCCGATAAGCTCGCAGAGGATAACTTGCATCTCCATGACGCTAGAAGGACGGTTCTAGGGTTTAGTACAAGGGATTGACAGGTAACAACCCACGCAAATCGCCATCTGAATACTGAGTAAGTTTTCTTGTGTGGGGTGACGCAACCGGGCAAATTCACCCAATACACGTTCGTGCTCCACTTATGAAACTCATCCTGGGTGGTGTGAGATGCGTGAGCGCCGCTAATCTGAAATTTTGGATTCTCACAAATTCGCGTAAGGGCCTATGACGTCGCTGGTATGGGCCGAGCCTCCCTCCAGCCATCGCATTGGATTGAACTCCATCGCGTCTGATCCCCATCGGGACGCCATCCTATCGAAATTAGTTTAGCTGAGCACCGCCAGCTGAGATACAACACCACCTTTGGTACGAGCCAATGGCCATGGTCACGACTTGGCCCTTTCGGACAGGGATGCAATCGATCTTCCGCCCATGGCGATCCAGAACCGGCTCCGATAGAGGGATAATGTCGTCTGCATATGCAAGCCGGTCTGTGACAGGTTCCGCAGGGTACATCCGCAGCGCCTCTTTGACCACGGCGTTGAGCAGCGGTAGTTGATTGTAATGCTGCGCCGGCGCGCGGGCCTGAATTTCGGTGCGGAGTTGTTCTTGAAGTGCGGGGTTGTGGGCGAGTTCGATCAGACAGAAGGCCAGTGCGTTTGCCTGGAACATCCACGGTCAGGTGGATAGACTAACAATGCATGCGACGGGTCCACTTACGGTTGTGTCTTGACCTGCAACGAGCAGGACGGTCGTTTGGGCGATCAGTTCCTCGGTATCCAGCTTTTTGGTTTCCGCGCCGCCCGCTTTTCCAGATACTGCAAAAGTCTGAGGGGAGAAACAAATCCCGACTGCAAAGGCGTACAGAGAAGATCATAAACATCGTGGGTTCCGAGCCATAGCACTAAGATTTAGGATAATGAACCATGGCTCTAGCCATAGAAAATCCATGATAACGTCTGGCTGTAGCCATGGCCGCTCCATGTGACATGGCCATCAATGCACGTGCCACAGAGCCCAAATAAGGAAATTACTTGAGCGTGAATTGAACGGTTGCCCTTCAAAAATCTCAAACCCATCTGATGCATAACCACTACACCATGCATCTGTTCAATCCCATGTCATTTTCCTTTATAGGTCGGGCACTTGAAATGCTTTGGGCACAAAGCCAGGTGAACTACCCTTACCACCTAGCCTTCCAACCAAACCAAGCCTAACCAAACCAGAACCTATCTCTAACCCAAACTTAACCTTTGAAAATGACAATATATGTCCCTAATCCTTAGCGCTAACCCTAGACACGAACCCTAACCCAAACCCTAACTGGCTAACCAGCGGGCCGCAGAGGCGCCCGCCTGTGCCTGCCCATCACAGAAGTTCCTAGATTGTCAGCCGAGTCACGTGCTGTGGTGATTGCATCGAATATCTGTAGCCTAACACCATGGCCCCAGCCATGCCATGGCTACAGCCATACATTATCATGGATTTTCTATGGCTACAGGTGTGACAATCAACCCAAAAATGAAGTCGAAAAGAGAAGTGAATTCGAAGACTGGGGAATACAACCAGGTAGCTACAGTATTTATACCCAAATCCAGTCTGAGTCATATCTACAACTAATGAGTCATAAGACTATGTACCGCATGGAACGCTGGTCATGGGTTGTACTAGAACCTTCCGGAGCATATGTCGCGCAGCCTCGAATCGATAGAGATAACCCCTGGAACCCCTAGCCCGGACCGTCTGATGCCGTGATCCGTGATAAGATAAGTCGTGCCAAGATAAGATAAGATCGTCGATGATAAGATGAAAAAGTGGTCGAACTATGACATTACCCCCTCTCTAGGGTCGATGTCCTCATCGACTAGGCCAATGGGCGTGAAGACGTTCTCGTAGGGGTCGAAGAGTTGTCGTTCGGGATATGGAAGGCGCTCGTCCCTGGGCTTGTAACGATGAATGAGATAGTCCCAGTGTCCAGCTTTGAGCGTTGGCAGGAGGCGAATGCGTGTGTCTGGATTTGATTGTTTCCTCTGCCAGTCTCTCAGGACGCCCTTCGCGTGGGTAAGGTGACGTGATGGTTCCCAGGTGTTCTCGCTGTGCGGCCATCCCTTCCATTTGACCAAGTACTGTTTTCCTCGGCCGACTTTTCGTTCTTTCACGATTTCTTCGACTTCCCACTCCTCTGCTCCTCCGATCATCTTGGCTACGGGTCTCTTCTCTCGGCGATGGGGGGGTGGTTCATGATAAGGTGTCAATAGTGACTCGTTGAACACCGGGTGTCTTCGGTCCGTGTCCGGCAAATCCAGCTTCCATGCGGCCGCTCCAACCTTCTCCAGTATCTCGTATGGTCCCAATCTCTTGTCGCTCATCTTCTTTGATGGTCGATCCGTCTCGATATTCTCCCCTTCTATGTACACCTTCATCCCAACCTTCAACTCCGGAACTTCTTTTCTTTGTTTATCGTAGTATTTTTTCATTTTTTCTTTTGCTTTTTCTAGTGCTGCTTTTGCTTCGTCTTGTATTTCTTTGATTCTTTTTACAAATTCCTCCGCCGACTCGTTCCTTGATTCCATCCTTTGCTCCACTCCCTTCCATGGGTGATATCCGTGATTTGCATAGAATGGCGACATCTTGGTAGACGTGTTCATTTTGTCATTGTATGCGAACTCCGCCATTCCCAGCCACTCCGACCAATCCGTCTGATGGTAGTTGACGTAAATGCGGAGATAGTGTTCGATCTCCTGATTCATGCGTTCGGTTTGTCCATCCGTGATCGGGTGATATGCGGTCCCCGGGTTCATTTCCACACCCAACATCCGATTCGTCTCCTTCATGAAGCCCTTGATGTAACGCGAGTCCCTGTCGGTGATGATCTTGCGAGGGATCCCATGGTAGCGGAAGACTCGGTCCCTGGTTAACCGTGCCACTCCTTCGCTGCTGATGTCAGTACTAATTGGTTCGACATGGATCATTTTGGTGAAGGTGTCACACCACACATGGATTGCGTCATACCCATTACTAACCGGCAGGGGTCCGATTTGATCCATCGAGATGATTTCCCACGGCGCATTTGGAACTGCATGCGGGTGTAGAGTCCCTGTCCTCGCTCTCCTGGTCTTGGTCCGTTGGCACGCCTCGCACGTCTGGATGTATTTCCGAATTTGGTTTCCCATCCTGGGCCACCAGTAGTTTCTTTCCACCATCTCCTGCGTTCGGTTGATCCCAGCGTGTCCGACCAACGGGGTGTCGTGGTGTAATCCGATGATCTTGTCCCGTAACTCCTCGTCTCTTGGTACATAGAGCTTCCCATGATACGTGATAAGCCCCTCTTCCTTCTTCCATCCGACGAGTGACTTCTCCAAGGCCGCCTTGACGCTTCCATCAATTGATCGAATGGCCTTGATTTCATCGATTAGCTGCTGATCCTGTCCCTCGAATGTGACTTCTTGTGATCGGAAGAACTCGGGCTTCAGTAGCGTGACGTCCTTGTTGTCGTTCTTGCCCTGATCGTGATCTGCTCGTCGAGACAGGAGATCCGCCTTACGGTTGAGTGCGCCGGGTCGGTGTCGTAAGGTGAAATCAAACTCCGCCAGCTCCGTGATCCATCGTGCTTGTCGTCGATTGAGCTTCTGCGGCTTTCGGAAGTACTCGAGATTCTGATGATCAGTGAAGATCTCGAATGTTTCCGTGGCTCCCAGGAGCAGCTGCCTCCATTCATCGAGTGATAACATGATTGCGAGCATTTCCTTGTCGTAGATTTCGTAATTTCGCTCGGTTTCGGTCAATGCGTGTGAAATAAATGCGATTGGGCGCCAAATGCCGTCTTGGTTTTGGCTCAAAACTGCTCCTGTTGCCCCTTCCGAAGCATCGGCTTCCAGACGATATTGGCCAGTGTCATTTGGCAGTGCTAGGACCGCATCCTCTGCGATTCTCTTCTTCAACCCATCAAATGCTGCCCGCTCATCTGCACCCCATGCCCATCCTGCCTTCCCTGTCAACCGTGTCAATGGTTTGGCAATCTCCGCATATCCCCGAACAAAGCGTCGATAGAAGTTGGTGAACCCTAGGAAGGCTTGTACTTGTTTGACGCTCTTTGGTTCTGGCCATTCCATCACACCCTTGATCTTGACTGGGTCCATCCGCATCGAATTGTGTCCAATAATCACACCCAAATATTCGATTTCCGTGCGTTCGAACTCGCACTTTTCGGGTTTCAGGTACAGCTTGTGTTTTTGGAGCAGTTCGAGTACTCGTTTCGTGATCCGCCGATGTTCGTCCAAGTTCTCTGTGAAGATCAGTATATCATCAAGATAGACTACCACGTGGCCCTCGTTGATCAGTTCTCGGAGTATGTCATTCATCATGTTTTGGAAGGTTGCCGGGGAGTTTGTGAGACCGAAGAACATGACCAAGGGCTCGTACAGTCCGCGGTTCGTGCGGAACGCAGCCTTCCACTCGTCGCCCTCTTTGATCCGTACGTTATTGTATCCCCACCGGATGTCGAACTTGGTGAAGAACTTTGCACCGCATAGATTATGGACCAGTTCAGAGATCAGCGGCAGCGGGTACCGATTTCGGATTGTCATTTCGTTCAGCTTCCGATAATCTTGGACGGGGCGTAGCGAGCCATCCTTCTTTTTGACAAAGAAGAACGCTGATGCCATGGGTGATTTGGAAGGCCTGATCCGTCCGCTGGCCAGGTTCTCTTGTAAGAACTCGTCGAGTTTGACCTGTTCGTTTCGTGATAACGGGTACACCTTGCAGTCCACTGCTTTGGAACCAGGTTTGAGCTCGATTGCATGGTCCCATGCCCGTTGGTCTGGCAGCGAGTCGAACGATTCCTTGGCGAATACTTTGACAAATTCCCGATATTGATCCGGAATCTTCCCCTCGGTCATTCTCTCCTTCTCTTTTTCCGCTTCTTCTGCGAATTTCTGCGCCGGCGTTTCCTTCAACCGTAGATCCACCTCCTTCCCAAAGTCGATCAACAGGATTGACTCTCCCTCTTCCAGATCCGGTGCACCTGCGTCCAGGTCAATCGCATCCATGTCGATCATTGCTTGATGCTCCTCGTGACCCCTCATGTGACACCGCTCTGGGCATCGACTGAACCTCATCGTCTGCTCCTGCCAATCCACCTCGGGGTTGTGTTCCGTCAGCCAATCAAGACCGATGAAGATCCGAGCTTTCCCTAAACACGTGAGAAGGAACGTGCGTGTCTCCACGTGAGGACCGATTCTCATCCTTAGGTCGACGTAATGCGTGATCCGACCGCTGATGTTCTCGGTGTTGTCGGCGTTACGAGCCACAATGGGTTGGGGAAGTTCTTGGATATCCAGCTTCTCTGCCCGCGCGTAGTCGGTATCAATGCAGCAGGTGCTACAGCCACTATCGAGTAGCGCCTTGACTCCGCGCGTCTTTCCTGAGTCCAGGCCCGTGATCTGTACATACACATCCATCGAATGTCTCTTCCTTTCGGCCTGGTAGTTGCGCAGTTCCTGCGCCAGTCTGCTGGGTTGCGGGCCCTTCTGTCTCTCGGCTGCCCATTTCCTTTGAACGGCATCCGGCACCCTCGTGCGTTTGGGTGCTTCTGGAATCCTGATTTCGGCAGATTCCTTGGGCGCTTCCTCCTTTTTCAAGGATTGAGCCTCCGGAGCGATGCTCCCCTTTTCGGTCTTTGTTGACGTGGTTCCTTCTCCACGAGCCATAAATACGTAGGAGTCCAAAATTAATTTATCCGCAGCTTTCTGATCCTTTTTACTCTGTAAATACTCTCTATTTAAAGCTATTTTCTTTTGACGTTCCTTTTCCATATCAGCAACAAGAAAATCATGAATATTAGTACGTAGGGAGTCTGAGATCGTGTATGCATGAGGAGAATCGTTCATATCTCTAATCGAAACAAGTATAGAAAAACGTCCATAGTCCGGACGCTCCACCTCCTTGGCTAGAGGAGTGGAGCGCTTCAAAAACCCTTCTCGCGCAGCTTCTCAGCGATCTCCTTGAGGAACTCGTTGTCCTTGTCCCCGTTCTCGATCTCTTCCAGCATCGTGGCCCGATTGAAGAATGTGCGCTTCTTCCTTGGCTCCGGACAGTTCCGCGCAATGTGCCCAGGCTGCTGACAGTTGTAGCAGATGATATTGCGGCCGCGGGCGTGGGTGCGATCGATTTCCATCGGAACTGGTTCGTTGGTAGCGGGTCGGGCCGGGGCGGGTGCAGGTGTCATTGGGGCTGCCTGTGGGCGGAATTGGGGAGGCGGTCGTGGTGCGGATTGCGCATGCGATGCTTTGCGCAGCTGATCGCGTAGAGCGTTCGCCTCGATGTTGACACACCAATTCTTGAAGGCACCATATGCCTTGGGCAGGGGGACGCCAGTGTTGTAGAGGCGGCTTGCAATTTCGCTGCTGAGTCCGCGCTCCAGGAACTCGATGAGGATATTGTCCTGTTCCCCCTTCTTGTATTCGCCTTTGTCGTCGGTGGTGTCGACCATATTGTAGCCTGCATCCGCGGCCAACATCTCAAAGTCGGAGATGTAGTCCGCAAAGGACCGTTTGTTTTGGCGCAGGGCCATAAGCCGAGCAGCGGCGACTTGTTCCGCGTTGGAGTCCCCGAACGCCCTCTGAAGCTCCTCCAGGAAGTTCTTTGATGTGACTCCCGCCTTCAGTCCTTGGAAGCCCTCGAAATTGTGCTGCTTCCAGTTCATCGCCCATCTTGAGGCGGCGCAGCTTGTGCCGCTCTCATTGCGGAGGTAGGACAGGACGAAGAGGATTTTCGTCTCGTCCAGCGAGAACTCTGACCGATAGGCACCGATGTAAGTGGTGCACGCATCCACAAAGCCCAGGTACTTGGACTTGTCGCCATCGAAGTAGGGGGGATTGGCGGCGAGGGTGATGCGGTGATGTCCTGACATGGTAGGAGCAGGTGCGGTAGGTGGGGGCGAGGGTGGTTGTTCGGAGGGTAACTCGTCAAGGTCGGGGAACTCGTCTTCAGGCGGCGGAAGGGCGAGGTAGGGGTTGGAGGGCCCGGGTTGGTTTTGATGCGCCAGATCGGGCGACGATGGTATGATGGGGGGAGGGGATGGACTCCCAGATGATGATGGGAATCGGTACGAAATGGTGGATTCGTGTGCTGTACAAGCACTCGAGGAAAGGTTCTTTTGCTAGCAAAAAGATCCCGGGCCTAGCTCTTCACGTGCCCGATGATCCCGAGGTGCGTTTTCCCGAAGGTCTCCGCAGCACTCCTTGTAGCTACCGTAAGGCTTGGGTCGGGCTCAACGTTACCCGTGGCCTGGTGCTGTTTGCTCGATATGAACCCTTCACTGCGATAGTGGAGGACGACTAGATGATTCGGTAAAAGGGTAAGTTGGTTGATAAGGGTTAAGAGGATATAGCGGGCGTAGCGGTGCGGGATGCAGGGTAAGAGGTATGAGGTAGGAGGGTATGAGGGGAGTCTTCGAATTATGTGACAATCAACCCAAAAATGAAGTCGAAAAGAGAAGTGAATTCGAAGACTGGGGAATACAACCAGGTAGCTACAGTATTTATACCCAAATCCAGTCTGAGTCATATCTACAACTAATGAGTCATAAGACTATGTACCGCATGGAACGCTGGTCATGGGTTGTACTAGAACCTTCCGGAGCATATGTCGCGCAGCCTCGAATCGATAGAGATAACCCCTGGAACCCCTAGCCCGGACCGTCTGATGCCGTGATCCGTGATAAGATAAGTCGTGCCAAGATAAGATAAGATCGTCGATGATAAGATGAAAAAGTGGTCGAACTATGACAACAGGCATGAATTATGCTAAATCCTAGTACTATGGGTGGGGTTCCTTGGTCTTCGCCTGATGCCTGAGCGCGCAACTTATCCTCGACGACAGTGCGGCCGATAGCCAGACCGAGATCTCGGCCATATGTCACGGCGTGCCAACCTGCTACCTTGAAGCTCAACAGCCAGTGGATTACACGCTGAGGGATATAGTTGGTTAGTAACTCGGTCGACCACATATCCTTCTTTGAGGATCTCGCCGCCAAACGCCTGGAAGCATTGGGTCCAACTATCAATCACCAGAAATGGGGCTTACAAAAAATTGGTATTCATTTGAACAAAATCGGGATCAAGCTCCTCGACAGGGCGGCTGAGCAAAGCTGCCGTAAAATCACTCATCATCATCATCATCATCGTGCAGTTTCTGGGATCAAAATACCAAGTGAGATGGCAGATAATGTCGCATCCGAGAGCATGTCCGCGATATCGACAGTATTCGTGGGGCTCGAGTCAATCCTTTCGGAAATCTGTGCGATGTGGGTCGCTTTACTCGTAGGTCGGGGGCAGCAAAATACGGGACGTACCCCGGTAGCAACTCGCTCAAAGATTGGTTCATAGCCCTGGACAACAGAGGCCGTGAACGCGCCGTTGAGCGCCCCTCGTAAATGACGATGCTCAGGGCCCGCAGCTGGATCACGTCGCGCGTGGATATTCCGGTCACCGAAGCTGGAACGCTGATTGGTGCGTCTCACCTCTGAAACCCTCCACGCTCTGCAATCCAAAAGCCATAGACATCATCGTCGACATGGGGGGTGTCTGGTCCCACTTCGGGCTGCTGAACACATAGTTCATCGCCACCGGGTCCGCGATGACGATCTGGGTGCGCTATCCGCAGAGTCAGCCATGCTATCTTCTCTCATAAACACCCACCCCGAAACAACCCCGGATTTGATATACGCTTCCAAATCGCTTGAGCCAGGTAAACTCGTACTGGCCGTAGACCGGGGCGAGGAGAAGTTCGGCCAAGTTCCCTGCATAGAACGAAATTAACCACCTCCCTGGCTGACCGCTTTGAAGGGCAGAACCCACCATACAGCCACGAAGGAGACTCTGGACCTGGAAAGTCCGGAACAGAATCGTGCTTCCGTCTCAGAACGTAGTAGACGGCGACGGGTAAGACGGCTATCGCTGTCTGGAGGAGGAGATGCATGGGACGAGATTGAAGCGATGGGAGGTTCGATGTCTGCTCTTATGTTCTCCAGCGCCCGATTACGAGCCGGCTCGCACGAGCGGAGTCTTGAGAGGCTGTCCAGTAGCTGTAGACCTGAGAAGCGCGAGTCTGCGCCAGACGTCCGGTATCGAATCGGCTGTTCGGAAGGTGCTGTTGGCTGTGAGAAGTACTATTTTTGTCGAGCCACACTCTCGAGTCGGCATGAGTTGAGCGGTATTGAGATAGATCATTTAGAATTCCAACAAATTAGCCATTATTGCCGGAATTTACAACGGAAAAGAATTGTACACGCAGCCTTGCCTGATAAAACGAACTGAATCTGCCACTTGCAATGTTGAAGTTTCTTGAACTCGCCCGCTAGGGACGCGATTCTCGTCTTCGTACACTTCTCTTCCCTGCCCTGGGGATTATTTGAGTCTCCTCGTTGAGGAATTTCATATCAGATCGAACACTTGTCGAATTGTTCCTTGGCTTATTCTCTGTGATGATGGCACAGCTCCCAAATCTCTGAAATGACAAGACCCTATGACTCGCAAATGCCGTGAGTGTATGGCATAGATCCACGTACAAACTTCCAGATGGCGAGGTAGATCGGGTCCTATCAGCACTTGCGATTGTCTGGCGCTACTATATTCGTGATATCTTTTACCCTGTTCAAAGATCGCCCCTTTGCTTCTCTTGCCAAGTCGGATGATTTCTTCGAGGAGCGGTAGCCCGCCCGTTAGTAGTTTTGCCGTGCCTTTGCGTGCCGCGACCCAAGACCTCAATGTCTTGCTACCGGAGTACCAAACCCTATCCTAGGTGCCCACTTACTCAGCATGCGCGTGATGTCCGTGGGGAATTTCAGTGGCAGTGCTCTTCAGAGCCTCACGACTAATACTCCCACGACTAGTCACCGCGGTAATCGACCTGCCTATCTGCCTTTGCCTCTGCCCTTGAAGCTCGAAGCTTGAAACTTGAAGACTGAAGTTAAACAGTTTCTGAAACTGTGCACCGCTCATTCGCGAGCGGTTAGCTGCACTCGCTTGAAGTGCTGCAGTGTGTACCGTCGATATGATTCGCACGCGTGCCAACCACTACCACGGGAACAACACAGGGATGTCTTGATTGTCTGATTCTTGTGCAGCTCGACTCTCAGGACACGACACCTGCGGCTCTGCTCTGACGTGCAATCGATTACGCGATCCCTGCGAGAGGCGGTTAAAACGGTTATGACGGCGAGAACGACGCGTGTTCTCGTCTGCGAAGCTGTTAAATGCACGGCCCACGCGTCTCTCGATCCATCCGCCAGCCATGCGTTACTCTGCCCTCGACTTCTTGATCTCCCAGTGGAAGACCCCGGGGCCCGTGGTCACGACTGATCTCGCTGGGAAGACTGTCATCGTCATCGGAGCCAACACGGGCCTGGGATTCGAGGCGGCGAAGCACTTCGCGCGGATGAACCCGGGGAAGCTCATTTTGGGATGTCGGAGTCAAGCCAGAGGCAGCGCAGCGCTCGAAAGTACTTGTCTTCCTCCCTGCTTGCACATGGCATGCATGAGCTGATCGAGGCTATGGAGAGCTGAAGCAGGACACCGGTTGCACTACTGCAGAGCTCTGGCTCGTCGATCTGGCTGACTTTGCGTCGGTGACCTCGTTTGCCGATCGATTCGAGCGAGAAGGCGGACGGCTCGATATCTTGGTCGAGAACGCCGGCGTCTCGACGGACAAGTACGAGGTGAGCAAAGACGGGTGGGAAACTTCGTGCGTGTTCTCCGTCGATTTATACTCCAGTCTGCCATCCTGACTTGGTCGAAGGATGCAAGTGAACGACCTTTCAACGCCCCTCCTCGCTCTCCGTTTGCTGCCTGCGATGGTCAAAACGGCCCAGGAACACGGAACCGTTCCCCGCATTGTGGTCGTTGCCAGCGAGGTCCACTACTGGGCCAAGATCTCCAAAGAGGTTGCGGAGAGTCCGTCCCCATTGTCCGTTCTGGGTGGGGTTGAGTACTGCTCCAGGCGCGTTGCGTAGCCGCACCTCGTTTCTGTCACCTCACTGCATCTCAAGTCCGAAGCGCATGTCGGATCGATACTTCATCACCAAACGTACGGATGTTGCTTTCCGCTCCGACCCGCGTCTGAACAACCTCCAGTCCTCAACGTCTTCTTCGTCCGGGCCTTCAACGACCGCTTGCCTTCCTCGACGCCAGTCGTCATCGACACCGTCAACCCTGGCTTCTGCCACAGCGAGATTCTGCGCCACACCTCCGGTGCCGCAGCCGTGTTCATGCTGACTCTCATGAAGCTCCTGGTCGCACACAAGACCGAAGTGGGCAGCAGACAGCTTGTCTTCGCTGCGCTCGGTGGAGAGGGTGACGGCGGAGCCCTGCGTGGGGAGTACATCACTAACTCTGCTGTCCGCGAGGTCAGCGATTTCATTCTGACCCCGGAGGGCGCCAAGCTCCAAAACAGACTGTGGTATGTCGGAGTAGATACTCCAGGTTGTGCGACAAGCGCGTCTGACTGTAGTCTTTCAGGGACGACCTCCTCGACATCTTGAGCAAAGTGGATCCAAAAGTGACTGAAAGTGTTGGAATGTATCTCTCGTAGTTCCTTGGCCGCTTATGAACGGTGTTTCAGTTTGTGTTTCAGCTTACGGGTCAGCTTCAGAGCAGTGTAGTATTTTAAGACAAGATGTGAAGCAAAGAAAAGACTCAAACGAGTCCGAGTCAAGAAAGCAAAGTAACGAACGAGTAACTCGCAAATTCCGAACGAACACTAACTGTTAGTGATCTCTTCGCGATGAAATCTGTTCAGCCTCTGGGGCACGATTTTCATGTGCCACTGATCGGCATCTGCAGTCCAGCCCCACAACGCGTTGATCCTGAGGCCTTCATCGCTCAAGACCTGGTCCCACGAAACCTCCGGCTCCGGGTCACCACCACGCGGGCTGGGCCAGTCCAGATCCGCCCAGGGATCCCTCATCGGAACGAGTGTATCTCGCAGAGAGCCCTGTCGCCAGCGCGATTCCACCATTTTGCGGCAGAGGTCCTCGTCCCAACAATGGCTCTCCGTGCGATCGCGCTGTCCAATGAAGAGCTGCTCAATACCAGGCGCAAGTCGCCGGTCGGAACCAAGCGTCAGTAAGCGATGCAGGGTGTCCAGCAGCTCCGGGCGGACACAGACACCAAAGTGCTGCAGCTCAGGTGCAGCATGGAGAGTCGCGGTGATGTCTGCGATCGAGGCGGGGAACAGCAGAACTGCGGTCTTTAACGGAAGCCCCGGATGTGTTTGCAGAACTTTGGAGAGCTGGTTGTCTCGGCTTATGCAATAGATGGCTTCGAGTGCAGGCGCTCGAAAGTGGTTCAATAACTCGGCGTCGGTGGTCGCCACCCGTCGCAAATTCGGTGCGTCAATGATCTCCGCCTGTTCCACGATCGGACCGGCCACTGCCAGGAAGCATTCAACAAGGTTGGTAGAAGAGGACTTGAGGGCGGTCAGATGGTGTTCCCAGCTCGTTCTTGCGCTATACAGCGTCAGCCCAGGTGCATTAAGCCGCAGCCCTTCGCGGCACCCATCCGAGTTCCTCGACCAGCCGGTAGTGTCATGTATGTGGACTTCTTCGAGCCTGGGCGCGATCTCAAAGGCATCGATCGGGGGTCCGCCAGTGACTCGACCGCAGTCCAGGATCCAGGTGAGAGTGCGGAGATTGTCTACGTTTCCGTGGATCCTAGCAAGCAGTGACCCTCGCGGGTTGAACAGGTCCGTATCCACGACGACAGAGCCCCATCGATTCGACTGCGCCATGACCGTCTCCACCATGCGGGAGAAAAGCTCAAACCGCGAAAAGCCGTAGTAGGAGGACATCGGGACCTGCTGTCCACGCAAGACGACTTGGAGAGGGACAGAGGCGGCGCGCGAGAGCTGAAGTTCGAGGCGCAAGATGGGGGCACGCCTGAATCGCCAGCTTTGCTGCGAGTCGATGACGACTTCGTTCCACAGCAACGGCTGCGCCAGCGCGATGGCGCGCCACTGCCGCGACACTTGGCTCACAGTCCACGGCGGGTGGTCGCCGTACCTCTCAGAAGGATCCGCAGCGTAGGTGAAGATGATGGAAAGGACCTCGGTGGGCACGCGCCGCAGAACCGACATGGAGCCTCGAAACAGCAAGAGATCCTCGTCCAACGCCTCTCTGGCATCCGTCAAGCGTTCGTGCTCCTTGATGTGTTTGTTGATTAGGGAGGTCAGCTCCACAATCCGCGACATCAATCTCTTCCTGTGGGATTTCCCTGCTTCCAACGTTTCCTCGATGCACTGGATCTCGCTTGCCATGGGCGCTTGGTTGCTGGAGATGATATGCCGCACGTGAGACGAGTCGAAATCCTCGTATGGGTCAATGCATTGCGAGCAGGTACAGTCGTCGTCATAGTCAAGCTCAAGTTCGGACCCGTCCGATTCGTTGTCCGAACCTGCATCGGACGCAGCGCTCTGGGAGGCTTCAATATTAGAGGGGCAAGTAAGAGGTGAGTTTTCACGGAAAGATATGCCTGACTCCATTGCGGATGCAGGCGTGAAAATTCCGCGCGCCGATGGTGTTAGTATGCCAGTGCAATCAAAGTCGGTGGAGGATTCATTTCGAGGAATTTTCAGACGCCAAGGTACACGTGACATAACGAGCTCATGATGAAACGTAGATTGAATCCAGATTGATCGGTTCACAGGACGCATCCATGGCTCGAAGAGGTCAGAGTTCAATGAAACCAAGTACAGACGCCTCATTGTGTACATAATGAGCGACTTGTGTCTAGTCAGTATGGATTTTGGGCGATCAGAAGCTGCGATCTCAGGCAGTCTTTGACCGAATCCTTCACTTCATAGAAACGCCTCAGGATCTGCGCTCAGAGGTTGCCCCGGAAGGATTCTCTGCCGTATCTGAGATGAAGCTCCACCAACTAGCTGATAACCAACATCCCCCGGTCGCCCGCCGAGCTCGAGAGACTTGACCAGACCACCTGCCTCCACTTCGTTGGGACTAACGCTAAGACAAGTTATATCTGGTGCGGGCCGAAACTGTCCAAGGATGGGATAGACTGTAGATGTCACGGCGGAAGCCTGGTTTCTCATCCATGTGAGGCACCGGGACGCTAGGTACTGTTGCAAGATCCGATGACCAAGTCTGCTGCTGGCATGAGTCCAGATCTCTTACAATGCGGACGCGGGGTCAGATCCAATGAAGATGGAGACATCACCACAGAGAGAGCAATTCTCCGGATAAGGCTAGGTCTCCGACGGCCAATACACGCAGAATGAGAAGGTTCCCTCCCAGACAAAAGATTAGGAAACAGATTCTCATGCTCAAGCACTCGTTCGGCCAGCTCCGGTCGTCCGCCAGTGCCTCGAAACCGATGCATGATGGAAGTTTTTCCGGGGCACTGGAGCCAAGTTTGCAGTGTGAGTGCCATGGGGTGTTTGCAGAGACAGCACATGGTTATGAACTGCAGATCCACGTGCACCTCCAAGCGGGTCCACAAGGAGGTCATGTTCCGACCGCGATTGTGTGTGCCCACGGTGAAACACTTAGAAGAAGGTTGAGACGCTTCTATCTCATACTCTTCCCCAGGTTGAATAAGCATCGGGGAGAGTAGCAGAGTGAACGCGACGCAGAGTGTCTCTGCGGAAAAGAGATGCCTCAACGCCACCAGATATCATCGTCCAGCTCGTCAATCTCCGCATGCATGTCGTCCAAATGGTTTTTCAACCCCCCTATGCGCCCCTGGTGCCGACTTCGGCGCTCGTGGTGTTTGTGCTGATCATGCTGGGCACGGACGAAGCTTCGCTCGGCGCCCGATTCATCCATAGCAAGTCGAAGGAAGAAGGACGTAGACAGTGGCTTGAAACATCATGCTGAGGGAACACGAGTTGTGCGGTCGCTGCGCGTACGCGACGACCAGATGATATCAGGAAGCAAGCAAGTCATAAAACAAGCATACGGTAGTGGTTGCTTCTGTTGATCTACCATGGCTTCTCTCCAGGTCTCAACGCTGCCGCCTCGCATATTTTTCGAGCGTCTTCATCGCTCTCTCCAATCTTCAGGGCTAAGTCTCTCAGCATGAGGGCTGAAAATGTCAAATGCGCGTTCTGAAACAGAAGGGTACTAGAGCACCATGCGATACGACTTCGACTGATAACATACGCATCTCGGAGGCAATGGGCGCACGGCTCGCAACCGGACCCCGGCTGTAAACGGTCGTGAAAGCATCGTGATTCTTTGAACGTGCGCCCCCGAATCTCGCTCCCAGCAACTATAAAATCGATTGCCACAGGAACCCGATCTCAGTTTCCTTCAATGGCATTCCGCACGCTCGTCCTCGCTGCCCTCGTTTCCCTCGCACTCGCTGCGCCCAGCACAAAGACCAAGATTGTGCTGACGAACGACGATGGTCTGTGCGGGCGTGCCCTGCTCTCGAGTCCCGCTGATCTATCCTAGGATGGGCGGTTGCCAATATCCGTGCCCAATACGACGCGCTCACCACTGCTGGCTACGATGTACGCGCAGTGCCCTGGATCAGCTTGTCTGGGTTTTACATCATGTACAGGTCATCCTTTCTGCGCCGTCGATCAACCGCTCCGGCACTGGATCCTCGTCCAAGACGCCTACGCCCCTGACATCCCCTTGCGAGTTTGACTCGTGCCCGACTGGATCCCCTGCCGAAGGGTCTGACCCGACGAACCCGAGACTGAACTACGTCAACTCGTACCCCGTCGACGCTGTGACCTACGGAATCACCAACCTGTCGCAGAGCTTGTTCTCGGGACCGCCCGATTTCGTTGTGAGCGGCCCCAACGTCGGGTACAACCTGGGCATCCAGGTCCCGTTCTCGGGTACCGTGTGCGTCGTCTTGAACCGTTGTACAATTCGTGTCGTCTCAAAGTTTTTTCTGCGTATAGTGGAGCCGCCTCGGCAGCCGTCCGCGCAGGGATCCCCGCAGTTGCCTTCTCCGCCAGCACCGGCAGCGAAATCTCGTACACCACACTCACTTCCGACCCGACCTCGGCTGACTCGCAAGCCGCCCTGATCTACTCCCAAGTGACGACCCAGTTCGTCAACGCACTCATTTCCACCGGCAAGCCGTACCTCCCGACCGGCCTGTCCCTCAACGTCAACTACCCTCCGATCTCATCCAGCGGCTGCGCCTCGGCCGCGGACTTCAAGTTCGTGCTGAGCCGCGTCGACTGGAACCCGTTCGCCACGGACGTCAACACTTGCGGATCCACCCACCTGCCCACCGAGTCGACTGTCACCGGAACCAGCGGTTGCTTTGCCAGCGTCAGTGTCTTCGACGCTACCAACGGCTTGAAGCTTGACGGCAATGCTTCTGAGCAAGCTGCTATCTTGCAGAAGCTTGGATCGATCCTCACTTGCCTTCCCTAGACAGTTCAATGTGTAGATGCTTCCCTAGTTGTCATCGAATCGGACAGTTTGATGTCGACTGCTCCAGTGCCATGCCACCCACAATCCAAGCAAAAGAGGCGCCTTGCCTGCACGGGGATTCGGCGAACTGGTACCATCTGAACCGAATCACAGATGATGTTGCGCAGGTAACAACATACTAGACCAGGCAAATGACATCCATGCCGCGAATTCCCACGCAACGCGAAACAGAGTCTGGAACCCGGATTCCCAGCAACGTAGTCTGAATGTCATCAAAACGATGAGGCCCATAGGACAGAAAGGGCGACGGCTGTATGACACAGTTGCGCAGGTGTACGGTAGGGTAGATTCAAGCGCAGTAACTTGGTGACAGAAGAGAATGGTGATTGTAGATTGCTTCTGAAACCTGTCTTGTCCGGGTCTAGGGTTGCGGAACGTAGAGAGGCTCAAAATCTTTGATGGATCCAGTGCGCTCTTTGAGGCTTTGACGGAATTTTGGCGTGTACTAGCAAGTAACTGCACGGGGGCCATTCATGGAGAGCAAGAGTGTGTACACTTCATAATCGTCACGGTTCGATGTTTCCTCGATATCAATGCGCCCCTTTCCACCATCCGAAGGCTTGGAGATGAGACGGTCTTGCTATAGGATCGCGGTGAAGGACACGCAACCTTCCGCCGTTGACCTTAGGACTGGAGCTGGCGTTGCGGCGATTCGAACGCGAGATTTTGCGACACAGGGCTCTGGAACAGCCGAAATAGCAGCAGATATGACAATGAAAACCCAGTGCTGTGGAAGTGGCTGGCAAGACTACCGCTGGTCGGAAAGCGGGAGTCGAAGCTTGCCGGAACGCATAGACTCGTCGACAGTAATGAGGGAAGTGTGCATCGAGGCGATCAAAGGCGTCTCAGGAGCCCCTCGTATTGGCCCCATGACTGCTCATCGAGAAAGACATCTAGGCTGCGATTCGAAGAACGTTGCGCCAGCGCAGATCGGAATTCTGCACCATCAGAGCTCACTGGGCCGCTTTTCACATGGCCAATCACCTCATCCGATGCCTCCTCTCGTTGTGGTTTCTGCGAGGCATCGAGATTCGAGGTCCTAAGATACCAGTCCGTTTGCAGCAGGATTCGCCAGGCAGTGACCCGGGTGTAGCAGCGGCAGTAAGATAGCGCGAAGGCGCGGCGGTGGAGATTCGACGCGTGGACGAAAGTTCTGCGTTCATTGAAGACCTCACTGAAGCTGGAGGAGAACAAAGACTTCAAGAGCCGAGATTTCCTTTCACGGAACTGCCGCACCGCCACCACAGTCCTTCACTTCCCAACTCAGATGGTGGATGGCACGCAATCCGATACATGTACCCTCTCAGTCAGAAACGTCCCTGCAGATCCTCTATACCGTTTCTGCTACCTCCTCAGACTGCAATCCCTCAGACTGCGAGATCTGGCGGATCAGAAGCGTCGTTTCACCCACCCACGGAGAGTCCAACTCGCCGAACTAACATCGCGAATCGTACTGCTGACACCGTGCAGTCTGAACTTGGCGCAGCTCCTCGATGACGCAGAGTCCTTATCTGCCCCCTTCTTGGCGCGCAAGGGTGCGTAACAGCGCGCGCGTCCGCCACCTGCCTCCCGGGATCATGTCTCTGATATTACCCGCGTGCCCGATGAGATGGATGAGGATGAGAACGATCTGCACTCTCTGATAAGGCGCACAACAAATCCCGCGTCGTGGACCGTCGGGCAAGTCTGTCGTCGATGGCGGGAGACTAGTGGCGTGTCGCAGGCGGCTTCCAGCTGATTCTGGATCCACGTACATGGACATCTGCTCCATCTGCTGTGACCCCAGATTGAACGCCACATTTCTCAGGCTGTACCGCCCAGTGGAAGCGTTCGGGGACGTTCTACTGCGTGTCGCTCTCTACGCATCAGAAGCTCCCCAGTGGTAAGACGCATCTCTTCCCCAGGCTCTCCCGTAACCGCAAAAGATGGACAGCATCTGGAACTGGTAGAAAATCTGAAGCAATCAATAAGACACCCTTGCGCCCATTCGCCGTGCCTCACTTGCTCCGCCCTCTCTGCGACTGGGTCTTCTCGTTTCGGGACAGCAGCTGATTCCAATTTGATAACGTCCGTTGGCTGTAAGGCATCACATTCGATGCCCAGCCTCGAAGGCTCACGACGCCTGTGAGTCTCACGCGTCTTCATTTTGCTTTCTAGCCTTTGTCATCGCGGGTGTTGAATCCTGAGCTCGTCCGGCCGCGACGTGGCTTGAATTCGTTCAACGAGTCCTATTCACGATGCTGGGGGCTCTTACCAACCTTCCGAGGCTACCCTCCTCCGTCTATGTCTCATGGACGTTCACATCTTTTGTCATGACAGGAAATGGCACCGGTAACTGAGTAAGCAGTTTCTTGCAATATGCGGCATGCAATATCTGGGTCCAGCGTCTGGACTGTAAAAAACACTCGTTTCTCTGGGCTCTTCGCTCTCCGGAGTATCCTGCATGCGGCGTTCCACACCGCAGACCCCGATCGCCGGAGTTGTATCTCTCGTCCCTCTTCAAGCTTACCCCGCTCCTCTGACACTCGGATCCGCACTCCACCCTCGGCAAGAGACAGGCGAGACGGGACCCGCCGCCAAGGTCTCGCGTGGTTGGAAGAACAGAACACCATGGGCCAATTAGCCTCTTCCACCCGGCGGGGCATCTTCTCGACAAGTGAACGCTGTACCCGGCTGCGGAATGCGCCGCAATCTCCGGGGCTCTCCGGGGTTATCCGTGTCCGTCTCGCGGACAGCGCATCTTGCCAAGATCCCGAGGCCCACGCAGATCGCCCATGGCATGGTTCGAGCAGCGGGGCATGGTGATCGACATGATTGGGTTCTACGCCGCTGATGCGCAAGTCACACCTACCCACTCCTTGTCATCTCGTCCGACGCGCTGATCCTGGAATCTTCCGCGCTGCTCGACATCTCCTCGTGCGCCAATCATCGAGGCGACCTTCTCGCGCGATTCCCTCGGACCGTGGGCAGGGAACCAGTCGGAACCCGTCATGGGTCGGCGGTATCTCCAGCTTGTGTCCAGAGGTATCCCCGCGTCATCGCTCAAGCGCTCTAAGACCGCGACAGCCCGTCGCAGCGATGACGCACTTGAGCGATAGGCGAACGTCACTCCCCCGGCCATCCATATGGGGGCTCGCCGACGCACATCGCGATCTCGATGAATCTCCCTCAGCTGAATTCCATCTGGCCCATTTCAAATCTGTTCTGATTGTCGAACCGGGCTGATTCGTGTCTCGTGGCCACGAGGAGAGGACGGCACCCGATGATCGCACATAGAGGGAGCATATGCCAGTGGTGGGAAGGCACCGATAGTACACATTCAATTCTCATCAAGGATATCAGAAATAGACGCGCCAAATTCACACAACTGAAGAAGCAAAAGAAATCGCCATTCGTTTTCCGCCAACCAGCACAACGGCCACATGTACTCTACGTCAGGTGCTGCTGGACTAGTTTTTGGTTCCGCCGCCGCCACTGTCCACTGTAAGGACCGAAGGATTAAGAAAGATACAATAGCCAGTGGTTCTATGTCCTTACAGGAGGCAGTCGTCCACGCCGATCAACACCTTACGAGGTGAAGGAGGCAACGTGCTCCTCGACGACGGTCTTGATCTTGGCCTCGAGGTCACCGGTGATGTTGCCAGTGGCGATCTCAGTGAGGAGACCAGATTGCGTAGAGGTCAGGTGAGTACGGAACTCAGACTCCCACTTGGTGATCTTGTCGACCGGAACAGCATCAAGCTGGGGCAATCATTGGTCAACCGCCTCGACGATACGAACAACAGACACTCACAAGACCGTTGACACCGGCGTAGATGATGGGGACCTGGAGCTCCATGGCCATGGGCTGGTATTGACCTTGCTCTGCGAAAGCGTCAGAAACTGTCATCATGCAACCTTAGAACAGGTAACGCACTGAGCAGCTCAGTGAGACGGGCACCACGAGACAACAGGAAACGGGTGGAGGCATCGAGATCAGAACCGAATTGGGCGAAGGCAGCGACTTCACGGTACTGCGCAAGGTAAAGCTTGAGCGAACCGGCGAACTTTTTCATGATCTTGCTGTAATGACGTCAGAACATTAATAGTTGATACAGCATTGATCACGCACGTCTGGGCAGCAGAGCCGACACGGGACACGGAGAGACCGACGTTGATGGCGGGACGAACACCACGGAAGAAGAGCTCAGCCTCCAAGAAGATCTGACCGTCAGTGATGGAAATGACCTGCACTACTGTTTAGACTCCTGAAAAAAATTGGCTGCTGAGCGGACGTACGTTGGTCGGGATGTAAGCAGACACATCACCACCCTGGGTCTCGATGATGGGCAGGGCAGTCAAACTTCCTCCACCGAACTTGTCGTTCATCTTCGCAGCACGCTCGAGGAGACGAGAGTGCAGGTAGAAGACATCACCGGGGTAAGCCTCACGACCGGGGGGACGACGAAGCAAGAGCGACATCTGACGGTAGGCAACAGCCTGCTTGGACAAGTCGTCGTAGATGATCAGAGCTGGACAAAAACGCGTCAGGTCATGGGAAACATATCATTAGAACACCACATACCGTGCTTGCCGTTGTCACGGAACCATTCACCCATGGCACAGCCAGAGAAAGGAGCAAGGTACTGCAGGGGAGCAGCCTCGCTGGCGGTGGCAGCGACGATGATAGAGTACTTCATGGCGTCGTTGGCCTCCAGGGTCTTGACGAGCTGGGCGACAGTCGAACGCTTCTGGCCGATAGCAACGTAGACACAGTAGAGCTTCTTGGTCTCATCCTGACCGTCGTTCCAGCGCTTCTGGTTGAGGATGGTGTCAATGGCGACGGCGGTCTTGCCGGTCTGACGGTCACCAATGATCAGCTCACGCTGACCACGTCCAATGGGCACCATGGCGTCGATGGGCTTGATACCCGTCATCATGGGCTGGTTGACGGACCGACGGGGGAGAATGCCAGGGGCCTTGAGCGAAGCACGGCGACGCTCGGCAGCCTCAATGGGACCCTTGCCATCAATGGGGTCACCGAGAGCGTTGACGACACGTCCGAGCAGACCAGGGCCGACGGGAACGTCGACAATCTGGCCGGTACGCTTGACGGTGTCTCCCTCCTTGATGAGACGGTCATTACCGAAGATGGAGACACCGACGTTGTCGGCTTCCAAGTTCAGACACATGCCACGGACACCGGAAGAGAATTCCACCATCTCTTCGGCTGTAGAAAATGCGGTCAACACATGCGGCGCTGGTGACGCGAAAAAAAGTGAGCGCACCCTGCACGTTCTTGAGACCCCAGACACGGCCAATACCGTCACCAACGCCTACAGGAATCAGCATACGGCCGCTTGAGGGGAGAAATGAAGCATACTCAGGACACGACCAGTCTCCTCGACATTTCCACCAACAGACGTGCCAGCGATGCGGGACTCAAGAATGGACGAGACCTCAGACGCAGCTAGAGAGGGGCGCAACCGAAGGGTCAGAAAGAGAGAAAGCAGAACAGTTGAAGGCAGAACTAACCGGCCTTTGCGGTTGCGTATGAGCGGGCAACGGTGGGGTTGCTCTGCGACGTGGGAGTCAGCACTGCGCGACATTTCTGGCCACAGAGAAGCGACAGAACACACCTTCGATGCGGCGGCCAGCGCGTGGGCGCGCACCGAGTTTCTAAGTGCGATTCGGTGCATGGACGAAGGAGCGGGAAGACGGGAGGAGTTTGTGTAAAATCACAGCCGGCTTGATACGGTCAGAGGTTGTTGACTGTTTATTTATATGTGTCGCTTGATCTCGGAACACATGTGCTGCTTCCGATACGTGTCAGAGTGCTTGTCCTTACAACCACTTTCGATGCCTCTCAATTCCGGACGATGTGCCGCGCGAGGCGCTGAATGCATACGACTTTTACGTAATGAATCGGCTTAGTCAAGCTTTCGACCATCGCTCAGTGCTTCCAATCGCCCACTCTGAAGCCCATTGCGCGCCGGCCTCTCTGTGAGAAGCAAGTGCTCTGGGGCGGAGATATTTGGGCACTATGTCCGAGGACAGTACTCATATCCCCGCAGCTGTCATCGGCTTTGATCTGTGAAGGCGATTTTCGCTGTTGGCGTCCGAGACATTGTCAACAGAGCACACTCAAAGGGTGCGAATAAGTAAAAGTACAGTTCCATATTCATTCCTCGTTTCAATACACAGCGATAATCGATAGCAAAAGTACTCGTCAAGGAAGAAAACCAAATCTACAGTCCAAGCCTGGAATAACCTAACCCCCACTCGTCGCATTCGAAATGGACGACATCTACCAGGGAGGAGCATCGGCACCGGTGGGCTCGGCCCGTTTCCAAGGCGGGGCATCAGCACCGGTTGGCTGGACGCGCTTCCAGGTGGGAGCGTCAGCTGGAATCGGCCTCTCGACACGTTTCCATGGAGGAGCGTCGGCTTCTATAGGATGGTCGGCACGTTTCCACGTGGGAGCATCGGCCTGGATAGGTGCTTCGACCCGCTTCCAGGGCGGAGCGTCGGCTTGGATGGGATGGTCGGCGCGCCTCCATGTAGGCGCGTCGGCCTGAATGGGATGGTCGATACGCTTCCATGTAGGAGCGTCGGCCTGGATAGGATGATCGGCACGCTTCCATGTAGGAGCGTCAGCTTGGATGGGATGATCAACGCGCTTCCATGTAGGGGCATCGGCTTGGATGGGATGTTCGGTACGTCTCCATGTCGGAGCATCGGCTTGAATGGGATGATCGATACGCTTCCATGTTGGAGCGTCAGCTTGGATTGGGTGATCAACGCGCTTCCAGGGAGGGGCGTCGGCTTGGATAGGCTGGATGCGTTTCCAGGTGGGGGCATCGTCGGTAATGGGCTCAACGGTGCGTCTGGTCTAAAACGAGGTCAGGCACTGAGTGTGAACGGAGAAGGGTTTGTCCGACCTCGGTGACCATAACCGTAGGTTCGCGTGCCGCAGCATCGTTCTGTGGAGCTGGTCAGTGATATGCCACGCAGGATAAGGGGCGGATACTTGCCAGAGGCAAGCCCTGAACGGCGGCGGCGGCGGCGACAACCAGAATGAGAGCAGTGTACATCGCTTAGAGAACTGGGCTAGCTGGATACTTTTGCTGCTGAGAGATCTGCATGCTGACTTGTCGGTTTTATATGAAGGCTGGAAAGGACCGAGTGACATCTAGATCATTTCCAATCTCCGCAAGGAAAGTGTCGCTCATGCGGTTGAGCAATCAGGAAAATCCCAAATCTGATCCGGTGGTCCTGATGGCGAGATGAACCGCCGATTCACAGCGACAGATTGGGCGAATCTATCGTCTGTCTTGCCCTGGATGGAATGGACAGCGTGTCGATGTGTGTGCTGAGCCTGATTTCGAGGAAACAGAACACTCACGTCCGGCTGGATGACGAGTTCTGAATATCAAGGGTACTTTGGAGTCTGGGATGTTGTCATCCCTCTAGATAGAGCGCCGAGTGTGCCTGTGGCGTCAGAATTGCCAACAGTTATTCTTGAGTCGAAGCCAGGGAGGTGTTGGGGACGAGATGACTATATGCGGTGGCGCTGATCACTACTGCAATCAATGAGTGTTACGGTTACGGTTGCTTTGTGCTGCTCACTTTCAAGGTGCGGAGAAGTCTTCCAAAACGAGATCTGAAAGCGGTCAGAACGGCGGACAGGGCAAGCAGAAATCAGAACAGATTGGGATTATCAACATGATCTTTGGTCCGTACCGCTCCGGCCTGTCCGGGAACGGCTGCAAGGATGTGGCGGACCTCCGAGAGCAGAAGAGATAAGTTGAGAGTGAGGTGTATCAGAAGACCGGACTTGGCTTCGAATCTGGCGATTGGGTTTGTCAGCTCTCACGTTACGGTGAATAGAAGAACACCCTACGCACCCCACCCGCTGACAGAGACGAAAGATAGCAAGACGTCCGATCTTCCGGACATATGGGGAGCCGCTGGCAGCCTCATGTGCAGCGGCGGGCGGGATCACGAGGGTTGCTGCCAAAGAGCTGAGTTGCCATAGCTCGGTTTGTATCCGTGTCACGTGATCGATTTCTGGTGCCTGCTTGGCAACGTTGCAGGCCGGAGAACCGGGGAACTCGCGACCCTGAGTAGATGACGGAAGGACTTGTCGTCGGCTCTCAGGTGGGGAAATTCCGCAGCGTGTTACCGCACAACCAAGGCGCTTCCACGGAGCACATCCGAGTTCGATCTCGGTCAGAACGATGGGAGGTCTCACAGCGACCGTTGGCCTGAGGAAAGCCATCACGAGAGCAAAGTTGTCGTCCATCTGTTGATGCGGATGCCAGTACTGACTGCGGACTCTTGGACCACCGTCCAAGACAAAACTGGCACTTTCCCAGGATGGGAAGCATGCGAAAAGATGCTGAACCTCTATTTCAGCCATCACCGCTGAATTCCCAATCGAGCCAATCGTTTTGCACTGTTCCTGAACTGACATCAGATTCTGTTCATGAGCGAAAAAAAAACGGTTTCTCAACTGTTGAGCATCCATGACATCGATGAGCATTTTCGGCCGCTGAGAAGTGATGGGAAGGTACTCATGATTCCCGAATAAATCGTGGATTACTGGAGCGGGAGGACCGCGAGAACTCTCCTCCCGAAAACCGCTCGCCGTTGGGACAACGTGGGCGCGCATAGAACTTTTCTCGATCCTGAGGCCATTGTCGACGGCGCCCGCAACCCCAATATCTGTGTCGAGAGTCGGATTTGGACCGTCTCAACTGAAGTCCCCCGCCTGCTCGTCAATGGTCGACTTCACCCGGACAAAAGGAAGATTGGAGGTTATGCCCGCGGAGAGCCAATAGCGCCGACTTGGAACGCGTAGCTCTACTGGATCCGGCTTTTGACGTTCGTGTCGCGAGAACATTATATTTCAGTCCCATGGCCCTTCAGAAGCATCTGCGACCGTTCTTTTCGTAGATAAAGGGACAGAGGTCACAGGATCCAACGGTCAAAGGACTTGGAGCTCGTGAGATCATCAAGGGCATGGTATTTCAGTGGCTCCTGCTTCGCAAGCGATTCACATGCGTCCATGAATAGGACGATCTCCAACATGGGTGAATGTGGTGGGAGGGAAAGGCCTAGTCGGTACCGAATCAGACTCCTCATCTTGGGTCACTATATGCGGGTTGCATTTGGTCATGGACCGATTATCTGCCGTAACTTGCACTACTTAGCAGCTATGTACGTAGCAGCTATACAAGTATCTGCTCCTGCGGAATGGCTGGTTGTTTGGAAATTGGCGAAAGCGGGGTCTCGCCCTGCTACTTGGCAATGCTTCCCAATCGGCCATCCTGCTATACAAGTCTGATGAAGGAATGAGATACCGAAACAGCTAGGCTGGTCGATCTACACATTCCATGTGTTGTCGGCGTCTTCTTGTCATTCATGCCAGCAAACTGACAGTCCTCCGAGGACTCGAGAACAGTGTAGTGTACAGATTCCATGCCATCAAAGATGTGGTCGATGGCAAAGATAACGACCCACAGGGTGCTTGCTCGGACGTTAATCGCAACGCTGGAGAGTTCTTCGGTGGCAGGACCGGCCCTGGAATATCTCGATCGAGAAGACAGCAGCACGCGCGCATGACTCACTAGGACAGGCACGCTGATAAAAATAGAGAGGGCGCAATAGCATAAGGGACCAGCGCGATAGTGCCAAGATCAGGATCCTGATAGCGTGCTGGAGAAAAGATTGTCGATGCGAAGGTCTGGCGAGATTATTCCAAGTAGAATAGAATGCTGCACACGTATTTTTCCATCGCTCAAGCTGCCAGATTGTCCGGATGCAGACCAAGTTGCCCGTTCGGAGGTTTTGAAGTACAGCATACTTGCGCCAGAGATAAACTTGATTCGTTATTGCTGTACCGGGCGATAACTGAGAGGCATTTCCAGCGAGAGAGCAGAAGCATTGTGGGCGATAATGATCGGGACCGCTGCTTACTCGTGACCCTTGTCACACCTCAAGCCTAGGCTTGAGTCACGCCCAGTGCTTGTAATAATCTTGCTTGCAAACTGTCAACCACTTCATCTAATGCTCACCTCAATCGAGATGTACACTCCCTTTCCCAAGCTCGATGGCACCCCAGACGTCGCCGTCGGAATGAGTAAGCGAAAAGATCAAGTGCGATGACCGACATGCATATGATAGGAGCACGGCGCTGCACGGTTTGCAGCTGCCCATCTGTCAGCTCCGCACAATCCGCTGATTTTCTCGACGCTTCCCACAGAACTCTGCTACCCCGGCTTTCCCTGAGCCGGTCAGTTGGTGAGAGACGTCGATAGATATTCATCGCACACTCCACCCGAGTCGACACGCGGCCATCATCACCACGCCGAGTGCCCCAATCCGGCTCCTCGACAAATCCGCGCGAGTGAAGATATGGCCTCAAACACTCGTCGATTCGTGATGATCATGCGCGCGGCAAAATGTGGTAGGACGGATGCCGATTCACTGGCGGGGCCTAAAGATACACCGAGATGGATCTGTTGTTGGGGCACGTCAATTTATGGTAGTCGAAAGCTGGACTGGAAGGCCAGGGACCTAACATCCCATTTCCCCCTTCTCCTCGAGAGGACCCCATCTCTACCTTCACGACGCGAAAAGGCCATCTTTCGAACGTGAGGCGTTGCTCGAGCACATCGGAGCCTAGCGGAGGACACTTCGCTCTCCAATCAACTCGGAAATGAGGCCGCCTCAAAGACTAACGTGAAGACACACCACATTCACCCTGATTCATATCCATGGACTGCTGCTCGAATGCCTATGCTGTGCCTGTGCAACCAACCTTCTCCTTCCTGCTCTCCTTCCCGCCTTCTGTCGCTACAGTTAAGCGTCACCTGCTGGAACGTGACGGACTCCTGGCTGCCTGACTCATGATCAAGTGCCCATTACCCTTGGCATCGTGCTCTCACTCAGAGGTTCAGCGAGGTGTTTGTCCTGATCACGACATGTGACGCTTGTCATGTCGGACGCTGGTCCGCCGAAGCCTACCGAGCGGCAGCGCTCAGGCTAGTCCGAAATCCTCGCTCCTTTCCTCAGGCATTTCGAACTGCCACACTTCCGCGTGGGGGCCCATTCGAAATGTCGGGGCGATTATGAGAGCACTTTTACCACAAGTCCCCCTTCCGCCTCGCTTCTACTCTTCAGTTGGCGGCTTTACGCCGTATGGGCGAGGACAGCCCCCGCAGTTTGAATCGGATCAAGTCCATGCCGGAGACGTCTGTGTCTCCGGTCATACATGCAGGGACTAAGCATATTGGCAGAGATCTTAGAGATGCAAGTCCTTGTGCGAAATGATTCTCGACTGAAGGGTACAAGTGATCGTCTTTTACTTACCCTGCCTGCGATCCTTGTCGTTTCAGCGTCAAATGCCCCAGTGTCATCCGGAGATCTTGTGACCGATGAGATATGTCACAAAACTTCCGCTCTGAATTCCGGGCAATTCAATAATACAACCTTGTGTAATATACCGATTATTTGCTTGCCTCTCATTATAATCAGTGTGAATTAAAACGCAGCAACACGGGCAGCTAGGAATGTGGGCCGCGGTTTTGTCGTGGGCTGCGCGACTGCGACAGGCAGTCGAACGGAATCTCCATCCATGACCAGTGCCCGTCCTTTGACGGGCAGCTGTGCGTAATCGACATCCACATCCGCCTTGGTGGCATGGGCGAATCGATTGAGCGTATACGAAACTGGCACTTCGCCAACGATGCCAGGGCCACTTGGGGAGATGTGCGAGTACTGTGGGTGGGCGATGAGGATCTGTAGGATGTACTGGCGACCGGATCAGTCAAGGCACCGCAAGAAAGTAGCGCCAATGGAACCCACCTCCCGTGCCATACTCTGGTATCTGAAGCTCGGATGACCGCATGCAGGGACCTTGATCTCACCGTCGAGCCGCACGACACGTTCCGGGTCAGGCTCATCATCCATGCCTTCAAAAGATCCAGCAGGTGAGCCAGGTCGCTCCGACGTTGGTTCCTGCTCCTCCTGTTCCTCCTTCTCTTCTTCGCCTCGGTCTTCCGCACTCCACACATTTTGGAACCGAGAGCCCGGTGCGGTCTTCGGCGAAGCAGGCGACTTTGGCGCCGCTTCCGGGAGCTTTACCACGGTGCATACACGTGTTGGCCCATCCGGACCGTCATCCGCCATCCAGACCCGACCGGATCCTAAAGACTGCAGTCTGCGATTCTTTCTCGCCGCGTTGCGGGGGCTCAAAGCATCTGACGCAAATATGTCCGTTTGGAAAAACCCCGCTTGAATGGCACCCGGCTGCGCGAGTGCCTCTAGCCCCAGCGGATGATTCGACCATAGAAGAAGAGAGAAGTCGAGCATCTGGCCCGCAGTGTAGACCGCTGGCTCTTGGATACCGAGCTATGTATCAAGGATCAGTGCACTGCCATGAATGATGACGGAATAGCTCACAATGCCCTCCAACTCGATAACTTCCTCGCCGATCCGGCCTCGACCGCCAAATGGGGTCAACGTCCATCCACCCACAACTTCGCGTGTAAACGGCCAGTCTTCTCGTAGCGGTAGGAACGGGAAGGTCGTCGTCTCTCTCGGTGCAATTCTCGACAGCGGGAGATATTGGACGGGCATCTCGAATTCCTCATCGATGGAGCCGAAACCATCGCGTTCGACATTGACTCCGACAACGTACTTGATGTTACCGGAGAATCCGCCCACAACGCTCAATGAGAAAGTGGCTGGGGGAATCTCAGAAGGTTAAGACTAAAAGAGGACATTCACCCACGAGGAAGAGGAACACGGGCTTTATTCTGGGGGGGTCTTGAGTGAATTTTTCTGCAGCACTCCATTTACTGACCTTGCGGCGCTCATCGTCGGGATGCTTGACGATCGTGTCTGCTGGAAGCGCCGGAAACGAAAACGGGAACACGTAAGATCCGGCGGGCAATCTCCCCTTCTTCAGCACACCCCCAGTCGTCGGGTCGCCCATCTTCTTGTTCCAAAGGGTGCCAGTGAGAGACAGAAAGGGAAATTGCTGCATGTCAACTATACTATCCAATCTGGCCACGAGCTGCCGGCGGTTCAAGTGGGATAACATCTCAGAGAAACCATTACGCACCCAGATATCGATACTAGCCAGCGCCGTTGGTTCTTCGAGCACCATCCTCACTTCTCCGGCGATCTCGGCTAAATACTGAGATCAAAAGGATGGAACGCATAAATTTCCGATGTGCACACCCACCCGCGTTATGGTACATTGGGAGAGGCGAGTTCTCTAACGCATGGCTGAATAGCACTAGATTGAGCCACGGTTTCATATCCGCCTCGGTTGCATGCATAATCAGCGAGTGCGCCATCGTGAATCCAGGCAAGTTCGACGGCGGAAGCGTTCCTGGGAGCTCCTCAGGCGGCGGCGGATCGGAGGCGTACCACTCCGCTGGAACACCTGTCATCTATGTTAGCCAACGAGTGCACTCCCTCGAGGCGCCGGGGTGGACTCGCCGAGCCGCGAGATGTCCGGCCGCCTCCGCTTCGCGACGCGCGGCCCCCCGCCCGTCAGAGTCGAGTAGAAACTCGCCACAGACTGCGCGATGGAGCGCATAGATGCGCCCCCAGATGATTTCACCGATGCGGCATAGGTTTTCAGGCTCCGTTTCGACGATAACGCTTGCGCAGGGAAGCCACCTGGCGACTGCGTTGGACCGGACTTGCGTCGGAGGACGTCGCGCAGGAGGGACATCGAGATGCAAGTCGGGAGGAAAGAGGGGGATAGCGCATATGGATGATGGTTTCACGACACTTGAAGATATAATTGAATGGCTTGCTGAGCGAGACGGACCACGAGATAATGATCTGTGTACCGCGTGCAATACACCGCCACATATACTGACATTATATTCTGATCAGCGCTTTTCTCATTCGGAGGCGCTCTTGTCTGGCCAAGGAGGTCAGAGCGATAATTGAAGGAAGTAGATTGTAGAAAATAAATATCATAATCTTTTTAAGGAAGAAACAGTATTTTACAAGGCACGGAAGAGTTCGCTCCTTATCGATAAGATCATATGATAAGATCAACACCGCGACGGCTTTCCTCCAATCCATCTAGTTTGAATCCCGCAGGTATATCCCATCCCATTCCCGATGCCTAGATTCGCTAAATGCTTGTTAAAAACCTCTTGGGGAGCCTGCACTTGCAACACTGCCACTAATGTTCCGCTCACGATCAGCATGGTGTTCTTCACAAACGAGAAGAAGGCAGCCGAGAGCGACTACGACTACCCCTGGACTTCAAATTCGCTTCAGCCAAGGGAAGCGTCTTCTCCCTCCAAGTCTGTGCCGAAAGACTATACAAACACGTATCCTCGTACCCCCCTCGGCCGTCCGCCCACGACTCCCGTTGCACCCCTTCCAACACAAACCCTCCCTTCTCCGCCCAGACCCTGATAAGCGTATTCTCCGGTAATGTGCTCATAGCCACCCGGTGCATCCCGAGTGTCCCGAAGACGTATTCGAGGAGCGTCCAGACGGCGTCCGTGCCGGTGTCTTGTCGCAGAAACTGCGGGAGCAGGGCCAGGCCTATCTCGCATGAACGCCCGCGGTAGGTCTCGATATGGCGGACGTTCATCTCCCCCGCGAATGTTGGGGGGCTCGGGTTGCTCGCAGGACTCTCGCGATTGACGAGGTACACTGAGAGCATTATGCGGCTCGGGTCCTGCAGAGATGCCAGGCGGCTTTCACGCACTTGCTCGACCGTGAGTGTCGTCGGATGGAAGTGGAGGAATCGCTGGATGGAGGGGTCCAGTCGCAGCTGCAGAACGGCTTCGTCGTCTGCCTCTGAGCTTTGAACAAGCATAACTCTTCCCGACTTGGAAACCAGCGGCTGCTCGAGGATCATGGTGAGGTTCTCATTGGTCCTATCCCGCAGCTCTCCAGCTTTTGAATAGGTGGCGGCTGCGATGGAATCGGTGCCGGGATTGCGCAGGACACAGCTCTCTACGTTCCAACGTGCATGTGTAGATGACTATCCAAGTTACTTTCGGTCCCATTGGCAGACCACAGTCGTCGGAATGCGGAGCCGATTTACAAAATTACAGGTGTATACTGTACATATATTATTGAACATGTCACGATGATAGGCACTCTCCAAACTTCACGAGAACTGGAACACAGCTGGGTCCGCAACGACAAAGTCGTTGATCATGGACAAGTTGAAGCTGGTGACGAATGGGTTGTCGCTCGTCAACGCGACGAAGTTGGTCTAGCACATATTAGCACTGAATAACCCTCAATGAAGCAGCAGAAGAAGCAACTCACTCCATTCAAGATGGGATCGCCTGTCGTGATAGATGTGTTGTAGACATCGGCGGCTGGCGAAGGAAGGACAGTGAAGCCTGTGTTGTTCCCGGTGCTCGTGAGAGGTGTGTAGGTGGCGTTCAATTGAGAGACCCAAAGCGCGTATTCTGAGTGAGACGATCAGACACCAGAAAAGGAACAAATACGCCACATACTTGCAGTGCCGTTGGTATGGATCTGTGTCGTATAGGCATTGTCGGGACCAACGAGCAGGCCCGGGTTCTCCCATGTAAAGTGTATCTGCTGGCCTGGGTGCGTCAAGGCAGTGCGATTGGTCTGCACATCTTCATAAGCCGTGCCAAGGGTTGCACACGGTAAAGACTAACCGAAACAGCCGCCATCGATCCATTGAACTGCAGCTTCGGCTCATCCACTACCGTCAACTTGGGGAAATTCGTCCACATGATCCGCTGGAACTCGGGGGTACTCTTGTTGGGGCAGGACTGGATCCACGGCGCAAGGAGTGTCCAGGCCCAAGCTTGTGGGATGCCCGCCTCGAAGAACACGGGCATCGGGAATGCACCAGCAAATTGCCGGAAGATCATTTGCTGACTGAATGCGTGCTCGGATCGAAGGGGACAAAAGGAGAACCCAATTGTGCTCACCGTGACTCGGTCGAGATGCTTTGGTGCAGGAGGTTCGCCGAGTCGCGCGAATTGAGATGAGCGAGGAAGCCTATGACACCGCTGGACCCGGGTCAGAGCCGCTCCTCATCATATGCTTCCAGGCTAACTCACCGTTCCCCCCAACTCGTCAAACGCTGACTGAAATCCACGTAACTTCTCGGATCCGTGAATGCGTCACTGGAAAGCCCGTCAGAGAGCGGAGAGCTTCATATCGACGGACAGACGGACGAGTAGTTGTAGGTGCAACGCAGAGGCGCATTGCCCTCGCCCAGAATGTTCGTCAGCAGCTGCGCGTGCCCGCTCTCTTGGTTAGCCATAAACCTGCCCAAGATGAGATCCTGCAACAACGGAAGGAACAGCACGGGTACGCACTGGATCAGCGTCAATCCGTCTCTGTTCACACCCAGCTGCTGCTACCACTCTTGCGGAGAGAACTTGGCCAATCCGTAATGGAAGAGGTCGAGCTCGATCCACTCCTGCATCAGTCCGAGCTTGAAAGATTCGCGGTCGAAAGGCGTATGCACTTGATAGGTTGGGTACGGCCCCACCGTCGTATTCGGGAGCGGGTCCATGACAGAGGCATTCTGCAGTGCCTCCGATTGCCGTGGAGATGGTAGTGCGCGGACGAGGGTGAGACACAGAAGGAGGACTGCAGACGGGTGCATGTTGTTAATCCTTTAGCCGCGGTTGTTCGAAACTTAAGTAGGCATCGGTGGGAAATGGGTGACGTCTGCAGCGAGTCAACCTTGCCGTTCGTCACGTATGAGTACATGGCGGAAAATGGGCTGGCATCGGGATCGCAGGGCGGCATGCATCGTCTTTGACGCTACTAATAGGTCATGCATCGTTTCCGTGGTGCACGCAGTCCGCGAATAGCCCGTGCCAAAGATATATTGGTCGGAGTCAGAGAATTTGATCTTCGATGTGACAAGACATAGGACCGACGAGCATGTCAACCCAGTTGTTTCTATGGTTCGAATGTGAGCCACCTCTCAGACCATTTCCAGCAGTTCGGATGTCTTCAGAGAATGGCACGGAAGTGTGGAGATCGGTGATGTGGGATTCAGAGCAGAGTGGACGGACTGAGCTTCCGTACGACCACCAGCAAAAATGTCCAGTTCCATGTCCATGGCATGTCCTGCGCCTATCCTGAAGTACAGAAGCTTCGCTCTTCCAAGTAATGGTTCGCGAGCGGAGTCGGTTGTCACCGAGCGCTTCGAGTGGGGAGCGGGTATGAGACCACGCGTCACGCGTTATCGTCACTTGCTGACGCGCTCACGTTGTCTTCTAACCACAACGTCCATTCACGCGTTCGACGCGTCGCGGAGGTGCACGATGGCCGTACAAACGGGGCTGCCCTGATTGAAGTACGCACTGCTTCTACCATCACAGCCCTGAGAGGAACGGCAACGCAGTTCATTTTTTGGTGTCCAAGACGCTCATTTTGCTCGCAATCGTTTCCGCTCACGAAACGTGATTAAGAGCCCCGTTGTGGATCAAACGAAGCGTCCGCTGAGCAGACCGCGCCCACAGTTTACGTTGTATCCTTCTTCTCGATGTTGACATGGCGCCGTCATCTCGAAACTGAGAGCCTCGAATCAGGATCTGCTTCTGATGGAGACGGTTCACGATTGGTTTACGCGGTAAGACAGCTTCGGATTTCAGCTGGCCGGAATTTGTCGTACGTTTTGTTCAGTTCCTTCATATTTCTGCAGTATGTTTTGTCGAAATCGACTGCTCGGGCGTCGTTTTCAGATCCGCCGCACGAATGCAAGGCCTGAATTCGACCGAAATTTCCTCTTCGATAGGTATGAGTTCCAGAACTTGGGGCAATTCTGCTCGCCGGATCGTGAATTGGAAATCGGCTCATTAAGAGACGTGAACTAATACGTAGGTTTGACTGAATGCGATAGATGTGGATCTAAGTGTCCCAGGTACAATTTATCGTCTGGATCGACTGTATATAAGCTCAGACTGAGAACTTGACACAGACGAGCTCTTCCGTGATCTCCCACAACTTTGCAGCGATATCCTGGCATCGACTGTGAGTTGCCAATCTCTCTAATAAGAGAACACCGCGACTCACAGGATCCGCAGCGTGCGGCGCAATCTTCTCGTTTGCGACGACACAATCGTCGAGATACGCACCCGGAACACTCTCCAGGCGCGGGTCAAACGCAGCGGTCACAGTCGTCGCAGCGCCTGCAGGAATAGACTTCCACGGCGCGGCCTCGAGGTTGGGCGTTCCGTCGGGGTGGAGGATGCCCATCTCCTTCTCTATTGCAATCGTTTCTTCCCTCTGAGCAATATTGGTGAAGATAACTGGGCGAGAAGATGTGCTCAGTGCCGGGAGCAACGTATGTATGCACATTCAGAGCACAAACTCACGTCCAGGATGGAGACTGTACCCGTTGATAAGCCCCTTGGACCGCCGCGAGATCTCTGCTGCGGTAAGCACGTTCGCCGCCTTGGCTTTTGCATACGCATTCATCGGGATGTACGATTCCTGGTCGGGTTTGGCTAGATTCTCTAGATCCAACGCCTGGTAAGCGTGTGCGGCGCTCGAGACGAAAACGACCCGCGGGGTGAATGCCGCCGTGTGCGTGGCTACGATCTTCGGCGCTATGAGGGCCGTGAAGAGGAAGGGGCCGAGGTGGTCCGTGCCCATTTGGCTCTCGAAACCGTCCACAGTGAACTTGTATTTGCCGACGGCGGTAGCAGCGTTGTTGATCAGGACGTGAATAGGCTCGGTGTAGGCGTTGACTTCAGCTGCAGCCCGTCGCACATCTCCAAGAGACGAGAGATCCACGACTAGGGGTCGGATTTCGGCGCTGGGTCCATCTTTCGCCAGCTCGGTCTGCGTGAGCTGCAATCTGCAATACCAGGATCAGCGCCCAGTGCTGCGTGGAACGCGTCAAGACACGCTCACCGCTCCCTGTTGTATCCAGTGATGATGACGAGATGAGCATATTTGGCTATGGCGCGCGCCGTCTCAAAACCGATCCCATTCAGTGACGTTCCAGTGATAAGCACTGCAGAGCCGTTGTGGTGAACCGGCGCACCAATAGGCTTGTCAGGAAAAACGCACCATTCTTGCCCTTTATCTGGTCTGTGAAAGCCGTCGCGACCTCCTCAGCAGTAGTTTCGGCGTTGAAAGTTGGGTAAGACATCTCTAGTGGATTCGGAGGCTGGTTGGGCTGATAGCTCGGTAGTCTCAAGCTACGACTTGGAGCATTTATACCACAGTTCGGTCTGATGACCAATTCCCGAGAGAGGAAGGATATCCCGATTCATGTGCTCAGTGAGTCTTCTCCGACCTTGATCGGAATACACATACGTTACCAATCAGTGTGGCCGGCGTACAATTCCTTTGAACATCCAGCAATGCTTGAATACGGTCATGTGGTATTGAGAGTTTCGGAGATCAGAAGTGACTCGGAAGAATGACACGCCGGGGGGTGGATGAGATCTTGTCACTATATTGATACTGTTCAGTCGGTTTAAGCATCGCTTGTATACATTTTTGATTGAATTGTTAGTTTCCGTCGCCATTCGCACAGCAGCGACAACTTCCCAGGCCAGGAAAAACCATCCGTAAACTTCGTTTGGCTTGATACATGAGTTTCACTGAATGTAATACATGTGGTTGCGAGAGTCCAGGGCAAAATCTCTAGTCTAGCCCGACTCTGTATGAGCTCAGGCTGAGAACTTGAAACCAACGAGCGCCTCCGTGGCATCCCACAACTTCGCTGCGATCGCCTGAAATGCGACTGTGAGCGGGGCGTGCACACAAGGGTGAGACCAAACAACTCACGGGATCAGACGCGTGCGGCGCAACCGTGTCGTTCGCGACAGTGGAGTCATCCAGGTAAGCACCGGGGAGACTGTCCAACCGCGGATCAAACGCGGCGGTGACGGTGGTCGCGGCGCCCTGCGGAATCGTCTTCCACTTCATCATATCGAGGTTGGGTGTGCCGTCGGGGAGGAGGATCCCGAGCTCCTTCTGGATGACTTTGATTTCTTCCTTGTCGTTCATGTTCGTGAGAATTACTGCACGGGGGTCAGTCGCGCCGTATGACTGGCTGATGCGCTTGCTCACTTCCGGGATGCAGACTGTACCCGTTGATCTGCCCATTGGACCGCCGCGAGAGCTCCGCCGCGGTGAGCACGTTCGCCGTCTTGGCTTCGGAATACACGTTCAATGAGTTGTAAGATTCCGGATTGGGCTTGCCCAGTGTCTCCAGATTCACCCCCTGGTACGTGTGCGCGAGACTCGAGACGAAGACCACCCGCGGGGTGAACGTCGCGGTGCGCGCGGCGAGGATCTTCGGCGCGATGAGCGACGTGAAGAGGAACGGGCCGATGTGGTCTGTGCCGATTTGGCTTTCAAAGCCGTCCACGGTGAGCTTGAAACCCCCAATGGCGGCGGCGGCATTGTTGATCAGGACGTGGATGGGCTCGGCGTACGCATTGACTTCGGAGGCTGCCCTGCGCACGTCCTTGAGCGACGAGAGGTCGAGAACCAGTGGCCGAATCTCAGCCTTGGGGCTCTCCTTCTCCAGTTCAGCTCGCGCAAGCTCCAATCTGCGCAACACGGTGCTCAGTCTGGTGTTACGTGCAGATAACTGGAGGCAGCTCACCGCTCTCGATTGTAGCCGGTTATGATGACCAGATTCGCGTGTTTGGCGATAACACGCGCAGTCTCGAACCCGAGTCCGTTGATCGAAGTCCCTGTGACGAGGACTACATGATAGGCCAACAGGAATCAGCGCACTGCTCTACTCCTCGGGACAATGAACGTACCGTTCTTGCCTTTGATCTCATCCGCGAACGCCGTCGCGACTTCCTCGGCGGTGGTGTCGAAGGTGAAGGTGGGATATGAAGTTCCTGCCATGGCAAATAGTGGGTTGTTCTACCGATAGCCAGCCCGACCCCGCCCCACTTTATATCTCCCGTCGGATTATCAAGCAGAGTGCGAAATTATGTCGCATCGACTCTCGGGTATTGATCTGGAGCATGGGAGACGAATGGCGTTTTCCCGACGCAGATCGGGAATTGCTTAGTACTGCGTCTGGTTTGAAAGCAGCATAATCGAGAGAAAGCTAAAAGATGTGCCGACGGGTCTCATGGGAGAGTTGCGGGCACAGTCGAAACCCTGAGTGGCTATGATCGACATTTGGAGAGCTCAGAGTCAAAGATTGCGGTTTGAGTTGCACTGGGCAGGCACAAGTCGCGTCACATGTCACACATCACAAAACTGTAGACGGTGTGTGATGTAGAATTACCAGACCATAGGATCTAAGTATTGAAAGCGATAGAGAAGGGCGTGTTTTCTTCTGGTCTGTCGGAAGGGATTGATTCAGGAGCTCCTGCTGAGACCTGAATCTCTTCCCACTGATATGATCTTGCGACGCCTGCTGTTTCTCGGGGGATTGGATGACCAAAGCACTAATAAGACGACTTCATCGTTCAGGCTAACTGTGCTACCATTGCAAAATGTAATCTAGATACGTATGACATCTTCAAAAGTTGAACTTGACACCGACAAGCTCTTCCGTGATCTCCCACAGCTTTGCAGCAACGACCTGATATCGATTGTCAGTTGCCGATGTCTCTCATGAGAAAACACCTCGACTCACAGGATCAGCAGCGTGCGGCGCAATCTTCTCGTTCGCAACGACGCAATCATCGAGATACGCGCCCGGAACACTCTCCAGGCGCGGGTCGAACGCGGCAGTCACAGTCGTCGCAGCACCCGCCGGAATCGACTTCCACGGCGCGGCCTCGTGGTTGGGCGTGCCGTCGGGGAGGAGGATGCCCACCTCCTTCCCCATTTCGTTCGCTTCCTTCTTCTGATTGATGTTGGTGAAGATAACTGGGGTGAAAAGACGTGCTCAGTGACGGGACCGACGGGCATATGTACAATTGCGGGCCACTCACCTCCAGGGTGGAGACTGTACGCGTTGATCTGCCCCTTGGACCGCCGCGAAATCTCCGCCGCGGTGAGCACGTTCGCCACCTTGGCTTGGGCGTACGCATTTACCGCAGTGTACGACTTCGGATCGAGTTTGGCCAGCGTCTCCAGATCCAATGGAAAGTAAGTGTGCACGGTGCTCGAGACGAAGACCACCCGCGGAATGAACGTCGCGGTGCGCGCGGCGAGGATCTTCGGCGTGATGAGGGCCGTGAAGAGGAACGGGCCGAGATGGTCCGTGCCCATTTGGCTTTCAAAGCCGTCCACGGTGAGCTTGAAACTGCCGATTGCGGCGGCGGCGTTGTTGACCAAGACGTGGATGGGCTCGGTGTACGCGTTGACCTCGACAGCTGCCCTGCGCACGTCTTCGAGTGACGCGAGATCGAGAACCAGTGGCCGGATCTCGGCCTTGGGGCTCTCCTTCTCCAGTTCAGCTCGCGCAAGCTCCAATCTGTGCAACGCGGTGCTCAGTCTGGAATTGTGCACGAAGACCCAGGGAGGGCTCACCGCTCCTGATTGTAGCCTGTTATGATGACGAGATGGGCGTATTTAGCTATGACGCGCGCCGCCTCAAAGCCGATCCCATTCAGAGACGTTCCAGTGATAAGGACTGCAGAACCATCGGGTCAGTGGTAGCCCCAAAAGCTCGTCAGGAGGAACACACACCATTCTTGCCCTTGATCTGGTCGGCGAAAGCTGTGGCGACCTCCTCGGCAGTGGTTTGGGCGTTGAAAGTTGGGTAAAACATCTCTAGTGGATTGGGAGACTTGGTGGGCTGATAGCTCTGTGTTCTCAAGCTGCGAGCATTTATACCACAATCCAATGGCCGATGCCCGAGAGAGACAGGTAATCCCGATCTATGTGCCGGCTGACTGAGGATATCCATAACGCTTCTCCGACCTCGACCGGGATATGCGTGTTACCAATACGAGGTTTGTGGGCGACGAGTCTGCAGACTCAAGCCAGGCGTCGCCTGTTTGCATGAGGAAGGCCGACTTGGATGGCGTGAGACGTACGGATGCCCTTTTCATGTGAATGATTGTGAACACTAAGATGTATGCCGACAAACACACCAGTATGCAGTTCGGTGTAACTTGGACCTGAGATGATTGCATCCTGCCTCGCTCAAAACCACCCCCTTCCTGAACGAAGCGATAGCGAATTACACTTGAGGGATCTTCAGCAGCTCTCGTCCTCCGGCATGGTAAGAATACTGAGTAACAGCAGAGATGAAGATGGCAAGTCACATGTCACATTTAGCCCACTCGCGATTCTTGGGTGGCTGTGACCTCCCTCTGCTTACCACCCGCCGTGGACTGCGAGCCAAGTGTCGCGGAGGTGGCGCGCCTTTGCGCTGTCGTAGCCGTTTCTGTGGAACGAAGTTCTCATCGACTCGCAAGAGCGCTGGGTGGTTCATGCCTGGCCCCATCTGGCGCCTCGAACTTCATCCCTCGCGGTCGCCCTCCTAGTCGTCTTGCGTGAATAGAAGGTCCCGATGTCTTCCTCCTGCGGCTATTCACTCTTTTCGCTTTTCTCCTGCATTATGGAGATCTTCGTAGCACAGTCGAGCCTGTGGGGCTCGGATCTTGAATACCGACCTGTTCAGCTCGTGGGGGCCACTGCTAACAGGGATCCACCGAAACGTAGACAATCTTCACACTCTCACCTAAATCCTTGATTCTGATCGACTTCCTGTAAGACACCCAATCGATAACTTTGAGATCGCGCATGAAGTGGTCCACATACATGAAGCAACCGGTCCGTCAAGCAACTCGGATGGAAGCCGCGAGGGGTTGTGGCTTAATGCACCTGGTACAACGTTTTATAATGGAAGGACGAGCTGGGAACATCATCCGACCGCCCTCGAGTCTTCTTCGACAAACCTTGTCTAACAGTCGAATGCTTTTTGGCCGTCACTCGTCCGATCGTAGAGAAGACGGACATTATCGAGGCACCGAATCTGCGGTGCGTGGCGGCGACCGACGCCGGGTTATTGCAGTACTTTCGAACGCTGCGCTGCCTCTGGCTTCACTCCGAGAATAAGCTTCGCCCGGTTCGTTCACGCAAAGTGTTTCGCCGCCTCGCATACCGGGCCCGTATTAGCTCCGATGACAATCACAGTCTTCCAAGCGAGATCGGACGTGACCACGGGCTCCTAAGCTTTCCACTGCGAGATCAAGAAGTCGAGGAAAGAATAACGCATGGCCAGTGAATGAATCGAGAGACGTGTGAGCCGTGCATGTGACAGCTTCGCAGACGAGCCACTGGACCGATAAAAGGTGCGTCGTTCCCGTCGTGGTTGCATGTCACAGTATAGACGCAACTGTCCCAGTAATGAGGCATCCTGAGAGTCAGGCTGCACAAGAATCAGACAGTCGAGCTTTCACTGTGCTGTTCCCTTGGGATTAGCTAGCACGCGTACGAATCAGATCTACATAGCCCGCCAAGTGCAGCTTAATGCGCACGGCGAAACTACTGACTAGCGGGCCAGTGTTCGTCGAAGACCTCATCGGACTTGCATTTGACAGCAGAAGCCAAGGGTGCGTATCTCTGAACAGGGTAAAGGATATTACGGCGACATTGGTTCCTGACAATCCCAGATGTCCGAAAGTATCTGATCTTCCCCCTGATCTACATGCGCGAAGACCGATGCAGATTATTCTGTATGGGAATGCGAGTCACAGGGCCCAGTTCTTTCAGGGAAGTGGAAGCTGCGCCATGATCCTGGAGAGCAAGCTCGCAGCAGTTCAGAACAAATCGACTAGTGTTTGATCCGGTATCGCTCCGACGAGAAGCTCACCCGAAGCCTCAGGGCAGAGGAAGACCATCGTGTCTCTAGTGATCGGATGTGGTAAACTTCAACATTTCACGTGACATATTCAGTCGCTTCATCAGGTAACGGCGGCGCATACGGTTTTTGTACTTTGTCAATTCCGAAAGCAATGACTGACTCGATATAATTTCAGAGAATCTCTCCCGATGCTGTTCCAATCACGTCGAGGGTCTAGCCCGACAAAAATAGCGCTTCCCACAGCCGACAGCACCCTCCGCGCCGTCGATTCGATACCGAACCTCTGGCGTCGACGCATTCTTCTCATGTCCATAACTATGAGATGTCCTCTAAGGTTTCCGCCGGCACGGGTTGGCCTATAACCGGGCCCTGGAGAAGATAAAACCAGACGTCGAGCCCCCTTGCTGTTTCAATCTGGTCCCATGCATCTCCTCCTTCAAGCAGCGATCTCAGCCTTGCCCATCGCAGTTTACTATTCTCTAAGACCTAAGAGAGATCCCATCCCGGATTTGCCAGGTCCAGAGTCCTCGTCCTGGCTTTATGGTGGGCGTTGTTTCTCAAAGTCGTTGCCCGATAGCTGATTGTCCCGCGTAGGGAACTTGGCCGAACTTCTCCTCGCCCCGGACTATGGCAAGTACGAGTTCACCTGGCTCAAGCGATTTGGGAGCGTGTACCAAATCCGGGCCTGTCTTGGAGTGGGTGTTCACAACAGAATATAGACCGGGGGCTGCTGTGAGCTGACTCTGCTGCTGATAGCGTACCCAAATCGTCATCGCAGACCCGGCAGCGATGCACCACGTGTTCAGCAGTCCGAAATGGGACCAAGGACCTCCCCTTTCAATGCTGGCAACTATGGTTTTTGGCTCGCAAAGCGTGCAGGGTGTCAGAGGTGAGCAACAGCGACCTGTTTCCGTCGCTTGAGTGAGCATAAGAATCGACGCGCGACTTGATCCAGCTGCGGGACCTGAGCATCGTCATTTACGAGGCGCGCTCAACGGCGCCTTCACAGCCTCCGTTGTCCAGAGCTACGAAACAATATTCGAGAGGGTTGCTGCAGGGGTACGTTCCGTCTTTTGCCGGCCCCGACCCAAGTAGTAAAAGCATTCACATGACGCAGATTTCCGAAAAAATTGACTCGAGCACCGCGGATGATGTTGATATCACGGGCATGCTCTCAGCTGCGACACTGTCTGCCATCTCGACTGGTACTTCGATCACAGACACTGCATAATCAGTATGACTGATCCGATGGCAGCATTGCTCAGCCGCCCTGTCGAAGAGCTTGACCCGGGTTTCATTGATCTCAATACCAATCTTCTGTGAGCACCATTTTTTTTATTACTGACACTCGAAGTTCAAAACCAATCTTTCAGTCGTACGGCGGCAAGAACTTCAAAGAGAGACCTCTTGTCGACTGATTTACTGACCAACTACATTCCTCGACGCTTGCTCTACAAGCTACTGCACTTGCGAGTGGCAGGATGGCACGCCGTGACAGAAGGCCGGGACCTTGGTCTTGCTCTCGGACGAGCTGTTGTCGAGGACAAGTTGCGCGTCAAGGCATCAGGCGAGGACCAAGGAACCGGGGATGTGTATGATCTGCTTTGTGCGTCCTCACGTCCGGGATTTGTTTTACCCCTCAGACTGTTGCAGTATCAGGCAAAGCGGGCGCAGAGGCCAAAAAGCTCAATGTTGAAGAGCTGGTCGCCCAAACGTCCGTCCTTCTTGTGGCTGGTCAGGACACCACTGTCAGTCGATTCCCTATTTGCATTGTCCACGCACCTAAATACGGATGCCCAGGCAAACACGCTGGCCTTCTGCCTGATTGAACTGGCCCACAATCCCGCACTTCAAGAACAACTCCGCACAGAACTTCAGGCCCGCGGGCCAGCGCAGCCATACAACCAGCTTCCACTGCTCAATGCCATCATTAAAGAGGCCCTGCGGATGTTCCCCGCAGCACCTATCATGGACCGGCTTGCATACGAAGACGACATCATCCCTCTTTCGGAGCCGGTTCTGGACCGCCATGGGCGGAAGATCGACTGCATTCCTGTTCGGAAGGGGCAAGTTGTGACTATGGCTATCGCCTCGTATCAAAGGTGGTGTTGTATCTCAGCTGGCGCTGTTCAGCCAAACTAATTTGTGTAGAATGGCGTCCCACTGGGGACCTGACGCGATGGAGTTCAACCCAATGCGATGGCTGGAGGGAGGCTCGGTCAAGACCAGCGACGTCATTGGTCCCTACGCAAATCTGTGAGCGCTCGATATTTCAGATCAGCGGCGAACACGCATCTCACACTGGCCAGAATGAGTTTCGCAAGTGGAGCACGGACGTGTATTGGGTAAGTTTTCCTTCCCGTTTCACCCCCCCCCCCACCAAGAGAGCTCACTCAGTATTCAGATGGCGATTTGCGTGGGTTATCACTTGTCTATCCCTTGTAATCACGCTCGAGCCATCCCTTCAGCGTCATGGAGATGCAGATCATCCTCTGCGAGCTTGTTGGCAAATTCAGCTTCAGCATTCCACCTGGGAGCAAGACTGCTGCGCAGCTGGCGCATACCCTGTTCCCGTTGGATGAAAAGACGAGAGAGAAGTGTGCCATGCTACAGGTCAAATCCGTATGAGCAGCTAACTTGCAATCGTTACATTGATTTTGAATGGCGAAAATTTATGTGCAGGTTGAACGTAGTTACAGAAACAAAGGAGTGTAGATTTTGAGGGATACGGCATCTCACTTTTGTGCACGCAGTCCACACAGTCGTTGATCAACACGCAGTGGACATGGGACAGAAACCTTCCCTTTAGCTTAGTCGTTCAAGTCCAGATGTCTGTCTACCTGTCCCCATTGTGCGAGATTCAGCTCAAGAGATCTAAGATTGAAAGGGTCATTGCGTTTGATTTGAGGATTCTAGGACTAGAGTGTCTGGGAAGTCGATGATGTACTCCCCACGCAGGGCTCTGCCGTCACCCTCTCCACCGAGCACAGCGAAGACAAGCTGCCTGCTGCCCACCTCGGTTTTGCGTGCGACCAGGAGCTTCATGAGAGTCAACATGAACACGACTGCGGCACCGGAGGCATGGCGCAGAACCTCGCTGTGGCAGAAGCCAAGGTTGACGGTGTCGATGACGACTGGTGTCGAGGAAGCCAAACGATCGTTGAAGGCGCGGACGAAGACTTTGAGCAATGGCAGTTGCTCAGACGCGGGTCGGAGCGGAAAGCAGCACCCGTACGTTTGGTGATAAAGTATCGATCCGACATGCGCTTCGGACTTGAGATGCATTGAGGTGACAGAAACGAGGTGCGTCTACGCAACGCACCTGGAGCAGTACTCAACTCCACCCAGAACGGATAATGGGGACGGCCTCTCCGCGACCTCTTCGGAGATCTTGGCCCAGTAGTGGACCTCACCAGCAACAGCAACAATACGGGGCACAGTCCCATGTTCCTGCGCCGTCTTGACCATCACGGGTAGCAAACGGAGAGCGAGGAGGGGCGTTGAAAGGCCGTTTGCTTGCATCCTTTGACCAGGTCAGGATGATAGACTGGAGTGCGATGCGACAGAAAACACGCACGACGTTTCGCACCCGTCTTTTCTCACTTCGTACTTGCTGTCGAGACGCCGGCGTTCTCGACCAAGATGTCGAGCCGTGCGCCTTCTCGCTCGAATCGATCGGCGAACAAGGTCACCGAAGCAAAGTCAGCCAGATCGATGATCCAGAGCTTTGCAGTAGCGTAACCGGTGTCCTGCTTCAGCTCTCCGTGGGCCCGATCAGCTTGTGCATGCCACGTGCAAGTGAGGAGGAAGACAAGTACTTTCGAGCGCTGCGCTGCCTCTGGCTTCACTCCGACATCCCAGAATAAGCTTCCCCGGGCCCATCCGCGCGAAGTGTTCCGCCGCCTCGAATCCCAGGCCTGTATTGGCTTCAATGACAACGACAGTCTTCCCAGCGAGATCGGGTATGACCACGAGCTCCAGAGTCTTCCACTGCGAGACTACAAAGTCGAGGGCAGAGTGCCGCATGGCTGGTGGATGGATCGAGAGATGCGTGAGCCGCAAATTTAACAGCTTCGCAGACGAGAACGCGCGTCGTTCTCGCCGTCATAACCGCTTTAACCGCCTCTTGCAGGGATCACGAAATCGATGGCACGTCAGAGCAGAGTCGCAGCTGTCGCGAGACTGACGCGTCCTGAGAGTCGGGCTGCCGAAGAATCAGACAATCAAGCCATCCTTGTGTGGTTCCTGTGGGAATCTTTGGCACGGGTGCGAATCATACCAGTATTCAGGTTGGTTCACAGCAGTAAATAGACCGCGGTGTCGTGCCTATGACGTACACTGCCACTGAATACACCCACGTTGATCACGTGTATGCTAAACAACTTACAAGTAGGCCCTAGAATATGGTTTGGCCATGACTAGTCAAGACATCGAGGTCTTCGGGCGCGGCACGCTCAGGCACGGGAACCTGCCAACGCGCGGGCTATCGGTCCTCGAAGCAGTCATCCGACTTGGCAAAAGAAGGAAAGGGGCGATCTCTGAACACTGGCAGGGTAAATGATCTTACAAACATACTTAGTGGTGCCGGACAATCGCAGGCGCTGATAGTATCCGGTCTAGCTCCCCATCTGGAAGTCTTTACATGGTTCTATGCCATACATTCACAACGTATGTGAGTCACAGGGTCCAGTTCTGTCAGGGATCTGGGAGCTGCGCCATCATCACGGAGAACAAGCCAAGGCACAATTCGACGAACGTTCGATCCGATGTCAAGTCCCTCAACAAAGAGGGCCAAATAAACCCCGAGGCGGAGAAGAAAAGCGCACGCAGACTCGAATTGCGTCCCTAGCGGACAGATTGAAGAAACTTCAACATTGCAAGTGGGAGGTTCAGTTCGTTTCATTGGGCAAGGCTGCGGGGCCAATTCTTGTCCTTTGTCAATTTCAACAATAGTTCGTTTGAATTCTGAATGATTTATCTCGATGCTGCTCAATTCAAGCCGACTCGGCAGTATGGCTTGACAAGAATAGTACTGCTCACCGCTGACAGCACCCTCCGAACAGCCGATTCGATACTACCGAACGTCTGGCGCAGACTCACACTTCTCAGGTCTGCAGCTACTGGACATCCTCTCAAGACTCCGCTGGTGCCGGCCGGCTCGTGACCGGGCTCTGGAGAATATAAGAGCAGATCTCGAACCCCCTTTGCTTCAATCTGGTCCCATGCATCTCCTCCTCCAAACAGCGATCGTGGTGTTGCCCATCGCCTTCTACTACGTTCTGAGACCGAAGCGCAATTATGTTCCGGATTTTCCAGGTCCAGTCTCTCCTTCGTGGCTGTATGGTGGGTTCTGCCCTTCAAAGCGGTCAGTCAGGGAGGTGGTAAATATCGCCTATGCAGGGAACTTGGCCGAACTTCTCCTTGCCCCGGTCTACGGCCAGTACGAGTTTACCTGGCTCAAGCGGTTTGGAAGCGTATACCAAATCCGGGGTTGTTTCGGAGTGGGTGTTTATCACAGAACATCGACTGGGCTGGGTTGGGAGGCTCACTCTGCGGATAGCGCACACACATCGTCATCGCGGACCCGGTGTCGATGAACTATGTGTTCAGCAGCCCGAAGTGGGACCAAGCGCCTACGCTTTCAACATTGATGTGCATGGCTACCGGATTGCAGAGCGTGGAGGGCTTCAGAGGTGAGCGACAGCAACCTACTTCCGCTTGAGTGAGCAGGAGAATCCACGCGATTGAATCCAGCTGCGGGACCTGAGCATCGTCATTTACGAGGGGCGCTCAACGGCGCGTTCACAGCCTCTGTTGTCCAGACCTACGAACCAATCTTTGAGCGCGTTGCTGCCGGGGTACGTCCCGTATCTTGCTGCCCCCGACCCAAGCAGGAAAGCGATCCAAATGACACAGATTTCCGAAAGAATTGATTCGAGCCCCACGAACACTGTCGATATCGCGGACATTCTTTCGGCTGAAACGTTATCGGCCATCTCAATGGGTATTTTGATCAGCGACACCACACAGCATGTATAACCGATTTCATGGCAGCTTTGCTCAGCCGCCCTGTCGAAGAACTTGACCCCGGTTTTGTCCAGCTCAATATCAATCTCTTGTGAGCCTTATTTTCAATGATTTCACCTTCATTGAGTGATACCAGGCGTGCCGCGGCGAGATCCTCAAAGAAGGACCTCTTGTCAACCGATTTACTGGCCAACTACATCCCTCGGCGCTTACTCTACAGGCTGCTGAACTTCCGAATAGCAGGGTGGCACGCCGTGACACGCGGCCGCGATCTTGGTCTGGCCCTTGGACGAGCTGTTGTTGAGGACAAGTTGCGCGTTCGGGCATCAGGCGAGGACCAAGGAATCGAGGATGGGTATGATCTGCTTTGTGCGTCCTCACGTCCGGGATTTGTTTTTTCCCCTCAGATTCTTGTAGTATCAGGCAAAGCGGGCACGGGGACCAAAAATTTGGGGACCGAAGAACTGATTGCCCAAACATCCGTCCTTCTTTTGGCTGGTCAGGACACAACTGTCAGTAGATTTCCCAACGGCATTGTCCATGCACCTGACCACAGATGCCCAAGGCAAACACGCTGGCTTTCTGCCTGATTGAACTGGCCCGCAATCCCGCCCTCCAGGACCAGCTCCGCACGGAAATACAGGCCCACGCGCCAGGACAGTCATACAACCAGCTCCCACTTCTCAATGCTGTCATCAAAGAGGTGCTATGGATGTTTCCTACAGAACCTGTGACGGATCGGCTTGCTTATGAAGGTGACATCATCCCTCTTTCGGAGCCAGTTCTAGACCGCCAAGGGCAGAAGATTGAGTGCATTCCTGTTCGGAAGGGGCAAGTTGTGACGATGGCTATTGCCTCGTACCAAAGGTGGTGTTGTATCTCAACTGGCGGTGTTCAGCCAAACTAATATTTTTTAGGATGATATCCCAATGGGGATCAGACGTGATGGAGTTCAACCCAATGCGATGGCTCGACGGAGGCTCTGTCCAGACCAGCAACATCATAGGCCCCTATGCAAATTTGTGAGCACTTAATGTCTCAGGTTGCTGGTGACCACACATCTCACACTGCTCAGAATGACTTTTGTGAGTGGAGCACGAACATGTATTGGGTAAAATTTCCTTGTCATTTCACTGCCCCACCCAAGAAAACTAACTCAGTATTCAGGTGGCGATTTGTGTGGGTTTTCACTTATCCATCCTTTGTACTGAACACTCCAACCATCTCTTCAGCATCCTGGAGATGCAGATCATCCTCTGTGAGCTCATTGGTAAATTCAGCTTTAGCATTCCACCTGGGAGCAAGAATGTTGTGCGGCTGGCGCATACCCTGTTCCCATCAGATGAAACAACTGGAGAGAAGTGTGCCATGCTACAGGTAAAATCTGTATGAGCTGCTCACTCACAATTATTACTTCTTGACAAAAAAGACGGGGGAAGCCATGGGGGACTTTGAGGGTCGGATCCGGCCGGTAGCCATGCCTTCTTCTATAAAAGCGTCAAGCTGCTTCTGCTCCAAGGGGGAGATAGGGTAGACCTTGCAGTTTGTTGGCTTGACATCGGGCACCAGTTCGATGGTGTGATCCCAAGGGCAACGTTCCAGAAGATTGTTGAAGGATTCCTTTGTCATAGTTCGGCCACTTTTTCATCTTATCATCGACGATCTTATCTTATCTTGGCACGACTTATCTTATCACGGATCACGGCATCAGACGGTCCGGACTAGGGGTTCCAGGGATTATCTTCATCGATTCGAGGCTGCGCGACATATGCTCCAGAAGGTTCTACTACGACCCATGACCAGCGTTCCATGCGGTACATAGCCCTATGACTCATTAGTTGTAGATATGACTCAGACTGGATTTGGGTATAAATACTGTAGCTACTTGGTTGTATTCTCCAGTCTGCGAATTCATTTCTCTTTTCGACTTTGTTTTGGGTTGATTGTCACATAATTCGAAGACTCCCCTCATACCCTCCTACCTCATACCTCTTACCCTGCATCTTGCACCGCTACGCCCGCTATATCCTCTTAACCCTTATCACCCCACTCACCCTTTTACCGAATCATCTAGTCGTCCTCCACTATCGCAGTGAAGGGTTCATATCAAGCAAACAGCACCAGGCCACGGGTAACGTTGAGCCCGACCCAAGCCTTACGGTAGCTACAAGGAGTGCTGCGGAGACCTTCGGGAAAACGCACCTCGGGATCATCGGGCACGTGAAGAGCTAGGCCCGGGATCTTTTTGCTAGCAAAAGAACCCTCCCTCGAGTGCTTGTACAGCACACGATTCCACCATTTCGTACCGATTCCCATCGTCGTCTGGGAGTCCGTCCCCTCCCCCCATCGTACCATCGTCGCCCGATCTGGCGCATCAAAACCAACCCGGGCCCTCCAACCCCTACCTCGCCCTCCCACCGCCTGAAGACGAGATCCCCGACCTCAACGAACTGCCCTCCGAACAACCACCCTCGCCTCCACCTCACACGCCTGCCCCTATCATGTCAGGGCATCACCGCATCACCCTCGCCGCCAACCCCCCCTACTTCGATGGCGACAAGTCCAAATACCTGGGCTTTGTGGACGCGTGCACCACTTACACCGGTGCCTATCGATCGGAGTTCTCACAAGATGAGACCAAAATCCTCTTTGTCCTCTCCTACCTCCGTAACGAGAACGGCACGAGCTGCGCTGCCTCGAGATGGGCGATGAACTGGAAGCAGCACAACTTCGATGGCTTCCAGGGACTGAAGGCAGGAGTCACATCAAAGAACTTCCTGGAGGAGCTTCAGAGGGCGTTCGGTGACTCCAATGCGGAACAAGTCGCCGCTGCTCGGCTTATGGCCCTGCGTCAAAACAAACGGTCCTTCGCGGACTACATCTCCGACTTTGAGATGTTGGCTGCGGATGCAGGCTACAATGTGGTTGACACCACCGACGACAAAGGCGAATACAAGAAGGGGGACCAGGATAATATCCTCATCGAGTTCCTGGAGCGCGGACTCAGCAGCGAGATCGCCAGCCGTCTCTACAACACCAGTGTCCCTCTGCCCAAGGCCTATGGAGCGTTCAAAGCCTGGTGCATCAACATCGAAGCCAATGCTCTGCGTGACCAGCTGCGCAAAGCGTCGTATGGGCACCCCACACAACGACCACCTCCCCAGTTCCGTCCCCAAACGGCACCAGTGGCGCCCACACCCGCTCCGGCCCGACCCGCTGCCAACGAACCGGTTCCAATGGAAATCAATCGTACCCACGCCCGCGGCCGCAATATCATCTGCTACAACTGTCAGCAGCCCGGGCACATTGCGCGGAACTGCCCGGAGCCCAAGAAGAAGCGCACGTTCTTCAATCGGGCCACAATGCTGGAAGAAATCGAGAACGGGGACAAGGACAACGAGTTCCTGAAGGAGATTGCCGAGAAGCTGCGCGAGAAGGGTTTTTGAAGCGCTCCACTCCTCTAGCCAAGGAGGTGGAGCGTCCGGACTATGGACGATTTTCTGTACTTGTTTCGATTAAAGATACGGACAATATTTCATCTACATACACGATCTCAGACTCACTACGTACAAATATTCACGATTTTCTTATTGCCGAGATGGAAAAAGAACGCCAGGAAAAGATAGCTCTAAATAGAAAATACTTACAAGATAAAAAGATCAGAAAGCTGCAGATAAATTATTTTTGGACTCCTACGTATTTATGGCTCGTGGAGAAGGAACCACGTCAACAAAGACCGAAAAGGGGAGCATCGCTCCGAAGGCTCGATCCTTGGAAAAGGAGGAAGCGCCCAAGGAATCTGCCAAAATCGAGGTTCCAGAAGCACCCAAACGCACCAGGGTGCCAGATGCCATCCAGAGGAAATTGGCGGCCGAGAAACAGAAGGGCCCCCAGCCCAGCAGATTGGCGCAGGAATTGCGCAGTTACCAAGTCGAAAGAAAGAGGCATTCGATGGACGTATATGTCCAGATCACGGGCCTGGACTCAGGGAAAACGCGTGGAGTCAAGGCGCTGCTCGATAGTGGCTGCAGTACCTGCTGCATCGACACCGACTACGCACGGGCAGAAAAGCTGGATATCCAAGAGCTTCCGCAACCCATTGTGGCTCGTAACGCCGACAACACCGAGAACATCAGCGGTCGGATCACGCACTACGTCGACTTGAGAATGAGAATCGGTCCTCATGTGGAGACACGCACGTTCCTTCTGACGTGTCTGGGAAAAGCCCGGATCTTCATCGGCCTGGATTGGCTGACGGAACACAACCCCGAGGTGGATTGGCAGGAGCAGACAATGAGATTCAGCCGATGCCCAGAGCAATGTCAAATGAGGGGTCACGAGGAGCACCAAGCGATGATCGACATGGATGCAATTGACCTGGACACGGGTGCACCAGATCTGGAAGAGGGAGAATCAATCTTGTTGATCGACTTTGGAAAGGAGGTAGACCTACGGCTGAAGGAAACGCCAGCGCAGAAATTCGCAGAAGAAGCGGAAAAGGAGAAGGAGAGAATGACCGAGGGAAAGATTCCAGATCAATACCGAGAATTCGTCAAAGTATTCGCCAAGGAATCATTCGACTCGCTACCGGACCGACGGGCATGGGATCATGCGATCGAGCTCAAACCAGGCTCCAAAGCAGTGGACTGCAAGGTGTACCCCTTATCGAGAAACGAGCAGGTCAAACTCGACGAGTTCTTACAAGAGAACCTAGCCAGCGGACGAATCAGGCCATCAAAATCACCCATGGCATCGGCATTCTTCTTTGTCAAGAAGAAGGATGGCTCGCTACGGCCTGTTCAAGATTACCGGAAGCTGAATGAGATGACGATCCGAAATCGGTACCCGCTACCGCTGATTTCCGAACTGGTCCACAACCTGTGCGGCGCCAAGTTCTTCACCAAGCTAGACATCCGGTGGGGATACAACAACGTACGGATCAAAGAGGGCGATGAGTGGAAGGCTGCGTTTCGCACAAACCGCGGACTTTACGAGCCCTTGGTTATGTTCTTTGGTCTCACGAATTCCCCAGCAACTTTCCAAAACATGATGAACGACATACTCCGGGAACTGATCAACGAGGGACATGTGGTAGTTTATCTGGACGACATACTAATCTTCACAGGAAATCTGGATGAACATCGACGAATCACCAAACGGGTACTCGAGTTGCTCCAAAAGCACAAATTATACCTGAAGCCGGAAAAGTGCGAGTTCGAACGCACGGAAATCGAATACCTGGGTGTAATCATTGGACACAACTCGATGCGGATGGACCCTGTCAAGATCAAGGGCGTGATGGAATGGCCGGAACCAAAGAGCGTCAAACAAGTCCAAGCCTTCCTCGGATTCACAAACTTCTATCGACGTTTTGTTCGGGGATATGCGGAGGTCGTCAAGCCGTTGACGCGGCTGACAGGGAAGGCAGGATGGTCATGGGGTCCGGATGAACATGCGGCGTTTGATGGGTTAAAGAAGAGAATCGCGGAGGATGCCGTCTTAGCACTGCCAAATGACACCGGTCAATATCGTCTGGAAGCCGATGCTTCGGAAGGGGCAACAGGATCTGTTTTGAGCCAAAACCAAGACGGCATTTGGCGCCCAATTGCATTTATTTCGCATGCATTAACGGAAACCGAGCGAAATTACGAGATCTACGACAAGGAAATGCTTGCAATCATGTTATCGCTCGACGAATGGAGGCAGCTACTCTTGGGGGCCACAGAAACGTTTGAGATCTTCACTGATCATCAGAACCTCGAATACTTCCGGAAGCCACAAAAGCTCAACCGACGACAAGCACAATGGATCACAGAATTAGCAGAATTCGATTTCACCTTACGACACCGGCCTGGCGCACTCAACCGCAAGGCGGATCTCTTATCTCAACGAGCGGATCACGATCAGGGCAAGAACGACAACAAGGATATCACTCTGCTGAAACCCGAATTCTTCCGGTCACAAGAAGTCACATTCGAGGGGCAAGATCAGCAGCTAATCGATGAGATCAAGGCTACTCGATCAATTGATGGAAGCGTCAAAGCGGCCTTGGAGAAGTCACTCGTCGGATGGAAAAAGGAAGATGGGCTCATCACGTACCATGGGAAGCTCTACGTGCCGAGGAATGAGGAGCTACGAGACAAGATCATTGGACTACACCACGACACACCTTTGGTCGGACACGCTGGGATCAACCGAACGCAGGAGATGGTGGAAAGGAACTACTGGTGGCCAAGGATGGGAAACCAAATTCGGAAATACATCCAGACGTGCGAGGCGTACCAGCGGACCAAGACCAGAAGAGCCAGGACAGGGAGTTTGCACCCGCATGCAGTTCCAAACGCGCCGTGGGAAATCATCTCCATGGATCAGATCGGACCCCTGCCGGTCAGTAACGGGTATGACGCAATTCATGTGTGGTGTGACACCTTCACCAAAATGATCCATGTCGAACCAATTAGTACTGACATCAGCAGCGAAGGAGTAGCACGGTTAACCAGGGACCGAATCTTCCGCTATCACGGGGTCCCCCGCAAAATCATCACCGACAGGGACTCTCGATACATCAAGGGCTTTATGAAGGAAACGAATCGGATGTTGGGCGTGGAAATGAATCCGGGGACCGCATATCACCCCATCACGGATGGGCAGACGGAGCGTATGAATCAGGAGATCGAACACTATCTCCGCATTTACGTCAACTACCATCAGACGGACTGGTCGGAGTGGCTGGGAATGGCGGAGTTCGCATACAACGACAAAATGAACACGTCTACCAAAATGTCGCCGTTCTATGCTAATCACGGATATCACCCATGGAAGGGAGTGGAGCAGCGGATGGAATCAAGGAACGAGTCGGCGGAGGAATTTGTAAAAAGAATCAAAGAAATACAAGACGAAGCAAAAGCAGCATTGGAAAAAGCAAAAGAAAAAATGAAAAAATACTACGATAAACAAAGAAAAGAAGTTCCGGAGTTGAAGGTTGGGATGAAGGTGTACATAGAAGGAGAAAATATCGAGACAGACAGGCCTTCAAAGAAGATGAGCGACAAGAGATTAGGGCCATACGAGATACTGGAGAAGGTTGGAGCGGCTGCATGGAAGCTGAATTTGCCGGACACGGACCGAAGACACCCGGTGTTCAACGAGTCACTGTTGACACCCTATCACGAACCACCCCCCCATCGCCGAGAGAAGAGACCCGTGGCCAAGATGATCGGAGGAGCAGAGGAGTGGGAAGTCGAAGAAATCGTGAAAGAGCGAAAAGTCGGCCGAGGAAAACAGTACTTGGTCAAATGGAAGGGATGGCCGCACAGCGAGAACACCTGGGAACCATCACGTCACCTTACCCACGCAAAGGACGTCCTGAGAGACTGGCAGAGGAAACAATCAAATCCAGACACACGCATTCGCCTCCTGCCAACACTCGAAGCTGGACACTGGGACTATCTCATTCATCGCTACAAGCCCAGGGACGAGCGCCTTCCATATCCCCAACGACAGCTCTTCGACCCTTACGAGAACGTCTTCTTACCCATTGGCCTAGTCGATGAGGACATCGACCCTAGAGAGGGGGTAATGTCATAGTTCGGCCACTTTTTCATCTTATCATCGACGATCTTATCTTATCTTGGCACGACTTATCTTATCACGGATCACGGCATCAGACGGTCCGGACTAGGGGTTCCAGGGATTATCTTCATCGATTCGAGGCTGCGCGACATATGCTCCAGAAGGTTCTACTACGACCCATGACCAGCGTTCCATGCGGTACATAGCCCTATGACTCATTAGTTGTAGATATGACTCAGACTGGATTTGGGTATAAATACTGTAGCTACTTGGTTGTATTCTCCAGTCTTCGAATTCATTTCTCTTTTCGACTTTGTTTTGGGTTGATTGTCACATCCTTGCTGAAAACATCCTTGAACTCACGTGCCCACTTGGGTATGGAATCCTGAGGGGGTGCGGAGTTCTTGGCAAACACCTTGGCAAGACGCTGGGAGACGGTGCTAGTGGCTCGGATGTCTTCAGAAGGGTTGAAACGAGTGTAGAAGGTACGGTCACCAGTTTCCAGACAATCTTCTTCGTCATCGGAATCCTCTCCATTGTCTTCCTGGAGTGGCGGCATAGCCTCGCCTTTGCGGTCTTCCATATCAACAACGCAGATGGAGGGGGCGGGACCTTGTCGGGCCAATCAAAGTGCTCGGGCTGAGATCCTGGCTATCCGTCTCTCTTGGCAAGACTTCTCAGTGCAAGTGGAACAGCCAGACGGGCAGCAGCTCATCTTTACTTCCTGGGTGTCCCAATTGATTTCTGAGTTGTGCTTCCAAAGCCAAGAATAGCCAAGGATCAACTTCTGCTTGCCAAGCCGAGTGACAGCGAGCTGGACCCGCTCACTGTGTCCTTGGTAACACAGGACCACATCAGCCACTTGTCAAATGGAACCGGCTTCATTTGGCATGCCGTCCACATTGTAAACTGGGATGGGCTGAGAGAGCTGTTGGCCCGGAAGTCAGTTTTCAGATGCGTAGGTGGAGTCAATGAATTCCAATGTAGCGCCACAGTCAACCAACCCGCTGAGGGAGAGCTGGACTGCGTTGTCAGTGGACTGGATCTCCAGAGGGAGGTGCAGGGAATTGGCGCCGGGGGAGGCTGCGACCACATAGCACTGAGGGAGTTTTTGTTCCCACTTTTCCTTGCGGACCAGTGGGACTGAGCAAGGGGCGGGGGGTATGTCTATTGTTTTCTTTGTGGAGGAAATGAGATCGCATTCATCATACAGACATTCGAAACGATTACGCAAGGCAAACGAGGGCATACTATTCACTTGTCGCGGGGGAGAAAACCCTGCTCCAACTCTTCAGCAATCTCCGCTTCATGCTCCTCTACGGCTGCTGTAGTCGCTAGCTGGGCTACTAATTCTGCCAACAGGTCACTTCCCAGCTGATTGATCACTTTGTCCAGGATGTTGGCGTGCCGGACATTGGCAGGGGTCAGGCAGTCTCAGGCCAGGTGTCCTGGGCTGCCACATCGGAAGCAGGTGCAACGAACACCACTGCAGGCTCTGGTTTGGTCGATCTCCATGGGAATGCTCAGCGGGAGGACTACTGGGGCTGGTCGGGGAGCAGGAGGTGGGGCAACCACTGGAGGAGCCATGGGGTGAGGACGGGGAGCCGCAGGAGGCAGAGCGCGGTGAAATGCTGAAGGCGTGCTCACAGGTGAATCTACTATGAAAGTAAACCCAAATAGAAACACGTTCACATTCCTCGTAATCAGCTTCTCAGTGTATGAAAGATGCGAGGGCTTCGGGGTGGACAGAGCACCAGTATCACAACTCTCAATAGATGCAGATCCAATAGTCACAGAAGATGAAGTCGACGACAAAGATTTATATATAGTAAACAATGGTGTCTCAACTAATATCTTCTATATAACCAAAACCAACACTAATCCAACCACAACCAACAATATCACAAGTCAGAACTTAATACAAAGTACTAAGATCCCTTGTAGCAACAGCATCCAGATGGTGACGCAAAGTCCAAATATCAAGTCGACGCACTGCCAACCAATACAACCAAGATACTGAGTCGACGCACTGCCAACTAGTAGAACCAAAATGCCGCGTCGACGCACTGCCAACTAACAGCCAATATCCAAAGTCCAAAACCCGAGCACAACTTGTTGACGCACTGCCAAGCAAGAAGTGTGGAACCAAAGTTCTCAAGTCGACGCACTGCCAACTGACCAAAACAACCCGAGCACAACTAGTCGACGCACTGCCAAACTAGAGGTGTGGAACGATCTCAACAAAGCCCAAAGGGCGACGACACTAAGTGCTGCAACTAAACCAGAAGCGGCAAATCCAACTTTCTGATATCTCAACTCAAACTCAAATCACAGTAGCTACAAGTGCTCAGGGAGCAACTCATCACGACTGGGCAGGGGTAATAGAACTTCTTAAGGCAGAATCACGCAACACGCAAATTGTACAAAACAATCTGATATGGGTATGATTCACAGTCAAGGGGAAAGCTCCCCAATACAAAGAAATGTTGCACTACTTATACTGTCTACGATAGTGCTTAGTAAAGTCCTGTACAACTGCATAGTAGCTACGCTATCTAAGATTGGTTGCTTTTTATGGTAATGAAAAAGTTGAACAATCGGACAGGCCCTGAGTGATCAGGACCCCACCCCATAGTCCATATGATACTTTTGATGTGGGTCAACCCACCGCGTCATACTTTTGGAATACGACGTGCTGGATTGGCCAACGGGTATGTCTTGGCAAGTGAGACCAACGTGGGCGCCCCAAGAAGCCGTATGGCCCTAGGCACGCCAGTCGTCCCCCACATGGCTCGGTTCACGGATCTAGCCGTGTCGGTCTTAGTGTATTTGGGTATGGGCGCAACTTGTCGTGACACTTGGAAGTGTCACCGCGACGCGTCCACAATGTCCAACCCAAATGTCGAGTCGACGCACTGCCAACTGACACAACCAAAAGTACTGAGTCAACGCACTGCCAACTAACAGCCAATATCCAATGTCCAAAACCCGAGCACAACTTGTCAACGCACTGCCAAGCAAGAAGTGTGGAACCAAAGTTCTCAAGTCGACGCACTGCCAACTGACCAAAACAACCCGAGCACAACTAATTGATGCACTGCCAAGCTAGAGGTGTGGAACGATCTCAACAAAGCCCAAAGGGCGACAACACTAAATGCCGCAACTAAACCAGATGCGGCGAATCCGACTTTCTGATGTCTCAACTCAAACTCAAATCACAGTAGCTACAAGTGCTCAGGGAGCAACTCGTCGCGACCGGGCAGGGGTAGCAGAACTTCTTAGGGTGGAATCACGCGGCACGCAAATTGTACAAAACAATCTGAAATGAGAGTGATTCACAGTCCGGGGGAAAGCTTCTCATACAAAGAAAACGACGTGCTACTTATACTGTCTATGACAATGCTTAGTAAAGTCCTGTACAACTGCATAGTAGCTACGCTATCTAAGATCGGTTGCCTTTTAGGGTAATTGAAAAGTTGAACGATCGGACAGGACCTGAGTGATCAGGACCCCGCCCCATAGTCCATATGATACTGAAGGGCTGAGCAATGTACGACGTTCTCAATAATACGACTACTACTGGACAGGACTTGGCGTTACGAGATTGAACCAATCTTGTCGCGGCAACTCCCGGTCTTGAGATGGACGTTTCCTCAGATCATGCCACGACGACGACTTGTCACATGTCAGGATCCATTCGATCACGGGACATTGTGGACGTGTCGCGGTGACACTTCCAAGTGTCACGGCGAGTCGTGTCCATACTCAAACACACTAAAATCGACACAGCTAGATCCGTGAACCGAGCCATGTGGGGGACGACTGGCGTGCCTAGGGCCATACGGCTTCTTGGGGCGCCCACGTTGGTCTCACTTGCCAAGACATACCCGTTGGCCAATCCAGCACGTCGTATTCCAAAAGTATGACGCGGTGGGTTGACCCACATCAAAAGTATCATATGGACTATGGGGCGGGGTCCTGATCACTCAGGTCCTGTCCGATCGTTCAACTTTTCAATTACCCTAAAAGGCAACCGATCTTAGATAGCGTAGCTACTATGCAGTTGTACAGGACTTTACTAAGCATCGTCATAGACAGTATAAGTAGCACGTCGTTTTCTTTGTATGAGAAGCTTTCCCCCGGACTGTGAATCACTCTCATTTCAGATTGTTTTGTACAATTTGCGTGCCGCGTGATTCCACCCTAAGAAGTTCTGCTACCCCTGCCCGGTCGCGACAAGTTGCTCCCTGAGCACTTGTAGCTACTGTGATTTGAGTTTGAGTTGAGACATCAGAAAGTCGGATTCGCCGCATCTGGTTTAGTTGCGGCATTTAGTGTTGTCGCCCTTTGGGCTTTGTTGAGATCGTTCCACACCTCTAGCTTGGCAGTGCATCAATTAGTTGTGCTCGGGTTGTTTTGGTCAGTTGGCAGTGCGTCGACTTGAGAACTTTGGTTCCACACTTCTTGCTTGGCAGTGCGTTGACAAGTTGTGCTCGGGTTTTGGACATTGGATATTGGCTGTTAGTTGGCAGTGCGTCGACGCGGCATTTTGGTTTACTAGTTGGCAGTGCGTTGACTCAGTACTTTTGGTTGTGTCAGTTGGCAGTGCGTTGACTCGACATTTGGGTTTACTAGTTGGCAGTGCGTCGACTCAGTATATTGGTTGTATCGGTTGGCAGTGCGTCGACTTGATATTTGGGCTTTGCGTCACCATCTAGACGCTGTTGCTACAAGGGATCTTAATACTTCGTATTAAGTTCTGACTTGTTATATTGTTGGTTGTGGATTGGATTAGTGTTGGTTGTGTTCGTATAGAAGATATTGGTTGAGACACCATTGTTTGCTATATATATATTCTTGTCGTCGACTTCGTCTTCCGCGACTATTGGATCTGCGTCTATTGAGAGTTGTGATACTGGTGCTCTGTCCACCCCGAAGCCCTCGCATCTTTCACACACTGAGAAGCTGATTATGAGGAGTGTGAACGTGTTTATATTTGGGTTTACTTTCATAGTAGATTCACCTGTGAGCGCGCCCTCAGCATTTCAGCGGTGAGGTGGAATCACGCATGCGGGAGTGGTCTCCCAAATGGGGAAATGTCACAGCTTACAGGCAGCCGGCGCAATATGGATACGCAATAGGCCAAGGCCTAGCATTCAAGTGACAAATTTTTGTGTTTGTGGGTTGTGCTCAGACGCAGCAGTCGTTTGCACAAGGGGGACTGTTAGAATATCACATCCTGATTGTATGTGTACATTTGTTTGTGTATGTATTTGAGAGTTTTCTCCCTGTCTCTGACCGTCATCCGGGTGCGACGCGGGCTCGACGTCAACAGATGTATAAAAGAGTCGACTTTAACTTCCCAAATTGGAAGAAAACTGGCAAAAAAAATTCTAGCGCTGTGCGCGTTGGGACCCCAGGTGGGGTTGGTTTGTCCTGGGCTACTGCCCATGGGCGCACGGAACTGTGAGCTATGGGCTGCCCAAGGACCACAATTTGCAAAACGGATGCCCACTGCCCATCCGCCTGCTACCACTCAGGTAGGTTTTGGGCGCCAAAAAAACCTACCTAACTGGTAGGACTTGGGGGTTGACCAAGGTGCAATGGGAGTGAAATGACAATGCAGGGGTAAATAAAAAAGTTGCCTTTTTGAAGTGTAGGCTCCTGTAGATTCTGGTAGGATAGACTCTGCAGTCCAAAGTGGGGTAAAATCAACTGCCATTCTATGTAGTGGTACAGAAGTATTTATACTGTAGAGATATGAATAGAGAGCAATTTGGGTTAGCTAGGAGAAATAAAAGGACACACGAGACCTATAATACAACGGGAATGTGAAACTAGAAAACTGAACTCTGAGATGCATCCTGGGCTGATCTCAACCCTTCGGGCCTGCCTGGACCCTTCCAGGAATTCAGTCCTAGTTTGAGGGCTGTTTCTGTGGTGGTCTTGCACCGTCGCACTGCGTTTGACAAATGGTTTTGAAACTGGGATTGCCTTGCTTGTCAAGGCACTCTCCAGACCCTATATTCACACACAAATCAGATGCGCCTGATCCGTGGTGTGATCCACGTGATCATGAATGTGTTCTAACTCACGTACAGCTGTTTCATGGCTCATTATGCAATCCTGATGTCCACAGCAAGCCTTGTTACCTCCTCCATGCGGAATCGATTTGATGCTACTTGCACTAGACAGTTGCTTGTCAAGAACACAGGTGGATGGGCGTAGGTAAGAACACAGGGCCGTCAGGCTGACATTCGGTCTGTATGTCCTACACAACCTGTTTGACGCTGTCTCACTTGAGGAAGCATCGGCCGGCGGTTCCTAACATGGATGAACACCCAAAGAGGAAAACAAGAGCTGCTGAAGCTTAGTTAAAACCTGTTTGATAAGAATGATCATGAATTTATGCTGAATCACACCGAGGGATTGCGAATATCACGGCCCATAAAGAATCAATTATATTCTATATATTGGGGTATAAAAAAATGAAGGGATCTGATATGTGACATATCAGGTACCCGGATCATAGCTGGCACCCGATATCTGTGATATCAGGTCGTTTTTGTGCTGATATGTGACATATCAGGTCAGCTTCTTTTTGGGGTCACAACATATGGAATATAATTTCTTCTTTATGGGCCGTGTTATGTGTGATCCCCCAGTGTGAATGCTGATTGAAATTGTGACAATCTCTAAATCGAGTAGCAAGGCATTCTGTCAGCGGAGCCGACACTTTCTAGTTGTGGATCATTATGCGCAACTGAATATTGAGCAGTGATGGGTGATGGGAGTACCGCCACTGATGCTGAACGTCACGTGGAATGACGTAGAAAGCTGCATGAAACACAGCTTGTGATGTGACTGTCATGTCAATCAGCGCCGGTCCAGTTACACGGTCAAAGCGTCTGCGAGCTTGTCAGGGGGTAAATGATAGTAAGTGCGGTCCCTCAGGATGGCGGTGACTAATCCATGAGGAGCACTGCCACCAAAATTACCACAGGTGTGACGTGACGCTCCCGATTAGCGAGTCGACATCCCCAAGCATCTTTCTCTTTTGAAGAACATCTCAATAGCGTTTGGTACGACTAGACAAGATATTGAAATCTTTAGTGGCGGGAAGTTCAGGAACGGTGAAACTACTGACGAGCAGACCAGTATTCTTCGAAGATTTCATCGGACTTGCATTTGACAGCAGAAGCCAAGGTGCATGTCTCAGGGTGAAGGATATTACGGAGACATTGCCTCCGGACAATCTCAGATGTCCGAAAGTATCTGATCCTCCCCCTGATCTACATGCGCAAAGAGCAATGCATATTCTTCTGAACGGGAATGCGAGTCACAGGGTCCAGTTCTTGCAGGGAAGTGGAAGCTGCGCCATGATCCTGGAGAGCGAGCTGACAGCAGCTCAGAACAAATCAACTAGTGTCTAATCCGGTGCAAGATTGCTGGGACAAGAAACTCACACAAAACCTCAGGGCAGACAAGACAAGCGCACGAAGACCCTCATCGTGTCCTTCGTGGTCGGATGCGGAAAACTTCAACATGGCACGTGACATGTCCAATCGTTTCATCGGGCAAGGGCGGCGCATCCAGTTTTTACACTTTGTCAATTCTGAAAGTCATGACTGACTCGGTAGAATTTCAGAGAATCTCCCTCGATGCTGTTCCAATCACGTCGACTCGAGGGTCTGGCCCGACAAAAATAGCACTTCCCACAGCCGACAGCACCTTCCGCGCCGTCGATTCGATACCGAACCTCTGGCGTCGACGCATTCTTCTCATGTCTATAGCTTCGAGATGTTCTCTACAGTTTCCGAGGGTACGGGTCGGCTTGTAACCGGGCCCTGGAGAAGATAAAACCAGACGTCGAGCCTCTTGTTGTTTCAATCTGGACCCATGCATCTCCTCCTTCAAGTAGCGATTTCAGTCTTGCCCATCGCAGTCTACTATTTTCTAAAACCTAAAGTGGATCCTATCCCGGATCTGCCAGGTCCAGAGTCCTCGTCGTGGTTTTATGGTGGGCACTGTCTCTCAAAGTCGTTGCCCGATAGCTGATTGTCCCGCGTAGGGAACTTGGCCGAACTTCTCCTCGCCCCGGACTATGGCAAGTACGAGTTCACCTGGCTCAAGCGCTTTGGAAGCGTATACCAAATCCGGGGTTGTTTCGGAGTGAGTGTTTACCAGACAACATAGAATGGCCTGGGTCGGGAGGCTCACTCTGCGGATAGCGCACCCAAATCGTCATCGCGGACCCGGTAGCGATGCACCACGTGTTTAGCAGTCCGAAGTGGGACCAAGCACCTCCGCTTTCAACGATGATGTGGATGCTTTTCGGATCGCAGAGCGTGGAGGGATTCAGGGGTAAGACGCACCAATCAGCGTTCCAACTTGAGTGACCGGGATATTCATGCGCGACGTGATCCAGCTGGGGGACCCGAGCATCGTCATTTACGAGGGGCGCTCAACGGCGCCTTCACGGCCTCTGTTGTCCAGAGCTACGAATCAATCTTCGAGCGAGTTGCTGCCGGGGTACGTCTCGTACTTTGCTGCCCCCGACCTAAGTAGTAAAGCGATCCACATGGCACAGATTTCCGAAAGGATTGAATCGAGCCCCACAAACACTGTCGATATCGCGGACATACTCTCGGATGCGACATTGTCTGCCATCTCACTGGGTATTTTGCTCCCGGAGACTGCACGATGATGACGATGATTAATTTCACGGCAGCTTTGCTCAGCCGCCCTGTCGAAGAGCTTGACCCCGGTTTCGTCCAGCTCAATACCAATCTCTTGTGAGCCTTACTTCCAATTCTTTCTACTTGGAGTAAATCCTCTCAGTCGTGCCGCGGCGAGATCCTCAAAGAAGGACCTCTTATCGACCGAATTACTGACCAATTACATCCCTCGGCGCTTGCTCTACAGGCTGCTGCATTTCCGAGTAGCAGGGTGGCACGCCGTGACACATGGTCGAGATCTCGGTCTGGCGATCGGGCGAGCTGCCGTCGAGGATAAGTTGCGCGCTCAGGCATCAGGCGAGGACCAAGGAACCGAAGATGTGTATGATCTTCTCTGTATGTCTTTGCATTGGGATTTGTTTTTACCCCTCAGACTCTCGTAGTATCAGGAAAAGCGGGCGCGACAAACAAAAAGCTGGATACAGAGGAACTGATCGCCCAAACAACCGTTCTTCTTGTTGCAGGTCAAGATACAACCGTCAGTAGATTATCCATTTTCATTGTTCATACACCTCACCATATATTTCCCAGGCAAACACATTGGCCTTCACTCTGATTGAGCTAGCCCGCAATCCCGCCCTCCAAGACCAGCTCCGCACGGAAATACATTCCCGCGCGCCAGGACAGTCGTACAACCAGCTGCCGCTGCTCAATGCCGTCGTCAAAGAGGCGCTGCGGATGTTTCCTGCAGAACCCGTCACGGACCGGCTTGCATATGAAGACGACATCATTCCTCTTTCGGAGCCGGTTCTGGACCGCCATGGGCGGAAGATCGAGTGCATTCCCGTTCGGAAGGGGCAAGTTGTGACGACGGCTATTGCCTCATACCAAAGGTGGCGTTGTATCTCGGCTGGCGGCGCTCAGCCAAACTAATTTCCGTAGGATGGCGTCCCGATGGGGATCAGACGCGATGGATTTCAACCCAATGCGATGGCTGGAGGGAGGATCGGTCCAGACTAGCGACGTCATTGGTCCGTATGCAAATCTGTGAGCACTCGATATTCCACATCAGCAGCGAACACACATCTCACACTCCCCAGAATGAGCTTCGTAAGTGGATCACGAACGTGTATTGGGTAAGTTTTCTTTGCTGTTTCACCCCACACAAGAAAACTTACTCAGTATTCAGATGGCGATTCGCGTGGGTCGTCACTTGTCAATCCCTTGTGCTACACTCTCAAATCATCCCTTCAGTGTTATGGAGATGCAGATCATCCTCTGCGAGCTCGTTGGCAGATTCAGCTTCAGCATTCCGCCTGGGACCAAAACTGTTGTGCGGCTGGCGCACACCCTGCTCCCGTTGGATGAAAAGATCGGAGAGAAGTCTGCTATGCTACAGGTCAGATCCATATGAGCGGCTTAATCGCAATCGTTACATTGATTTTGGATGGCTACAAATTATGCGCAATTTGAACACAGTGACAGAAACAAGATTGGAACGGTCATTCGATTCGATTACAGGGTTCTAGACCTCATGCGTCTGCGATATCTCCACTGATCGTGTCTGCCGGGCACGCAGCAGTGCTTCGAGCTGTTCGATCTTTGCTTCGAGCTGTTCGAGCGTTGCTCCAGCAGCAGCTCTCTGTTGCTCCAACACTAGACGAGCCATCACATAAGCAATTGTCTCTCGGCGGAGAGCGAGTAGGGGGGCATCGAGCTTCTACAGCCCCAATCAACGATCGAATGACCATCAACAAGGAAAAAGACATACCCAGCGGCTGTTGTCAATCTCTTGGCGAACATTCCGGATGTGTTCGGAATCATAGTACAGGGTTGGGAGACGGTCTTTGAAGATGTGCTGCATTCTGGCCGTCTCACTGGTAGGCCCATCCCAGTTGAGCGGGTCCATCTTAAGGCGAGCTGCTCCTCGTGCAGTATAGATGGCAGGCTCGAGGTGCTTTGTGCGCTTAACCAGAGTATCAAAGACAAGGCGCGAGAGGAAGGTGTAGCATGACGAGACAGGAAGGTCGTGTGGAAACGGAAACACAGCCCAGTTCGAGACCCAAAGAAAATCGACCATGCGCATTGCACCCTCCATTGGTAGGTCGAACGAAGCGAGCAGTTTGCTACTGCCTTTCATCTCCATAAGGTATCTTTGTTTTCTGGATCCTGAGATGAATAACTTGGCCATCGGTGTCCGGATTCGGCGCTGGTTCGTGGACGTAAAGCCAATGCCGCCTGTCTCCTGCGTTGCATTGATTCCGCGTTCTTTAGATTGACTGCTGGAGAAGTGAGAATGCATCAAGCGGAAGGACGGGTTCCACAAACGTGGCCATCTCATCGTGTGCTGCTGGACCCTCGGCGTAGTTCTGATGAACGGAGGCAGGGGGAGCGGGCTGTTGACTCTCTTCCATCCCATCATAGAAGGACCAGGAAAGGAGAAGATAGTTTTCGGGCAACAAGGGACCCTCCTGACGGTTGGCGTACTTGCAAATGATGAATTCGAATGGGCTCCACCTTTGCTTGTAGAGTTCGACTCGGCGCAGGACTAGATTGTCACACCTGTCGCCGCTGGCGATCACTTGGTTCAGGAGCGCCGTTGCGCTGATGACTTGAGGTGGATACGGGAGTTTGTTGGCGTCAAGAGGTGGAAAGAAGAACAACACGAGGCAGTGGTACATATCGGTAGGCAGAGGGCCTTCTGTGATGCGTCCAGCATGCAGGAGGACCTCGTGAAAGAGCGCCAAGGCTTTCTCAACAACGTGCATGATGAGTGAGGTCAAAGTGTACATGAGGGCGTGTCCTGTAGCCGTCGAGTCCAACAACATGGAACTTCTCTGATGGGTGCGCGAGGATGCCTGGCTTTTTAAACAATGAGGATGGTCGCCTTGAGCATGGTGCGCAGTAGTCGGCCAAGTCATAGGCAGAGCGGCAAAGCGGCAAAGCGGCAGAGCGGAAATGAAAAACACAGCGTCACAGTCGGGGAAACGGCCCGGATATGCCTCATGAGCACAGGCTATGACTTCAAACTTTCCAGAAGGACAGTAATAGTGTCGCTGGACGATTCGAGACGAGAGTCTTGGAGCAGATAGCGTTTGTGACCTTGACAGCTATGGCAGGACTGCGCTACGGACACGGAACTCAGCGATAGTCTTCTCGACGGTCAGTATATGCACATAACGAGAGGCGTGCGGAAAGTACTACATGTATGTGAACACTGTGTGGACACTTTCAACAGCGAGGTAACAATCCCGTCCCATCGTTGATGAAATTGGACTTCTAGAGCTGCTCGGATATGTGCACGTTCCATGACCCCACGGAGAAGAGGTGGAGAGGAAATGAGGAGCCGCTTCCAAGTGCTTGGTGGCTGTGCCCTCTCCTCCCAAACATGTCAATTCTGTCAATAAGCTTGAGCCTGAGACTCGACGTCATCTATGCCGCCTTTCCTCCACAGCCCAGATGCTCCAGGCTGGGGTATAAATACTATCATTGCATGAATGTTTGAAGATCTTATCCCCCGAAATACGGATTAGACATGTCTACGAAACCACGGGCGATCCACTTCGGAGCGGGCAAGTCCATTCAACTACTTTACAGAAGGACCCCAGGCTGACTTTCTTCCCCGGCTCCAGGGAACATCGGGCGTGGTTTCATCGCCCCCCTGCTATATTCTTCAGGATATCATGTCGTCTTCGCCGATGTCGACAAGAAGCTCATAGATACCATCAACGACAAGCGCTCGTACGGGGTCCACATCCTCGACACGAACCTCGACGACGGGGAGAAAGTCGAAGAAGTCGGTCACGTCAAGGGCGTACTATCGAACACGGACGACATCCTCCGGGAGCTTCTTCACCCCAAACTCAGGCTTATCACCACGGCGGTCGGGCTGCCCATCCTCGACAAGGTCGCGCCGACACTGGCCAAAGGGTTCAGCGAGCGCCGCGCGAAGGGCGTCCCGGGGACGATCAACGTCATTGCGTGCGAGAACACGATTGGCGGCACGGCGCAGCTCGCGGAGAAAATTCGGAACCACCTGGACGCGGAGGATCTCGACTTCCTGGCGCAGCACGTTGGTTTCTCGAACTGCTCCGTCGACCGCATCGTCCCGCCTTTCGACCCCGACGAGCACGACGGCGCGTCGAAGCTCAATGTGGGCGTGGAGGAGTTCTTCGAATGGGTTGTGGAGGGGCCGGCGCTGCACGGCGGGAAGCTCGAGCCGCCCGTCGAGGGAATGACGCTCACAGAGAACCTGAAGCCCTACAACGAGCGCAAGCTCTTCACGCTGAACGCGGGCCACGCCATCACGGCGTACCTCGGCTTCCTGAAGGGCCTGCCCACCATCGACGCCAGCATCAGCGACCCCGCCATCCGGGACGTTGTCAGCGCCGCGCTCCGAGACGAAGCCGGTGCCGCACTGTGCAAGCGTCACGGCTTCGAACCTGCCCAGCACGCGGAGTACGTCGAGAAGATCATCTCGCGGTTTTCAAATGCAGCCGTCAAGGACGACGTGGCCCGCGTCGGACGCCAGCCCTTGCGCAAGTTGGGGCGAGAGGACCGGCTTGTCGGTCCGACACGTCTGTGCTCTGAATATGGGATCCCTGCGCCCAATCTGGCTAAGGGAATTGCGGCTGCATTGCTCTACGAGAACAAAGACGACGAACAGAGTATCGAGATGCGGAAGACACTTTCGGAGAAGGGCCTGGACGAATATGTCACAGAGTTGACTGGATTCAAGCAGGGCCACGACGCACATAAACTTATTTGCGAAGCTTACTCTCACTTGGAAAAATCGAAGTCGCACTAGAAGTAGATATGTCTCAGACCGTAATAACAATTGTAAACGTACTCAAGTATGTAACATCCGTTGGCAATCCTGTAATCATGTAGAGCCAAGTTAGGCCAGTAGATCAGACCACGTGCAAGACTCTCAACACATCACTTTCTACCCACGGCACGCCCGGGCGCTGAAGTGCAGCCCACAGCAGTCTCCAATAGCGTCCAAATTCAACGTGACTTAGACGTAAATGGTAGTGCCGCGAATGTCTGAGTTTGAAACAACTTCCGTCTGCTTTCCTCCTCTCTAACACACCTCATGTGCTCCCTCACATCGACGCGTTCGAAGACGGAATGTGGCTATCTCTCCAAGGACTATGCCATCTACAGCTGCTCCCATCCGGCTACCCCCACCGTGAAACGATGGTCTTCGCACGTCTTCACAGCATCACTGAAGGCAGATTCCTGACCACTATCTGATTAGATCTGCTGCCTACACTGAGGTAATGCCATTGATTGTCTCTGCGCCACCGAAGATGCTTCGCTACTTCTTGTGAGGGTTGGATCCTCCCGGAGGATGCCGCTGTCTGACGATGAGCTACTCAGCCACAACGGATACCGCGATATAATCCAGATCAGCTTAGAGTTGCCTCCGACGCACACCCGGTTCTCCCGGTGCGTTGCCCCCTATCCCCCCGCGCCATCTCTCTTTCCAGCTTCTGACAACCCTTCAGAAACATGGTTGACGTTGTAACGACGTACGAAGTATCAGTCGAGATCCCGCGAACGTATCCTGGCCAAATGCTGTACGTCCTCGACCCTGCATCAACTGGCGTATTCTCGCTGATGGGTACAGACCAACTACAGATCGCAGAGAAGTATTGTTTAAAGAACTGGAGGACTTTCCGGAACGAGAACTGACCACCGCTGCCGAATGCTCAAAGTACGTCTGTCTCAGAAGCCGCGCGACGTCTCTTGACTTTGTTCAGTGGCCTGTTCTTCATTCGACCCGTCAAACTCATCTTCGAGGTCATGGTCAGAACGGATCCCATGATCATCCTGTGCGTAGTTTCTCTTCCCAGAATCAATCCACCTAGCTTAGGATCGGCCACTAGACCCGGCCACTACCGTAAATCCTTCGCGTGGACCTTTTACCGAGAACAAGACGGGCAGAGAAGAGCTCGAAACTGGTCTGTATCCACGACAGCCACCCTGATCGACGACTCGCCCGTGCCTCTTGCACCAAAAGTCTCCTGTTCGCACGACGGGCTGCGCAAACGGGCCAAGAAAATCGGACGCGCGGCGCGCAAACTGGGGCCTGGCTCCAGCGCTACCCGGTCGCTGAAGCAGAAGATTCTGCGGAGGATCCCGTGCACGGAGGAGTGGCGGTGGAACCGCGAGTTCGCTGTGAAGACGGGGTATCACAAACCGCTGCCCCAGAATCCGAGGCTGACGTATCAGCAAGCGTTGAGGCTGAAGAGACTGGAGGAGCCGGACTACGTGCCGCTTTCGCAGAGGATCGCCAGAAACCATCCCTTGTACATAGCCTTGTATGATTGACGAGCGGGTTGTTCATCTGCAATCCGTTTGGTGAACGTGCTAGCATAGATCTCTCTGTAAACGAGCCACTCTCCGAATTTGAGTCATTTCGAATTCAGGGTCGTAGCGCCCTGTTCCAATCCTCGAGTCTATTCCTCCAAACGAGCGAAACTCTTGAGAACGACTAGACACCAAGGTTCATGGACGAGTGATTGTTCGAAGACTTGAAAGCATCAGCGTTGGCCAGATTATATGTCAAGTACAAAAGAGTGTGTTATTATACAATTTGCAAGAGCAGTCAGCGCACTGGGTTCTACATTGTCTCCACCTTCAAGCATCTACATTCATGGCCGTCGAATCCACCACCGTCTCGACAGCAGCAAGAGAGGTAGCTCCCTTGGGGCGGAGAGAGAAGACGACATCCTTGATGACCTGCGCGATGAGACCGTGCTGAGCCTCTACCGCGATCTTCGTGCTGCGAGGAATCTTAGCGTCGGGGCTGAGGCCATACTCCAGTAGCGTACCTGTCTCGAACACTCTTCGCCAGCTGATTCTCTTCCCTTTTCTTGTCCTCTTTCTCCTTCTGTTCGACCCCCATCAGTTGCTTTTCGTAATATGCCACCGTGTAGAAAGGGAAGATACCTTTGCGGCCGCGCCCTGGCTTTCAGGCAGAACGGGAACGGGGGCACGGGTGTTCCCGACTGCATTCTGCGCTTTGCTCAGTTTGAGATGCAGATCGGTCAGCTGAGAAACCGCGTATGCGCGATTCTATGGCAGATGTCATCATTCGCACTACGGGACTAAGCGCAGGAATACGCACAGAGATGAGGGGGCTTTGGCTCAGAGTGTTGACCCAGTACTTGTTCCACAGCATTCCGAGAAGTTCGTCGTCCAGCTTGGACTTGAAAATCTCGACCTCGAGCTGGTAATATTGGGACGCGTGCACACCAAAGTCCTCGATCTTCTCGAGCGGGATGGACTGGTACTCCCCGGCCCCGCCGGCATTCGGCGGCGTGTAGTTCTCGGGGTACGTCCGGAACGCGCCGATGTCAACTTTGCCCGCGGACACGGTGCGGTTGGGGTCCACGACCACGGCGACGAACGGGTCCTGGAACTTCTGGTTGTTCATCTGCGTGTTCACGTCGATGCCGGAGAGCCAACAGCCGTATCCCGGATGCGAGTGGTACCAGCCGACAGCGTTGTCTGGCCGTTGTGCCTGCACGATGTCCATCAGCCCTTCCCCCGCACGCCGAGAAAGACAGAGAGAGGAGAGACAGTTGGGCCACACGCACCTTCTCGCTCTCGCTGATGTACGTCACCATGTACTCGTTAGCCTCGCTTGCAGCATTGACACGCGTCTCCGTCCCCTGCACGGGCAGCGCGAACGAGTCCATGATCACTATTGACGTCCCGACGACCTTGCCCTGCATGAGCCCCATGATCTCGTGCGGCACACCCGAGCGCGCGTGGATGACCATCTTAATCAGCGCGATGGCGGATATCTTGCATGTCTTGAAGTAGTTCGGGCTGCCCGCAGCCGCGTCAGGGATCACAGCGCAAAGGCACGGACGGACGCGCGGCTCACTCCTTTGACCACGGCGACTCGCTGTTGATCTTGCGATCGGCGTCCTTGTCGTATCGGAAGATCTCGTCTTCGGGAGACACCTCTAAGATGTCATTTGTGAGGGAGAATGTCTTGAGCGCGGTGCTCGACGACATCGTGGTGGGAGATGGCAGGTCCGCTCGTCAGTGGCAGTGTTGATGAGTGGACAGCGGCATGAATTTTGGCTCAAGGCATCTACGATCCTGTTCATAAAACATACAGCATCTCACGTATAGATACAAATCCATGCAGATACAATAGGGTCTACGAAAGCTTCTTGAGCGGCTCGATGACCGTGCCCATCTGCATAGCGGTCAGCAAAGGAAACACCACCAGAAAAACACCTACTTTCTTGACCACTTTCGGTAGTGTTCCCTTCTGGAAACCGACCCGCGTGTTCCATTCCGTGCCCAGAGGCGTCTGCATGCTCCGCTCGTACTGGGCACGACTTGTGTACGGGTACGGCACGTCTTTGACGAGATACTTTGCCGCTTTTTTGTCCTTCTTCTCAGAAATGATGATATGAGCCTTGTTTGCATCGGCACGATCTGCAGCTGCAACTCCTGGGATCTTTTTTACGAACTTGGGGTTGGGTTTCTTCTTTTGAGTCAGCGGGCCGCCCCACGATCCCTGAAAATATCGTCGGTCCCAAGGACAAGCAAGCTGTCAGGCAACGCACCCAGCCTGCAAGTGTCGTATCAATCTCTTTCGGCGCGTCCGATGCGATTTCCTGCCGTTTAGCTTCTTCGAATTCCTGCAGGTTCCAGTTTAGTTTGGACAAAATAGCGGGGCAATAGCATCCACACCTTAACGACATTGTCACCAGCAAATGCCCGTGCTACCAAGTCTCGCTGCTCGAACGAATGTACACCCTTCTTTTTGTTCTTGAGCAGAGCCTGCTCCTGGGCCTCGACTTCGCTGTTCTCGTCGCTGTCGTCCCCTCCCATGACGTGCGACATCTCGATCTCGACACGATCATCGTCCCGAGCAGCGGAAACCACGTCCTTGTCCAGCTTCTTCTCGTTCTTCGACAGCTTGTGCCGCGCCTTGTCCATGTTCTTGCTGTCCTTGCTGACCACGACTTGGTTTTTGCCGCGGGGAGCTTTGGGACCTGAAGTTGTCTCGGTGAGCCAAGGATTGACTTCGGCGGAAAGCAATGATTTGGGTGCAGCGGCGGCGGCGGCGGGTCGTCCATCCACTTCAGGCGTATCAACCATAGTCTCGGATTCTGTAACATCGGCAGGAGCTGCAGCGCCAGAGTTTCTCTGAGTTTTGATCAGCGAAAGAGACTGCTCGCAAGCACACCCCACGTACGGATTTCCTCTCGGTTGGTTTCTTCACCGGTTGAAGCGTCATCCGCCCGCCTGTCCGCGTCGTCACGACATCCTCGGTACCCTCTGCGCCACTTTCCTCGTCGGCTCCCATGCCCATTTCCTCCAAGAAATCATCCGCAGTCTGTCGTGCCTCCGTCATCTGCCGTCGCGCTGCATCTTGCATGAACTTCATCCCGAACACACCCTTCTGCTTCGCAACCGAGTCGTCCTCCTCTGCTTGTAAAGACTGAATTTCGTCGAATGCACGTCGCTTGATCTCCGACTCGTCCTGGTCGTCACCATCCGAGTCGTCATCGCCATCCTCGCCACTGCCCCGGATGAGACGAGCCAGCTGCTCTTTGCGATCGAGTTCATTTTCGATTTCCCGCCGCACACCCATTTCGTCGTCGCTGTCAGCTTGCCCGTCCTTTGCCTTGCTCCACTTGGCGCTCCGCTTCACGCGAAGTCCAGCACGGGCCCGCGCCCGGTCGACCTCCCGCTGCATTGAGTCCTCGCCGTCCTCGCCCCCGTCCTCGCCCTCCACAGCCTTCTGACGCTCTTTGCGACCGCGGGCGATCTTCCGGTACGTCTTGCTCTTGATCTTGGCCACTCGCTTCGCGCGCATCTCGCCCCGGAACGCGAGCTCGCGCATCTGGCGCAGCTCCGCACGCCGCTTGATGACCTCTTCCGGCGTCAGTTTGGCGGCCATCAGCTCGTTCTCTGTCCTGGTGATGTCCGCGTCTTCGGCCAGCTGGGCCTTGGCGAGCAGTTTAGACACGGCAGACTCGAGTTTCGTCGAAGGCTGGTCGAGAGAATGTTAGACAGTGATATAAGAAAAACAACACTAGATAGAAGACGTGCCTTGAACGTGGATGCGAGATCAGCATTTGAGACGCGTCCGAGCCCTGGCTCCGGCTGCAAAGGAAAACTCAGATGCTCTGCCTCCCTGATCTGTCTCATCGTAGGGTCCCATTTTGCCGCCTCTTCCTTCGTCGCCTCGTACGCAGCCACTCGGTCGATCCGGTCTTGCGTTCGTAGCGGAAGCGGGGCAGCCAAGGCACCACCCTTCTCGAGTCCCGCCTTTCTGCCCGGAGCCTGCTTCACCACCTGCCGTCCCTGGATCGGCGCTGCACCGAGGCTCTTCTCAACAGCAGAGAGCGGAGTCGATAACGGGGCGAGGAGATCGGCGAGCGAGACCTTTTGAGAACCACCGACATGGAACTCGCCCTCGGCGCCTGCCTGGGTGCGTTCCTTGATCACGACGCGCTTCTTGCGAGGAGCAGCGTCGGGCTCGCTTTCCGCTTTCCGTTTGGCGGTGGACGGCGCGGCGGATGGTAGCCCTGAGATGAAAGTGTGCAATGCGTCCAATGCGTCCGAACCGTCGCCGGGTTCATCGTCGCCAGAACCAGTGAATGGGTCATCCTCGTCCTCTTCCATTGCATCATCATCCGCTGACTCGACCTCTTCATCGAGAGAGTCTTCCTGGTCGTCCTGCAGATCGTCGTCCAGGTCTTCCTCATCCTCAGTGGGTTTGAGAGGAGCGAGCAGTCCTGGGGGCAGCTTTTTGGGGGGAGGATCGTCATCGTTATCCGAATCTTCGTTCCAGACCTGCCCTTTGCCGTCGAGAACGTCCAGGATGTCAATGAACGTGTCCGAGTCCTCTTCTCCCTCTTCCTCCTCTGTTTCGTCTTCTGCGTGAGCGAGATCGTCCTCCTCGTCCTCGTCAAGGTTCACTTCAGCGAACCTGACAGAGCGTTTGGACTTATTGTGGGATTTGTCGCTTTTCTGAGTAAACAGTGAGGGGAGCAAAACTGATCTCCGCGAGGAACTCACCCTGCTGAAGACACCGCCGAAGCCATCCGCATCTCCATCCACGTCCTCAAAAGCATCGTCGCTGTCGATCTCCTCGTCTTCGTCACTGTCGATGACATCCCCTTCTCCGAACAATCGGGGCTGCGTCCCGTCCATGTCCTCGTCCTCGTCTTCGTCGTTGTCCCGCGTACCCTTCCGCTTAGCACTCCTCCCCGGCGCATCCTCGCCGAAATCGTACTCGAGCTCGGTCGTCTCCTTCCTATCTCTTCTTCCCTTGCCCTTGCCTTTGCGGCGCCTGTCCTCGTTGTCCACGAGCTCATACACATCGTCGATCCGTGGAGCGGCGGTTTTGGAGGATTTTCGTTTGAGATAGCCCGCAGCATTGGCTTTCGCTTGGGTGCCCTTTCCGCCGCCTCCGTGCTTCTGTTTCGACTTGGGGTTGGAGGTACTCGCGCGGGCCATGATGGCGGAGACGGCTGAGACGAAAAATTGGCCGGTGATCTGTGTGGTTGCCGAGTCTCGGCCCGCGCACCCGCCCTTTCGTATTGATGTCGACGTTCAAGTGAAAATTCTCCGCTCGTCTTAGACTCTTACGGTCTTAGGGAAGAATTTGTGTTGCACTAAGATATATTCCAAGTAATACACCCTCGTAACTGCACACCTGTACGATACTTTCCAAGTAGAAAAAAGAACAATAGAGCGAATGTGGCACCTCAATCCATGTACGAACAAACAGAAAATGCAAGACAATTTTGTTCCGGGACGAAAAAATGCTTTCACAGCATACATTCAGATTACATAGCAAACGATAAGATACGATATGATACAGAGCCAGCCTCCCACAGAAATCCATCAGACAAACGCTCGACTCGCAGGCCTGCTCTGAACAATCCTCGCGGAAGGTCCAAAAGCAAGCCAAAACGTCATCGAGGCCCCGCGAAGGAGCCATGTTCTCAGTCAAACGAGCGAGCGCGGAAGTCATCGAATGGATTTGAAGGATGCGGCATTTGTAAAAATGCGAGACTCGGTCAGTTTCTATAAAAAGATCCTGATGAGTATGTATCTGAAGAACCATTAATGATGGGAGCTGGCCTTTATAGGATTCGAGGATGGTCCGTGCGGGATGCCACGTGAAACATCCGCACGTGACTTCATCTATGGCCAGCACTGCTTCATTCGCACAGTGTATCCTTGTCTGCGCATGTGTCTCTGATTCCAAATTGAAGACTCTGGCGATGCCCTGCCAGTATTCAAGGAGGCGTTCCATGCGGATACGGTGAAAACCCTTGTGTCAAGCAGATAAGCATGATGGAAACAGTCATCATCCGAATAATCCGGCCAATTCTTAGACGCCACTCTGCAAGTAGATACTGGTCTATACTGGTTATCGGTAATCAGGTGAGTTTCCTGTTTCCCGGCATGCTGAATTGTGGCCGTGTCAGGAAAGCTAGTATGCCGGAGTACGCGTCGAGCTCTGACATCGCGTCATCAGGCCGATCGCCAGACGCGACGCGTCACAATCCGGGCTCATTTACTCAATTCAAGCCGGCCGGAACGCGACATATAATGCAGCGACGATCCGGTTGACACCTATTTATTCCCCTCTGCTCTACGATTCTACTGCACCCACGGCACCGCTACTATGCGTTTCACCACGCTCGACTTCATCATCGCTCAATGGTCGCCCCAGCACCCCGTTGTTAAAGCCGACCTGGCGGGGAAGACCGTCGTCGTCATCGGCGCCAACACCGGTCTGGGTTTCGAGGCCTCGAAGCACTTCGCGCAGATGAATCCTGGCCGGCTGATCCTTGGGTGCCGCAGCGAGCGCAAGGGGAAAGACGCCGTGGAGAGTGAGTTTCTCCTTCCCTCCCTCTCTCTCTCTCTCATTTCAGTGCTCATCTCATCTCGGCGACTCAGAGATTAAAAATGAGACGGGGATCTCAGCGGAGTTATGGCTGATCGACCTCGCCGACTTCGCCTCCGTCTCTGCGTTCGCTGACCGGTTCGAGCGGGAGGGTGGACGGCTGGATATCTTGGTCGAGAACGCAGGTGTTGCGACGGACAAGTACGAAGTCAGCAAGGATGGCTGGGAAACATCGTCCGTGTCCCCTATCGATATATGCACCATTGTTTCTGACGCGCGCGGCCCCGCGCAGGATGCAGGTCAACGACCTCTCAACACCTCTTCTCGCGCTGCGTCTACTTCCCCTGATGGTCAAGACTGCTAAAGAGCATCAAACAACGCCTCGCCTGGTCATCGTCGCTAGCGAGGTGCACCACTGGACAGAAATATCCAAGGAAGTTGCTGAGGACCCGTCCCCGCTTTCGGTCTTGGGCAGTGCCGAGTTTTGCTCAGAGTACGTATCCCAACTCACCGATCGTTCCTTGCATCTCATAGCCCTATGACACAGCCCTAAACAGATGACGGACCGATATTATCTGACGAAGCGTGCGTCCCTTCTCTCATCTTTCTCTCGTCCGTCTATCGCTCTCTCCCGAATGCGCTGACCGATCTCGACCAGTCCTCAACGTGTTCTTCGTGCGCGCCTTCAACGACCGCCTTCCTCCCTCCACCCCCGTAGTCATTGACGCCGTCAATCCCGGATTCTGCCGCAGCGAATTGAACCGCGAAGCAGTAGGACTCGCAGGAATCCTGTTCGCCATCATGCAGCTCCTCCTCGCGCATACGACCGAGGAGGGCAGCAGGCAGCTGATTTATGCCGCTCTCGCCGAAGGAACTGGTGAGAAGTTGCGTGGACAGTTCGTCACGAATTACGGTGTCTCGGAAGTCAGCGACTTTGTCCTCACCCCAATGGGTGTCAAGCTCCAGGACAGACTTTGGTGCGCCCGTTTTCTTTCGTTTTCTGATCATTGTTTATGTGTTCCAATGCAGGGACGACTTGATTGACATCCTCCAGAAGGTGGATCCAAAAGTGGGGGACGTCGTAAATTCCTACCTATCGTCTTATAGTTCGACTTAGTTTAATCAATTGTAAGATGCATTTGCAACCCCGCACAATGGGCAGTTGTCGCCGTGACAGGAAGAGTCATCATGCAAATGATCCCACTCATCAGATTTCACTCTCCCAGGGAATGCTGCAGGTAGTGCTATCAAATACTTGATATTATTACTTCGAGCTGAATCAGACTAAATCCCGCTCTGTCGGGAAAGCTAGTTTGCCGTACCACGAGCAAGTTCACCCATCACGTCATCGGGCAGCTTACTAAACGCGACGTGTCATGCCCGCCCCTTGGGCCTTTATGCATTAGTGCCCACTCAATGCAAAGCGGCCTCGTTCCAACGCAGCACATATAATACAGGGACGACGCGATTAATGTCTATCTATCCACAGAGTCTACTTTACGATCCCACTCCACCGCGACACCACAACGATGCGTTACACCGCGCTCGATTTCCTCATTGCTCAATGGTCGACCCAGCACCCCGTCGTCAAAGCTGACTTAGCGGGAAAGACCGTCGTCGTCATCGGCGCCAATACTGGTCTGGGCTTCGAGGCCTCGAAGCACTTTGCGCAGATGAACCCTGGCAGGCTTATTCTTGGCTGCCGGAGCGAGAGCAAGGGGATGGAGGCCGTAGAGAGTGAGTCTCTCCTGCCTTCACTCTCATCCTAGTCTAGTTCTCAGCATCCTCGCCTCGGCAATCTAGAGATCAAGAAAGACACAGGATTCTCAGCAGAGCTGTGGCTTATCGACCTCGCCGATTTTGGCTCCGTCTCTGCGTTCGCCGATCGTTTCGAACATGATTGTGAACGGCTGGATATCCTGGTCGAGAATGCAGGTGTTTCAACGGACAAGTACACAGTCAGCAAGGATGGCTGGGAAACCTCGTCCGTGTCTCCTATTGATGCAAACACAACTTTGTCTGACGCGTGCGGCCCAGCACAGTATGCAGGTCAACGACCTCTCAACGCCCCTCCTCGCGCTGCGTCTGCTTCCTCTGATGATCAAGACCGCCCGAGAGCATCAGATAACACCGCGCTTGGTCATCGTTGCTAGTGACGTGCATTACTGGACAGAAATATCCAAGGAAGTTGCCGAGGACCCTTCACCGTTGTCGGTCTTGGGGGGTGCCGAGTTCTGCTCCGTGTAAGCACTCCGCCTGACCAATTGCTCTCCGTATCTCAAAGCCATACTATGAAGCCCTAAGCAAATGGCCAATCGGTACTTTTTGACGAAGCGTGCGTCCTACCTCTCCCTCGTCTCTCAATCCCTCATCCACCAACCAATCTCAACCAGTACTCAATGTGTTCTTTGTGCGCGCCTTCAACGACCGCCTCCCTCTCGCCACGCCCGTCGTCATCGACACTGTCAATCCCGGGTTCTGCCGCAGCGAATTAATCCGCGAAGCAGTAGGACTCATTAGACTCGTATTCCCCATCATGCAGCTCCTCCTCGCGCATCCGACCGAGGTGGGGAGCAGGCAGCTGGTGTATGCTGCCCTCGGCGAAGGCAACGGTGAGAAGCTGCGCGGGCAGTTCATCACGAACTACGGTGTCGCGGAAGTCAGCGACTTTATTCTCACTCCGATGGGTGTCAAGCTCCAGGACAGGCTTTGGTACGCTCGTTTCTTTTCCTTCCTCTGATGGCTCTTCATGTGCTCCGATGTAGGGACGACTTGATTGACATCCTCAAGAAGGTGGATCCAAAAGTGGATGGCATCGTCAATTCCTACCTATCGGTCCTATAGTTCAACTTCGTTCAACTAATTGTGAGATGCATTTGCAACCTGGTAGAATGAGCACTTGTCGCCGGGATAGGAAGAGATATTTCTCATGCAAATGATCCTAATCATCAGATTGCACCCTGCAGGAAGTGCTGCAGATAGTGCTATTAAGTACTAGCTATCATCACGTTAAGCTGAATCATGTTAAATCCCGCTCTGTCAGAAAAGCTGGTACCAATCAATACACGTGATTGCCATTTACTGTTAGAACTGCGTCATACACTGTCGCCCTGCATGTGTTTCTGGTTCAAACCACGGCTGGTGAATTTTTAGATCGTTAATCCGTTAATCCGTTAATCCATTCATATCGTTTATCAGCTTGTATTTTCACTGATTGATCCTCATTTTGAGTGATCCTCAGAGGACCAGCACAAGTCGAATGTAGAGAACAGACTCAGTTCACGATGATTATCAGCTGAGTAAAAGCACATTGAAAAACCAAGCCGACAAATACTCCCAAATTCAATTTTCACGCAGCATCGCACTTCTTCAGACGCGTATGACTGCCAAAGCTCAAAGCTGCCAAAGAAGAATTATGAATTTTATAAGCTGATGAACGATATGAATGGATTAACGGAGAAATGACTTGAGAATTGAGCAGCCCTATTATAGACCTTAACGCCGCTGGAGTGCCCTTTCAGTAGTCGAGTGACTAATTTATCCAGATTTGAACATTGAAATCTCTCGTGTCTCGGAGATTGACATGATGGAAACAGTTATCAGATGAATGATCTCAATCATTAGATGACATTCTCTTAGAAACTGCTGCAAGTAATGCTGTTATCACGGCGCGCTCAATCCCGCTCTGTCGGGAAAGCTGGTTTGCCGTAGTACGAGCAAGTTCAGACATCACGTCATCGGGCCGATTGACAGACGCGATGCGTCATACCGGCTCATTTATGCATCAGTGTCCGCTCAATTCAAAGCGGCCTCGTTCCAGACGCGATCCAACATATAAGTAATACAGGGACAATGTGATCTACTATGTCTACTCATCCACATCTGCCCTACTGTTCCACTCCGACGTGAAACCATCACGATGCGTTACACCACGCTCGATTTTATCATCGCTCAATGGTCGACCCAGCACCCCGTCGTCAAAGCCGACCTGGCGGGAAAGACCGTCGTCGTCATCGGCGCAAATACTGGTCTGGGCTTCGAGGCTTCAAAGCACTTCGCGCAGATGAACCCAGGCAAACTTATTCTTGGGTGCCGGAGCGAGAGCAAGGGGAAGGAGGCCGTGGAGAGTGAGTTTGTCTCGCCTTCTCTCCCATCCCAGGACTCAGCATCCTCGCCTCGGCGATCTAGAGATTAAGAAGGACACTGGGTTTTCAGCAGAGTTGTGGCTGCTCGACCTCGCCGACTTCGCCTCTGTCTCCGCTTTTGCCGACCGTTTCGAACGTGATTGCGGACGGCTGGATATCCTGGTCGAGAACGCAGGTGTTTCGACGGACAAGTACGAAGTCAGCAAAGATGGCTGGGAAACCTCGTGCGTGGCCCCTCTCGATGCAGACACCTATGTACCTTCCCTAACGCGCGTGGTCCAACGCAGTATGCAAGTCAACGACCTCTCAACGCCCCTCCTCGCACTGCGCCTGCTTCCTCTGATGGTCAAGACCGCCCAAGAGCATCAAACAACACCGCGCTTGGTCATCGTCGCTAGCGAGGTGCACTACTGGACAGAGATATCGAAAGAAGTTGCCGAGGACCCTTCACCGTTGTCGGTCTTGGGGGGCGCCGAATTCTGCTCCGTGTAAGCACCCTGCCTGACCGATCGTTCTCCGTCTCTCAAAGCTCTATGTACTATGCAGTCCCAAACAGATGGCGGATCGGTATCCTTTGACGAAGCGTGCGTCATACCTCTCCCTCGTCTCTCACTCCCAGCTCACTCCCTCGTCCACTGACCGCTTTTGATCAGTCCTCAACGTGTTCTTCGTCCGAGCTTTCAACGACCGCCTCCCTCCCTCCACACCCGTCGTCATTGACACCGTCAATCCCGGGTTCTGCCACAGCGAACTCAGTCGCAATGCAGTGGGACTGGCAGGCATAATGTTCGCCATCATGAAGTTCCTCATCGCGCACCCGACCGAGGTGGGGAGCAGGCAGCTGGTGTATGCTGCCCTCGGCGAAGGCAACGGCGACAAACTGCGTGGGCAGTTTGTCACGAATTACGGTGTTGCGGAAGTCAGTGATTTCATCCTCACCCCGATGGGTGCCAAGCTCCAGGACAGGCTTTGGTGCGCTCGTTTCTTGTCGTTCCTCTGATGATCATTTATGTATTCCGATGCAGGGACGACTTGATTGACATTCTCAAGAAAGTGGATTCAAAAGTTGGGGACGTCGTCAATTCTTACCTCTCGTCCTGAATGGAGCATGGGCCGGTTTGGCCAGTTGTAAAATATAGTTGCATGTGTAAAGCCGTCGGGCAAAATGGGTGCTTGTCACCGTTTGATTATTGCATGTAGGGGATGGTGTTACTCTCCGAATACATAATTATTTCTCAACGAAAGTCAACGGGGCAAAGGCCTTCACCATCAGTCAGTATCCAGACCTATGATCAGCAAAAGTCGACGACTCACATAACCGGTTCCTTCGTAATGCTTGCTGTTGGCCTCGACCCAGTGGAGCCGCAAGGCGTGCAAGAACGCAGAAAGACCCTGCAAACGACCTCTCAGTCTTGCTTTCAGACAATTCCAGATGGTCACGCACCTCCATGAGACAGAGGATTCCCACCGTCAGCGAGAACCACAGAAGGCCCACGATCAGTAACATCGCCCATCCAATCAGTCCCTGAGGGTCCAGCGCGTTTTCAATCGTCATGGACCACAGCACCTCCGAAAGCTGGGCGTGGGCAAGCGAAAGAGCCCACAGACGGAGATAGGACGCCGTGTGAGAGATACATCCGAGACAGAACTCGATCGTGTGGATAACCTGGTGGATGACGACCTCGCTGAAGTCATGGGTCTCCTGCGAAATGTCAGGTGAGGGCGGCACAGTATCAGCGACGAACGTACGTGTCCTTCGTCATCGTCCACAATGGCGCCGCCGTTCTCGTGGCCGTTGAGCCCTTCTTCCTCATCGAGCAATCCAGTGTCTCCGTTGTCAAGGCCCGTGTAACCGGCATGTTCGTGCTGATTCATCTCACGCCAGACATAGTACGGCTTCGCAATCAAGAGAATAGGGACACAGATTCCGGCAAGCATTATCAGGATGACCTGCACAGTGCCCTGGCCCGGGTAGAGTTGCGTTTCGGCCTCGACCGTTCCAGGCTTCAAGAACATGCCGATCAACATAGTCAGCAACAACGGCGGTTGTGTCGACATCTTCGTCCAGTCGATGCTCCATTTGTACAGGATGCAGATAACCAGGTAGCCGAAGATTGACTGCAAGAAGATCATCTGAGGGATGAAGTTCGCATAGATGTCGATCGGACGCTTGAACCGAAGGTGGTTTGGCACTTGCAAGCAGAGGGCGAATGTCATCTGCGCCATCATCAGCAAAGGAATACGAGAGCGACGAAGGACATACGTGGATGACACCCAAGACAACGGACATCTTCATCTTGTATGAGTTCGTGAAAACGAGGCCGTTGTCGGCACCGTGCCAGCCTGGATCAAGACCGAATGGGTACGTATGGCCGGTAGCAGTAGCGGTGATTTGGGTGTTGTTACCCATGGGCGGGAACACCCATCCAGAGTGCCAGATGTGCAACGACTTGGAGAAGATGTCGTTGTACATCAAACCGGTGTACATCGAGAAGATGCCCATCAGAAGGATAATGTAGCGACCACTGCAAGAGGGATGAGTGTCAACCCCCAGAACTGGAAAAAGACCTTACAAGAAGAACTGTCCCACGATCTCGCCCAAATCGGCCTTGGCCCACTTCTTCTCGACCATGATCATATAGAGCGCCGCACAGAAGAGAATGAAACCGTGTCCAATGTCACCGAACATGACGGCAAAGAGGAAAGGGAAAGTGACCACAGCAAACAGACCGGGGTTGACTTCCTGGTAAGTGGCGATACCATAGCTGTCCATGATCGTTTGGAATCCTTCTGTGAGTTTGTTGGTACGGTTGAATGTGGGCGGTGTCTTGCTCGTGTGCAACTCATGCAAGATCGGGGGCACGCTGGTTCCAGAGTTGTCCTAAAGCAGATCAGACTCGAGCTAGTTTGAGGGAGCTGGACAAACACTCACCGTCGCTTTACGAAGGCCGGCCTGGATCTCCGGAATATCACGAGTAGGCACCCATCCTTCCGCGATGAGCGTCTTGCGCCGCACATCGTAATTGAAAAGGTTCAGTGTCTCGTAGATGAGCTTCTCCTTCCGCACAACGTCCTGCCAGCTGCGCAGGCTCTCCCCGATCTTGACCAGTTCGCTGCGTCTGTTGGAGCCAGTGTTGTACAGCACCGTCTGGATATCCTCGAGACGGACTGTAACCTCCTTGAGCGACTCATCACGTTTGCCGGAGTTGGCATCGATGGGATAGAGGGTGGCGCCCATGGACTCCGAGACCTTGCGGATCTTGGCAAGAAGTGTGTCTCCGTGAGCGAAGATGATGAACACGTTCTTGCGCGTCTCGGCGCCTGTGAAAGGATCGACGAAGGGCTCGACGATATCCGTGTAGTTCATGTACAAGTTGCCACGCAGTACACGCCAGAGAACACGCTCGAAAGTAGGAATTCGAGCGCGGTCAATGGTGCCAGCGATGAACTCGAGGTCGAACTGAACTCCGTTGTTCGAGTACTGAGCCTCTCGGTCATCATGCTGCAGCAGCGGTGCGGAGCTCTCATCGAACGAGCTGCGAATTTCGGTATGTTGGGTGTGAGCCTATCACATGGAGTTTCAGCATGCATAGCACATGTCAGGCACATACATACCTTGTCAAAGAACACCGCAGTCTCCCTCAGTACATGCCGGGCCTCGACAAGCTCCTTGGTACGCTCACTCAGCGTCTGATAGCTCTCGTTCATCCGGATCAAGCGTGACTCGTGCTCGGCCAGGGCAACATCGAGCTCGTCGATGGTCTGGGCCGCCCGAGGGCCGACAGTGATCAATGGCGCCGAGTCGTAGAGGGGGCGAATGGGCACGACGTCCTTCTCCTTCCCAATTTGCGTGGAGAAGAACCGAACACGGCGCGCCATTTCGTCAATGCGGCGGATTTCACCGACGAAGGAGCGTTGGAACGGGTTGATGGTGGGGTTGAGCTGAGTCGGCAGGTAAGATCAGTGCTTCGTCCGCAGCAGAGCCGACGGTGCGTACGTCTTTGAACTGAACATCTCCAAGTTCACCGAGCTCGGCTACAGCGTCATGCGCGACCTCAGTCGGCACGAACAACTGCACTAGGCTCATCTGCTCCGAGCCTGAGGTGGTACGAAGTCAGTCAGCATTGCGTTACCCGCGTAGACATTTCACAAACGGAACAGGCTGGGGTATTCGCTAGACATCTCGAGAGATATCTAATCGAGGGAAAAGACGGTACTGGCCGTGCCAGAATAAGATGTGAAGATGCAGGAAGGAAGGTGATGATGCGGTGTTGTGAGCTATTTGGTACCAACTGCCCGCTCACGGTGCGCATGTCAGGCCGCAACACGCAAACAATGCGTATTGCCATCCTCAGAAGCTGCAAATAAATGTCCCACATCGAGCAAGCGTGTGAGCCGGGCACTGGCGATGTTCCACGCGCACATGTAATATTTTGTGTCAGACCCGGAGTCGATCCTTGGACACATTCAACCCTAACCAGAGTGTTGCTAATCTATCGGATACATTTTCCTTTCGCCAATCATTGTCGCGCCTGACGCGTCTAATCGCGACTCTGCACGATGGATACAGCGGTCGAAGATTCCGTGGAGCAGCTTGTCACCACATGGATAGTTTCCGAGAGGGATGAGGAGATCGCGTCAGCTGTCGAAGGTAGAAAACGCAATTTGCCTTGATTTGGGCAGCCACCTTACTTTGCATCCGAGTCGTCTCCAATGGCCGTCTGCTCGCTGTCGTCAGGGCTCTTGGACCCTATTTAACTTCAGAGACGGACGATCTCAGGTCAAAGGGTTCGCTGACTCTCTTGCAAGGCGTACGTCTTCCTGACTCGGTAGTCTCGCAGGCGTCGATTTTCTCGCTACTGTAGTCGCCAGATGTCCAGAAAACACACTCAACCGACAAGCTGGTACCTTCCTTCGATCACGATCCTACTCCGAAAGTCATCATCTCTGCAGTAAAAGTGCTCTCCACTTTCTTCTGCGACAAGCTCGACGACACCGAAACCATCGTTCCCGCACTGAAAGGCCTCGCTAGCCTCCCAGCAATCTGCAGCTCCGCGGACGCAGTAATGATTTTGAAAGCGCAAGTAGCCAAGCCCTCATCCTACCGGGCCGCTGCTGCGACTGACCGAGGCTTCGCAGTGTCTTCGCCCATGTCCGCATGCGGGTGCTGGTCCAGTCCGTCCGATTCCATGTGTTCTCGATCATCCAAGGTCTTCTCGCGCATCATAAAGAAAGTCAGTCCGAGCCGGTCGCTACTTCGGATTGACCCTGATGACGGATCAGCGCTCAAGCAGGAGGATGTCGTTGCGCCTTACATCACTCTCGCAGAAGGGGAGAAGGATCCACGAAATCTACTGGTCGCATTTTCGATTGCCCGGACTCTTCTGCGTGAATTTGACGTTGGGAGTAAGCACATGGAAGCCATGTCGAACATCGTCTTCTGCTATTTCCCGATCACGTTCCGGCCACCCGCAAACGACCCGTACGGAATCACCCCGGATGATTTGCGTCTTGCATTGAGGTGCGCAGGCTGTTCTTATCTGTCGTTGGGCTGAGATTGACTCCACTAGACAGTGCATGGCTTCGGATCCGGCTTTGGGGCCGTACGCAATTCCAATCTTCCTAGAAAAGCTCGCCGCAGGTTCTCCCGCAATTAAGGTGGATACATCTTGCGACTTCTTTTCACCTCGAACCCGGTCTGAAGTCTCGGTAGCGCGACACACTACAATCGATGACGGAGTGCTTCACAGCATACGGTGCCAGTGTCCTGCGGCAGTTTTCCCGAAAACTTTGGAATTCTATCAAGCTCGAGGTATTCCACCCGACAGATCGGACCACGGAAGAGCTGGCGCTGTCCACCATGCAAGTATTGATCGTAACTCTCAACTCGGATGACGACGACGACAAGCTGGCACATGACGCATGCGAGGAGTGTATCGGAATACTGCGGGAGCCAGAGAAGAATCAAGCAAAGCACGCGATGAAAGTCCTGTGTGCTTTCTTATCAACGACGCGTGAGTTTTATCTCCTGTGTACTTTTCCGCCGATGACATGGAGACGTAGCTTCCGTGGCTCGGTACACACTGTCGAATGCCATTCCTCATCTTTTGAAGTTGCTCTCGGAACCCCGAGAGGCTACAGCTCGCCCTTCGACATTCCTCCTGCTTTCTGATCTGATCGCTGCTGCGCGCGACTCCAAAACGAGTGCTCTGGCAGAGTACAAAGACGATGTTTTGGGCGCATTGATCTCCGGGATCGGGACATCGAGCACCACGCGGCCCGTACTGGCTGGTTTGACCGGGCTGGTATCGACACCCGATCTACTTTCGGACCAAGAACTCGGCTACGTCGTGCTCAAAGCAAACGAGACGCTGCTGAAATGTCTGGAGGAAGAACAGGGCGATGAAGGGTGCGTTATGATTTCTATGATTCCATGGACCTCCTCTGAAAACCCGCAGCAATGCGATCCTCAAGCTTCTCATGACAGTAGCGTCAGAGGCTCCACTGCATGTGCGAGACCAAACACTGCCGCTCTTGCTCGCCATTCTCCCCGAATCTGTTCCCGAAAAAGAGGAAGATTTCTGGCGATACCAAACAACCCTGGATGCTTTGGCGACTGTCAGTGGTCCAGCGCCCATCTTCACCGCCCTCGTCGAAGCGATAACCCCTCGGCTGTTTGCCGTAAGCACTACCACAGAACTGGGCGCAGCATACTTGCACGCGCAGTTGCATGCGATCAAACGCGTGTTATCCGAGAACGACGATGCCTTTGTAGCTTCGCTGGTGTCGGCAGTTTTCTCGCTGTGCCTGCGTTCAAGGCATCCGCGAGTCGTCCTGATCAGCGGGGAGATTGTGTCGTTGACGGTGCAGAGAATGACCACAGAGTGGGTAGCTATCTTTGTCAGCATTTCATCTTTGCTGATGGGTGGGCAGGCAGCAACAAGAGTTTGCATCTCTGCTCTTTCCCGCATTCTTGTGCGGAAAGATCGCTGCGGTTTGTGCTGGCGAATATCCTGCTCCAGAAACGCCGTTTTTCCCATTCTCCGTGAGTGGGCTGTATTTTCATAGCGGATGAATATCTGACAACGACACAGACGCAAGCGAGCAATGATGAACGGAATCTCTATGTTCTTTTTGAGGCAGCGCTCGTGCCACTTCGGCAGCAAGTGGTCCTCGACGACGATCTGAATGTCAGCCTCGAGACTATTCTAGTGCAAGGCATGATGCATGCAAGCACGGATCGGCAGCTGGAAGCTGTTGTGCGAATTGTGGGGTCGGTTTTGAATAAACATGCCGATGGTGAGTGTCGCGATAGTTCTCCGTCTCTCTGTCCGACGCAGGCATCAGCTTTGAGTTCGTTCCTGGAGCACAAGAACACTGCGTTCTGGTCGAGTCAGGTGCTCAACACTGGTCGCTCAGTCGAGGAGAGGCGGGATGCGATTCGAGTGTGGACCTGGGTGAGTAGTCCGACCACTCCGACTCGAATCACGCACTAATCACTGCGCAGATCTGTAAAGCGCTGATCGTTCGGAATCACGCTTTGGCGCTGGAGTTTGTCGACCGTTTGTTCGACGTCTTCAGTGACGAAGCGATCGCTGTGTTTGCGGGCAAGGCCATCGGTCAGATTGCGGCGACGGATCCAGTTCTGACGAAGAAAAACGGGGCAGTTGTCAAGGTCAAACAGCACTTCAAACAAGTTCCCTTCTCGCTGACTTCTCTGTCCAGTTCCTGTGGTCACAAAAGTTCGCTGTGGGGATGTTGCCTCGTTTGATGGAAGGCAAAGACAACGCGCATTTGATCGCCCTGACTTCATTAGTGCAGGCGGTGCCGTACACAGTTTACGCTCACGAGATGGGGCGACTGCTACCACTCCTCCTGCGCGCGCTTGCCATCTCCGACGCGCAGATTCGGCTGGGCGTACTGGAGACTCTCCTCGTGACTGCCCAGAAGAACTCTCTCTCAGAGCATGCTGTCTCCCTCACTAGACACGCTCTCGAGTCTGTCCAGCTAGCACAGCTCCATCCACCGGTCAGTGCACTGACGACTGGTCACATCGATCTGTGTCTAACCGCGCCTCAGTCAACCCGAATCGCTGCTCTTCGACTGCTGGCTGTGTTGCCCAGTACTGTGTCCTATGACGTGCTGCATCCGGTCAAGTCTGAAGTGCTTCGTGCTCTTTCTAAGGCGTTGGATGATCCGAAACGGGCAGTAAGGAGACAGGCTGTTGATACGAGAGAAGTATGGTTCAAATACACCGGTTGAATGAATCGTGTTGCGAGACTGCTCGAGAAAGTCGCGCGGAAGGAGTTCTCGGGCACATCGTTTTGATTGATGACGGGGCCCAAACAACAACCAAACTCCTCTCCTGATCTCCCATCTCACAGCAAGACGGTTTCAAAACATACATACAAGAATGTACAGAGGAAAATGTGCGCTGGGGCATGATATGAAAGAAAGATAGAACAAGGTTACACGAGCTTGGAATCCGCCAAGAACTGCGATTGGCGCGCCGGCACCAGCGCCGCAACGCTCTCCTCCTCAAACGGCTGCTTCTCCACATCATGCACCGCGACATAAGCCCCATACCCATACGGATCCTCGCCATGGAGCACCGCGGAGCCGGGACTCATCGCGGGCGCGTCGCCGAACTTCACCCACGCGGCGGCATTCGGGGCGTACCCGGCCGCAGGCGACGTCGCGTGCTGCACCGCGTCCGCGATGTCCGCGTGCGTGCGTTCCCAGGCCCGGCGGTCCTGCTGGCGCTTGCGGCGCTTGTAGGCGAGAAAGCCGGCGCCCGCGAATAGGAGGAGCAGGAGCACGGGGACCAGGATCCCGGCGATGAGCGCTGCGGGGTGGCGATGGGCGCCGGGGGATGTGGTCCCGCCGATTGTCGATCCCGGGGAAGAGATCGCGACAGGCGCCGTTGTCAGGGTGTACACTTGGCCGTCGGAGGAGGTGCTGAGGAGCGGTTGGCTTGTGGTAGTGGCTGGAGAAAAATGAGCGAGGGTGGTCGGCGACGAAGTCTCAGATGCGGCCTTCTGGACAGTGGCAGAGTTCGGTGCTTCTCCCGTCGAAGGGCCTGAAGACTCTTGGAGCGTGCTGCTCGGTCGGATGCTAGGATTGCCATCATTCAAGCTGGCAGTGGTATGAACCGCTCCACTAGTAGATGCGTCCGTATCAGGGCTACCAGTGGTTGGATTTCCAGCCGTCGGAGTGGCTGGCGGCGGCGGCGGCGGCTGACTTGGCGGACTGTGCAAGGAATCGGTTTCGTGTTTAGATCCCGTGTTAACTCACTCACGACGCAGGGTCATTACCACTGCCTGGAGAATCCGAGGTCGCGGGAGCGGCAGGTGGTGGCGGAGCGGGATTCACAGTTGTGGTGGCGGGTGTGTTCTCTGCCGGACGTGTATTGGGCGGAGCTGATGGCGGCGACTGTGTCGTTGTCTGAGGCGGAAGCGCGGGAGGCGGTTGATTTGGCGGTGGGAATGTAGTTTGCTGGGTCGTTTGCGGTGGCGGTGGTTGGTGGGTTTCACCGTCTCCGCCTTTGTGGTGTTGCTCGCCATTGCCACCCCCGCCAGATTGACCGTTGCCGCCATCGCTACCGCCACCAGGTTGGCCCGACCACCAGCTATCATTGTTATTTGATTTTGATTGTGTTGTTCCCATGGCCTAGGAGATCGGATTCGAGTTGGCGGAGATTTAGTGAGTGAGCGTGGGCATAAAATGAAAGGCTGGGCCTGCAGGCGCTGAGCGGCGGTACGGACCACAAGTGAGATGAGTGGGGAAGAAGGAAAATACGACAGCGCAGGATGCCGTCCCTTGTTTCGCAACCCATTCAATCTTGACATCAGTTGATATGTACAGCAAATAACTGATCAACTCCTCCATCAGATTGTCTGGAGAGATCGCCGTTGTCTTGACTCTATTCCAGGCGCTCGAGGGCCAATAACGTTGAAGATCATGTAGTGAGCTCATGTCACGAATGACAGGACTTTGAGTGCTGCCCATCCGTCAAGTTCATGTCCGATTGCCTCTGACTTGGTGGGGCCTGAGCGCTAGATAAACCCGCTCAAGCACCCACTCTTCACGTCCGCCTAGGAGAACTCGTCTCGTAGTGATTTTTGAGAGCAATGCATGGCCGGACTTCTCTTGACACAACTAATATTGCGTGCTACACCCACCTTCCTGTTTCAGTCGATGAGCGTGGTCGAGCAGATGAGTAAGCGATCGAAGCCTCATGTCGCGCAACAAGTCAAGTTACTCGAGGAGCTTCCAACTTTGATTGGAGGAGGAAAGTAATCAAGCAATCGAAGTTGGGCAGGTCAAAGCAGTCTAGCTCTGTGGTAAGCCTAGAAACTCAGAACAAAAATTTGACATTCTGATAGAACTCGAGCATCGGATTCTCCCCGTTCTTCAGGCGCGTCTTGCTCAAATCCGCATAGGTCGACAAGAACTGCGCATGACTGAACACGCTCGATTTTCGCTCCCCGACAGGCAGCCCGCTGGCCGAAGTGACTCCATCCACCGGTCTGCGACGATTGCTGGGGTGATACGACGAGAAGAAATCAGAGCCGGCCGACAGCGGGCCAGCATTCCCACTCAGCGGCGTGGATCGCGGTTCGGGCAGACCGCGGCCTGTGACCGGCTCGGCGAGGATGTGCTCGTACATGTCCCGCAGCCGCTCGAAGTGGGTGGGGAAGAAGATGTCGAAATAGCCGGGCGCGACGAGCATGGTCGTCACAGGCACCGTCGTGTTCTGGAATCGCGTCTGCACAACTGGCGCGTTGTGTCCATAAATGGCGTCGGGCAGGGTGGAGAAGTCCGATAGGAGAAGCCGGTGGCGAGGGAAGTGCGTGCGCAGAGTCTTGAGCAGGCTGAACAGCCGAGTAGGTATGTACTCCGGTTTAGACAAGTTCGGCGCAAATGGGAGATTGGAATAAGCCTTTGCCAGGCTCGGCATTGCGCGCAAGAGACGTGAGATGCCCGACGGATGGCCGAGCTTTGTGCGCAGCTTCAGGTAGGATGCAATGAGGGGATCCGTCACAGGTGTGTAGATCATCTCGTAGTCCCCCCTGCGGTCGATGGTGACAAATGCTTGTAATGGCTCTAGCGTTTTAAGATCATAACGAATCATGTCGTGGGCAAAGTTGTCCTAAAGCTGTCGTTCAGATTCCCTCGCCGCCCTCAGAAAGAACACTCACTATAACTTCCATGGCAAGCACGAAACACGGCGCAGGCTCTTTTCGGTTCCACCGAAATACGCTCTTGTTCAGGATCCGAGCGCAAGGATGGGAAGCTGTCAATCTCTGCTTCTGCAACCCCGCCAGACTCTCACTGATCTCGATGATGTTGTATTGCGTTCTATCATAAACCTCTGGATGTGTCTTCTTGAGATAGTTGAGGATATTCATCGCCAGCGTCCCGTTCCCCGCGCCGACCTCGTAGATGACAAAGTCTTCGTACGGGAAATACTTGAGTAGATATTCGGCCACAATGCATTTGGCTATAGCTTCGCCGTACCAGGGCTATCAACTCATCAGCACAGGCTCTGAACAAGAGCCAAGGAGACAGAGATGCGAACCTTGAAAAGCTCTGTCGGCGTGTGCCATATTTGCCTCCCCGGGCCCTGATGCAAGTCCGCCCCATACGCAGCATACCGCGCACTCACTTCCTCCTGGAACTCCACCGAGTTCCGCAACTTCTCAAACTCAAACGGCACCTGCTGGCCATCGAAGATCACCGCCTGCTTGGGGAAGTACCCGTAGTGCGGGTTGTACAGCGAGTCTTCGATCCAGTCGCGCACGAGCATCTTCACCTCGCGCGGCTGCGTTTTGTGTCTCTCGAGCTGGTTGGCGTCGACGAGGGGGTACGACGCGAGGACTGCGTTGGGCGTCGCGTCGCCGTCCAGCAGGGTGTTTGAGTTGTAGTTCCATCGGTCGTCGTTGGGAACCTCCGAGGTTTTGGACTGCGATAGACGCGGCAGACGCGGCTTGTTGGAAGCGGAGCGGGTGAAGCTATGGAAGATTCGGCGTCGACATGCAGGACGGATGTCGGTGGCGATTGCCAAAAGCATTGATGATATACACGTGACACGCGGAATTCTCCATGTACAATTCGGACGCCGCGGCAGTGAACACTACTGTAGGGTTCGGATCCTGAATCCCCTGCAACTCGAATACAAGGGGTAAGATACGGTGCGTACGACTCGCCCAGCGACCAGAGTGGTAGATAGATGGATAGCTCGGTCCCTTCGTCTTTGGAATCTTATAGCAGGCCCTAGGTGACTTCAGACTTACACTCCGACCTGGGTTCCGGTTGCGCTCTGAGTGAAAGCGCATTGAATGCCATTTATGAGATACAACGAATTATGCAACAAAAATACAGCTGGAAAGGAGTAGTAAGTAGTCTAGCAATGCTATAGAATGGCAGATTGTGCGAATGATATAATGATAAGGAGTGCGAGTTGACCAATGTAATGCTATGGGTAGAATTATACAGCCGTCAAGGCAAGAATAACATATTATCGACGGGAGTCCTGAGGGTACTCCTCCGCCGACTGAAACTGGAATCATACGACGCCGGCGAAACCCGAGAAGGAGAAGCGAAAGGATCCGTCTCAGTCCACGCCGGAGGAAGAGGGCCCTGGCTAAAGTCCAAACGGACAACAGGCTGCATCTTCATCTTTTGCTGCTTTGCCTTGGGCTGTTTCGGGGCTTTCAGCCGCGGGGGCGGGGGCGGCAGAATCGTCACGGCGCCAATGGGGCGAAGAATAGGTCGCGGTTGCCTCACCGGCTTGGGCAGCGAGGGAAGAGGGGGAGTTGGCGGGGCTTCGTCGACTGGTGGGACAGACGGCGCCTTCGATGCGCGGCCTGCGAAGTAGCGACGAGTGAAAGAAAACGTTTTCGGCGCCGAAACCGGCGAGACCGGCTTCGTCGAAGAGATGGACGATGATCGGGTGCGTACGGAGGCCAGAGTCGACGCGGACCAGCGGGATCTCAGGATGGGAGAGATTTCGGATTCTTGAGAGATCGGAGACGGCGCCGACGGCGGTGGCGAGGCTGTCTGTTCCTGTTCCGGGGTGGCCAGCGAGAGACGTGTCTGCTGCTGCTCCCAAACTGCCAACGTCCCATTGAAGTCAACATCGAGAGTCGATGACGGCGACATGGAGCGATCGAGAGTCTGATAGTCTTCCCAGTCTTCTTCATTGATGTCCGTAGGGATCGAAGCACGGGGCGCTCTGTCGCGGGTCGGGAGAATCGTCGCAACAGACGGTCGAACGGTATCTACGAACGATGTCAGTGCTGTGCCAGCAGACAAAACTCAAAGCAACACACCCAGAGAAAAGTGTCCATTCACAGGCGAAAGAAGTAGGGGCGCATATGCTCGGTACGCAGCGGCGATGTCGCCTGAAGTATCTCTGCTCCGAGGACTCCACGGAGGAGGCTCTACCAGCTCAGTCGCCGATTGCGACTTGCGGATATCATGACCAGCCGGCAACTCAGCTGGACCCAAGACCGCAGAGCGTGCCAGCGATGTCGGCCGAGAGAAATTCGGCACGTCCGTGAGAGAAGACGATCGCATGCGCTTTAGGATGACGACCTTAGAATGCGGGAACGGGAATGGGGCAGCAGCTTCGATAGGCGAGAGCACGGATTCCGGAAGGCTTTCCGCAGGATTGACGCTGAGGCGTCGACCGGCATCTGTCGCGTAGAACTCATCTGCCTCATCTTCGTAAGCCAGCGGCGGCACAGGCAGAGGGATGCTGGGCGGAGCCCTGCGTGGCGGACGAAGTGTCGACGATAAAGGGAGCATGGGAGACGACAGTGCGACGGGGGATGGTGATGCTGGCGGTTCGCGTTTGGAGATGGCCAGGGGCCGGATGGTCTTGCATCTCAGAACACCAGATCGAGGTGGCGGGGACGCACAACCTTCACTGGGGCGAGAGTGAAGAGATGTAACGGACGTGGATGGACTCCAAGCAGTGAGAGAACCGGAAGAAGACGAAATGGATGACGCGGAACTATGTGTTCGTCGAATGGTAGGGTAAGCGAATGATGACGGCGGTAGAGGGAAATCAAAGATCTCCGAAGAGTCCGCCGCATCCTCATCATCCTCCACAATCACGGCCCTTGTGTCGTTGGCTTCGATGTCGCGAAGTTTCAATGCGAGATGCCAGATCTCGTCATCGACGACTTTCTCGTCGGTGCTTGATGCGACAGTCGGCGAAGACGCCGTGTTGAGACATTCCAAGTCGAGAGGCAGAGGACCAAGGTTAGAGACACCTAGTCGACGACGTGCTTTGATGCTGTTCTTCTTCTTTCGTGGTAGCGGCGCGTCGAAAGAATCTGAATCCAAGAGATCCTCCTCAGGTGCATCCAGTGCTTTCCGTGGCCGTGGGGACAGTGATCGACTGATTCTGTGAGGTAATATATGGGGTGCTGGAGATGGTATGAGAATCCGACCGCATTCCCCAATAAACGGAGCGTGCATACCATTCATCTCGTACTGGGCTCAGTCTGAGGAGGAGGAGGGGGCGAGAGCGAGAGTAGATCATCCACCCTCCACGAGTCTTATTATAGCCCGGCATCCTTCCAGCTCTCATTGTTCTGTGCGAATTGGGAATTACAAAAAGGCGGCGTGGCCGTGAAAGGGAAGGAGTAAAGAAAGACAAAGCGAGGCACCGCCACGGATCGGACATCTTGTCTGTAGACAATTGCGCTTACTGGGAGTGTTGTTGTGCGGCTAGCGTTTCATGCAGTAAGAAATCACATTCCATTTTTCTTTGAACTCCGCTCGCGAAAGTTACAGATCCTATATCTCGAAGGACCGGATGTTGCGGTTAATGAAGATGACATCATAACAAATAATCTAATCTAATCTCGAATATTCGTTCAATCCCTGGTCGATGTGATTGCACGTTGATCGCTCCTCAAGTTCGGGTAGCGCATGTAGGGTCAGGGACATACCAATGGAAATGAGAGCATCAAATCCTGATTTTGTGTATCCCAAGTCGCGGCTGGAGGCTCCAGATTCTGAACAGTACTATAACATTGACATTCGCTCCTGCGCAGGTATTCCTGATATACACTTTCCGACTCCCGATCAATGTTCGCCGCTCGTTGTAGCGTAGCGATCCTCGAGATCCTCCTGTCCACCAAAGCCTCCTTCGAAGTCCTGATCTCGCGCATTGGCCGCCTTGGCCGCTGATTCGGAAGTCTGCTTCGCCTGAGAGGACGCTCGCAGTGCAGCGAGCTGCTCTTGCTCCTGGTCGGATGAGTTTACCGAAGCCCGGTTCCCAATGAGCAGACTCACTTTCTTGTGAGCATAGGCAGCTTCAGAAGCTTGTCCGCGCTCTTTCCAGTTCTTATCCTGATAGATGTGTGAGATCTATGGATAGCTTGAATAGCAGAGTTTCGCGCACTTGAGATGTGGACATGGTGGTAGGTAAGTAGAGGATGTGGGGATTGGGGTGACATCATGAGCTGAACGTCATGCAAGAAGAAACACGGTCACGAGGTCTCAATCATTAATTAGTTCATGGGTCAACAGGCGCTTCTGGCGGATTCTTTGCTCCACGGAATGCTCACTGGCCCCAGAACGCTGAGCGAGCAGATCGAACTGCTCTTAGAAAAGTATCGTATACAGTGTATACGTATAGATCATTGAGACAAAGAGGGAGGGAGTCGCAGCGGTAGATTTGAATGTGTGAATCGCTTCCCTCCAACTGCAAAGTCACTGACGACGTGACCCTTGCCTCCAGTACTCCGAAGCATGTACTTGTAGATCACAAGGCCCTCAAGGCCCACTGGCCCTCGAGCATGGATGCGCCCAGTACTAATGCCCACTTCCGTCCCAAACCCGAATCGAAATCCGTCAGCAAATCGAGTGCTCGCATTGACGAAAGTGCCAGCGCTGTCGACGCCCCGGCAGAATACAGCTCCGGCCTGCTCGTTTTCCGTGACGATGGAGTCGGTGTGGTGCGAGGAGTGGGAGTTGATGAATCGGACAGCCTCAGACAGGGAGGTGACTGTGACGACGGAGAGCGTGAGCGTCAGATGCTCAGTGGAGTAAGATTCGGGGGTAGAGGGCGAGATGTGGGTTGTCAAGTTCGGCGGTGCCGGGGACAGATTCTGAACCACCTCGAGAGTCGCGGAATCGCAGAGCATTCGGACGTTGACTTCGAGTAACGCACGGGCCACCACTGGCCATACAGTTCGCAACAGAGATTTGTGTACAATCAGCGTCTCAACTGCGTTGCAGGCAGACGGGTAGTCGATCTACGAGAGTCAGCAGAGTGAAGCATTCCGTCTCGGATTGCGCACCTTCGAGTCGACGACCACACGAGCAGCTTTTTCCGAGTCCGCGGATTCATCCAAATACACATGGCACAGGCCGTCAGCATGTCCCATCACTGGGATTCGCGTGTTGTTTTGGATGTTCCGCACGAGAGCATTGCTTCCTCGCGGTATGACAAGGTCAATGTATTGGTCCAATGAGAGAAGGGATGAGACCTCTGCCCGGGTCTGGATTGTCTGCACATAGGTGCTGGGGAGAGATGATTGAGACAGCCCCGTTGCGATCGCTTGTGCGAGCAGTTTTGTGGTGCGATTCGATTCTTTTCCGCCCTTCAGAATCGCAGCATTTCCTGCATTTGCATTAGAGAGCAATCGGAATGAGCGAAATGTATATACCGGACTTGATTGCCAAAGCCGCGATGTTCACCACGACCTCCGGACGCGCTTCGAATATGACAAGCAGAACGCCAATAGGACAGGAAACCCGAAAGACCTCCAGATCGTCATCCAGCGCCTTGGCGTAGGAGACAATACCGGTAGGATCCGGCAGGTCTGCAACTTGAGAAACGCCCTCGAGCATCGAGTCCCATTTGTCGCCCTTGTTCAGGTCTAAGCGCTTCAGCAGTGATTCGGTCATCCGCCCTGCGTCTACTTCGACTTGAGCAGCCTGTCAGATGATAGTTCCGACAGTTTGAGGCTGGGCTACGTCTGGACATACCTGCAGATCCTCCTTGTTCGCCGCTAGGATTTCCGCCTTACATGACTCCAAGGCTCGCCGTATGTGATGTAGGGCATTCACGCGTTCAGACGATGCGACGAGCTGCGAATCCTCGAAAGCAATCTTGGCTGCTTTGGCGATCTCTTCAGCAGTGGACATTTTAAGATGTGGTGGGGGTAAGGAAGATGACTCGTGTGAAGGGCGCCCCGATCGTCTATATCACTGACACTTATACTCGGGATCTTCCGCTTACTAAGCAGACATTTTCCTCCTTGTCTCTTCCGAAACTCAATCCTTTCCGGATGGCGGATGCGCGCCTCGTTGACAGCAAGGCGACATTCTCATCGTTTGCGAATCTCCTCGACACCCGCATATTGCGCGCTCTAGCTGATCTCGGCTTCGCTCGCCCAACGTTGGTTCAAACAAAAGCAATCCCTCTTGCACTCGAAAGCCGGGATATCCTGGCCCGTGCGCGTACGGGGAGTGGAAAAACTGCGGCATACTGTATACCGATCGTCCAAAAGATTCTGAGTGCGAAAAGTGTGGGTGGGTTGTGATGGTGGTGGGATGGACGGGAGCTGATGGTTCAGTAGTCGCTCGATGCGGTCCAGGCCACGCGCGCTTTGATTCTCGTGCCAACAAGGGAGCTTGCGGAACAGGTGTCCGTGTATCTGAAGAGCCTTGTTGTATATTGCGAAAATCAGGTGTCGATCTCGAATGTTGCTTCTGGTGTAACGACCCATCTGCAACGGTAGGAAACCTTGCCCCTCCCTGCATTGTGACTAAAGAGAATAAATTTCAAGAACATTACTTTCCGACAAGCCGGACATTGTCATCTCGACGCCATCGCGTGCCTTGGCGCTGATGCAGTCCAAGGTATGCCCTGCTTGGTGTCGAGGGTGTTTATCACAACAGTTCATAGGCCCTTATTGCCACTGCGCTTGAATCGCTCGTCATCGACGAGGCGGATCTGATTCTGTCGTATGGGCACGACGAAGATGTCCGACAAATCTTCAGCGGGGCATTCCTTCCAAAAGTGTATCAGTCGTTCCTTATGAGCGCCACCATGACCGAGGATGTGGAGATGCTCAAGGGCCTGACACTGCGGAATCCGGTACGTTGGTTCTGGTAGTATCAACAACTGCTGACGTCAACCAGGCGATCCTGCGTCTCGAAGAAAGCGAGGATGAGGCAGCGAATCTCAGCCAGTATTCCGTTCGGTTTGTTGCTCATTTCACGTTCCTTTCTTTTCTGAACCTGTCTTCAGGTGTAACGAAGTCGACAAGTTCCTGCTGACCTACGTGATTCTCAAGCTCAAGCTCATCAAGGGGAAGTGCATTCTCTTCGTGAACGACGTCGAGCGCTGTTACCGCCTGAAGCTCTTCTTGGAGCAGTTCTCTATCAAAAGCTGTGTGCTGAACTCGGAGCTACCGCTGAATTCGCGATACCACACGGTGCAGGAGTTCAACAAAGGCGTATACGACTATATCATCGCAACGGACGAGAGCGGTGCCGGTGAGATGGACTCGGAGGATGAGAAAGAGGATGAGGAATCCGCTGATGAAAATGAGGGAGACGAGGATGATTGTGCGTTCCATCTTTTGTTTTGGGTCTTCTGTTGACCTTTAGTTCAGTTGTCCCATCGCAGCGAGAGCCTGCAGATGCTGAGGAGCCAGAGTCCGTCAAAGCTGGACCCTCCCCCAAAAAGCGCAAGCGGTCCGTATCACCGCTCCCGGCCAGCAAGAAGCGAAAGTCATCGAGCAGTCACAAGCGCGACAAAGAGTACGGCGTGACACGTGGTGTCGACTTTGTGGATGTCGCATGCGTCCTCAACTTCGACTTGCCCTCATCGGCTCGGGCATACACACATCGAGTGGGGCGAACTGCCCGCGCTGGCCGGACAGGCATGGCCCTGTCATTCATCTCGACGGGAGCCGGGCCGGACAGCAAACGAATGAAGGGCGAAACAATGTCGGATCAGAGGAATGACGAGAAGGTGTTTGCGCGGATCGAGGCCGAGCAGGCGGCGCGGGGAAGCAAGCTGCAAGAATACAAATTCGATATGAAGCAGGTGGAGGCGTTCCGGTACCGGATGGAGGATGCGCTGAGAAGCGTGACGCGGTCGGCGATACGGGAGGCGCGGGTTGGCCAGCTGAAGACGGAGATCCTAAACTCCGACAAACTGAAGGTGCGTTTGTCTTCCTGTGCAGCGCACCCCGTTGTCATATCAGTCGCTAGGCCCATTTCGAAGATAACCCGATGGACCTGGACTACCTGCGGCACGACAAGCCATTGCACCCGACTCGCGTGCAGCCACACATGAAGCATGTTCCCAAGTACTTGCTCCCCCGTATTGCGCCCGTCCCCGGCAGCGAGGAAGCGCCTGCGGGCAAATCCGGGTTTGTCCCGTTCAGGAAAGATGGAGCGCGCGGTGGCACCCGTGGACGCGGCCGGGGCAACGGACGAGGTGGCAGCGGACGAGGTGGCAAACGGAAAACTGATCCTCTAAAAAAGTTCTCCCGATAGACTATAGTTGTAGGCCGCGTCTTTAGGCAGTGAGCCCTACCATCGTTCCTCATCTTCTGCGAGCGAGTGTGTGTGTGTGTCTTTCGTGTCGAATGCCACGACCATGGGAACCCGTGGAGCCTCCGCTCTTCCTCTTGGACACTCTCACTCTCTGATCGATTACGGGATTAGGATTCACCTGGCGTTAATGATGTCCCCGACCTATACCGAACCGCACGCTCAATGGTCATTCACGCTGATCCAGGACGTGGAGCGGAGTAGCCTAAGCCCGTTTCGTGTTCTGCAGACAGGCGCAGCACCAACGGAATTGAATTTATCGCTGACCTTGAGTGGACTAGTAAGCAGTCACGGACCCTTGGTCTCCGCACAGAGAGTTGTGTTCAGGATCAGCCAAAAAGATAATCGTAAGCGAAGCGGCCCGGTTTGGGCCGGCATGGACGGTATATCATAGGGGCCCCGCGGGACCCCCTTCGCAACTTTTCGCCCATACCGCCATCATGTCCAAGCAAGGAGAATTCGTGGGTTCGTTGGATTGTGGAACGACGTAGGAGCGCGGTTATCTCCGTGCCCCACTCGTCTTACTTCAGCACAGCTCTGTTCGCTTCATCATCTTCGACCAGTACGCCAACATCGTCGCTCAGCATCAGCTCGAGTTTCCTCAGTACTATCCCCATCCCGGGTATGTCCCTCCCGCTTGGCTGACGGATCCCGGCTGAGCATCTCAACGCGCAGATGGCACGACCACGATGCGAGTGAAATCATGGAGCACGCGAACCTCTGCATCGACGGCGCCATGAAGAATCTCGTCGCTGCGGGCTGGTCGGCGGACAGCGTGAAAGTCATCGGTTGGTCACCACCCCACGCTGCATCCGTTCCGGGTGGATTCTCATCGGTCATGTGTCCCGTTTTCGTCTAGGCATCACGAACCAACGTGAGACCACTGTCGCCTGGAGCCGCAAGACGGGCAAGCCGCTGTGCAAGGCCATCGTGTGGACCGACTCGCGGACCAAGAACACCGTCGCGCACTACTCGCAGAAGCTTGAGGAGACGGGGATCGAGGTGCGCCCGGGGGAGTGGAGCAAAGGCCCGGATGGGTTGCGGGACATGTCAGTTCTGTGTACAAGCCATCTCCCGATCGCCGCTCATGATTGAATTAGCACGGGTCTTCCTTTGTCGACTTACTTCTCGGCGATAAAGCTGCGATGGATGATCGATCACTACCCCGATGTTTCCGCCGCGCACGACGAGGATGATCTGGTCTTCGGCACCGTGGAGTCTTGGGTGCTCTACAACCTTCTCGGCGGGAACGAGACCCATATCCACCTCACCGATGTCAGTAACGCGTCCCGGACCCTGCTGCTGAACATGACTACGCTGCAATGGGAGCCGTCCCTGCTGGCGTTCTTCGGCTTGCGCCCCTCCGTCCTTCCGAAACTCGTCTCTACGTCCGAGGTGTACGGCAAGATCTACGACGGGCCTCTCAAGGGCGTCCCGGTGGGTGGATTGATCGGGGACCAGCAGGGTGCGCTGGTGGGCAACAAGTGCTTGCGGCAGGGCGAGGCGAAGTGCACATACGGCACGGGTGCTTTCCTGCTGTTCTGCACGGGCACCGACATCGTCAAGAGCAAGTACGGTCTGCTCAGCACCGTCGCGTATCAGGCCGGCCCGGGCTCGAAGCCTGTGTATGCACTCGAGGGGTCGATCGCCGTGGCGGGCAGCGCTATCAAGTGGCTGCGAGACAGCATGGGCCTCATCGAGTCCGCTGCTGATGTCAACACGCTGGCTGCCAAGGAAGAGACTGCCGGTGGCCTCTACTTCGTCACCGCGTTCTCCGGACTGCTCGCTCCATACTGGGATCCCGGCGCGGCGGGCACCCTGATCGGTATCTCTCAATACACGAATCCGTCGCACATCGCGCGAGCGACGCTCGAGGCCAACGCATACCAGACGCGGGCGATCATCAAAAGCATGCAGCGGGACGCCGACAACGAGCTCAAGGTCCTCAAGGTCGACGGCGGCATGACCAACGGCGATCTCGCCATGCGCATATTGTCCGACATCGGCGGCTTCACCGTCGTGCGACCAGAGATGCGCGAGTCGACTGCCCTCGGCAGCGCGCTGCTCGCGGGTGCCGCCATCGGCCTCTTCGGCTGGGATCTCGCTAAGCCCGAGTCGCTCGCGCAAGTCAACACACAGGGAAGCGTCGAGTTTGCTCCGGAGCTGCCCGAGGCGGAACGTGAGCTGGGGTGGGCTGGCTGGCAGCGCGCTGTGGACCGTTCCAAGGGTTGGGAGGAGGGTGTTGCTGCCGAGTAAGTTATCATGTGTGTTTATGCTAAGAGCGAAGAAAAGAACAACAAAGTGTAGAGTAGCTCCCGTGAAGATCCAGGATTGTACCTCTATCTTGTAACAGTAAATACCCTAATATTATCAACAGTGGTATCCCCAGTCAAGTAATCCGATCTTACTTGGCTACCTCTTCACGGCTCGCCAGCGGTCCGGCGGCCCCCCTCGGACCGCTGGTGCTTGTTCTCCTGAGTTTCAGATGGGATGGCTCATGGGGAAGTATGCTCAAAATTGGACTCGTGCTCACTTCAATTGCGTGTCACCAGAAGTCCAGAATCTTTTTGCATGTGTGAGAAGATCTGTGTGAGTCTTACAACAGATGGAACCACGCTCAGGATCAAGCCGCGTCTGTCCAAAAAAAGAAATCTTGTAGAGCTCAGCTGTGCTTAGAATTTTAAATTCAACCAAGCAGCTACACCAACCTGTGAGCTTCTCTCGACTAGTACAGTGCTCGACTGCAATTCGTCCGTTCTTAGTTAAGCAAGTTTGAGTTGACTACACAAAAACAGCAATCATGTGATGTTCAAAAACACGATCACGCACAACGTAAGTGCCTGTGGGGAAGCACGCGAAACGATGCCGGCATTCTCGTGCACAAGCGTCCATACTTATGCGCTTGCCTATTCTGCAGTCGGATCTACAGGCCGAAATCACAGCATGGGTCCAACTGATAGTTCCAGTCAAACTTCCGGCTTTGGTAATGATAGCATGTGTGCGACAGTCTCATATTTCGATGGCATAAGCCTGAAACGTGGAAGAACTTCCGGAAGCAAATCGATACATTATAGGACAGAGAGCACCAAGACAAAGGCAAGTATGTACTGTAACTAGAGACCTATATGCACTGCACATCTCCCACCCACCCACCTCACAGCAATTGTGAAGCATCTAGACTGTACGGGAGAACGCCCGAATCGCGGGAAAACGGAGGATCCGTGAAATGCCCGTCCATCGAACGGCGCGACTCCGCCAGCGCTGGCTCGTCCTGCAAGTCAAGCGGGGACTCGCTCAGGTGGAACGGCGAGTCCATGAGACTCGACACGCGCGACCGCGCATCGTCGGAAAGCCGCCTCGTCGAGACGGTGAGATTCCGGTGGAGCATGGGCGGCGCGGGGCTGTCGTCAACGGGAGGTGGAACGGGCGGCATGGGCGTCCGCGTCACCACGAGGGCTGGTGCCGCGAACGTGGTCGAGGCCGGGAGTGGCGAGGGCGGCGGTGGCGGGGTCTCGAGCCGGTTCCAGGCATTAGCTCCGCTGGCCGGCTTCTCGCGCATGAGATCGTCGTTTCCCTGCCAGAATCGATCGCGGTTCTTCTGTCTCCGGCGACGCACGGCCAGAAACACGAGCAAACCGACCAGAGTTGTGAGGACGATGAGCACGGGGACGACGATCACGGCGACGTTGACGTGCGAGACCGCAGTAGTCGCCGACGGAGCCGTTGAGGCCGATGATGCTGCGGAATCGGTCGCTGCTGGACCAAAGAACGGAGCAGTGGAAGTTTGATCCGCGGCCGAGCCGATGCTTACATCGGAGGGGCCAGAAGAACCCTGTGGAAACGAGTCTTGCGTCGTCGACGCCCCATGTTTGCTGCCAGTCGACACAATCGGGGCCAGCTGGTGCGCGGTCGTACCGCCACTATTGTTCGGTGGCGTAGGCGTAGGCGAAGGCGCAGGATCCGTAGTTACTACAGTAAGCAAGGTAGTCGATGTTCTAGACAAAGTCAGCGATTGAAAATTCAGATCAGCCATGACGCACGATTGAGGAGGAGGAGGAGGGGGAGCTGCCACTACAGACGTGGGTGTTGGTGGTGGCTGCGGCGACTGTTCGGTAGAAGTAGCGGGAGGTGGCGGCTGCTGCGGCTGTTCGGGCTGCTGTGGCTGCTGAGTGGGAGAAGACGGTGGTGGAGTTTGAGATGTCTGCTGAGGTGGGGGTGCAGGTGGTGGGGTGTATGGGGGCGGGGTTGGCTGCGAAGGAGAAGTCTGCGGTGGCGAGGTTGGCTGTCCTCCCTGTCCACCTCCCCCATTCCCATTCCCATTCCCATTCCCGTACCCGCCTCCATTGCCTGGCTGCCCGCCGTTTCCCGGATTGGAAGGAGGAGTCGGTTTACCGAAGGGAGGGAAAGGTATTGTGATCGGGAAGCCGCCTATGCTGAATACGAAATCAGGGGCCGGCGCAGGTATAGGTGCAGGTGCAGGGGTCGCCGCTGCCAGAACGAAGAACGACAAGAGTAAAGCCAAAGACAGTAGTGAAGAAAGGAGCGAAGGGTGAGCATGGCTCATGGTTCGGTGGACGCGACTGCGTCAGTCTGTCGGGTAGTGTACGACCTGCGAGGTCTTCAGAGCGCGACTCGCGTGCAAGAAGGCTGGAACACACCAGATAGTAAAGAACAACGTTTCAAACAACTGTGTGGGTCACTGAAGCACACCGAAGACTACCACGCGAATCAGTGATTCAGAGTTCACACCTCGCGCTTCCAAAAAATAAGAAGGGCCTCGACAAATATAAGCGTTGCGTGGATGTTTGATGCTGCCCTGACGCGCTTGATGCTCGCTCAGCCGGAGTCTTTCCCAATGCATGGCTTGTGTGGACCCGCCAATCCTCACGTCAAGCCTCCGAGGAGCCTGCTGAATTAGTTGCTGCGAAGCCGTGGGACCGTCGCCCGCGTATCGCATTGCATTCGATAGCCTCCACGTTGGAGCTCGAGTGGGGATCCGCGATCGAGAGGCGCGCCTCGGGGCCAATTGCATCATCGGATTTTGACTCCGTGATTGTTCGGTGTCAAACGGCTTAGCCGCAGAGCGTGACAAACCCGTCTTGGACAAGCCGTATGCGAATCGGAATGCTAAGGGTCCTAGTGTATCAAGCCGACGCAGGGCTCGAAAATGATGTGCTGTGGATGAAGGCAAGATCACTTGTACACTTTGTCTCCCACGAACTTACTTGACACTTGGCAGCCCATCAACTCACCCGCGTCTCCTCAGGGGGCTGCTTGAGCAGGAACAAGTCTCGGCACTCAAGTTGTACAGTCCGTTCACTCGGTTGCCCTAAAGCGAACTAAAACTTCGTTTGCTCGAAACTGCTTGCTGGGTGTCAACTTGTCAATGTGCGTCACGGAATGGAAGTTTGGTGGTCTAAACTCCCGGCCATCCGTCTCATAATATGAACACACTGTTGACCCATTTTCTGTGCTCCCAAACTTGATGTCCAAAAACCTCCTTGTCATCTTCAACTTCATGTTACCTTCGATTCGAAGTTATTCAAAGTGGCACGACGGTATCCTTTCCCCCACACTTGGAATTAACTTTTGAATGACCCTCTCTCTTTCCCCGTAGGCTGACATTGATCTCAAGCCGAATTATGTTTTGCCTGACGCTTGACATCTGGAGGTAGAGCATAAGCCTCAGCGTGGAGTTAACAAACGTTATCTTATCTAATTTTTATCTCAGAAACCGGGTGGGTACTCATTTGGTGAGATCAGAACCAATCACGAGAGGGTCTGAATAACCAGCCATCAAACTGAGCACCCTCGCAGTCACCGCCTGTTTGAATACGCGAAAAACATATATCTGCTCTCCCAGCCCGATATACGCCAGCCCGGGCCCTTATTAGACGCACATCCCCGTCGCCGCGACACCTGATGTCTTCCGGATGCTCAACGGTCGCCAACACCAACGCGTACTTCCATCTCCGTGTGGCATCGGTCTTCATCGTCCTCGTTTGCGCATCGTCTGGCGCTCTATTCCCGGTGCTAGCGCGGCGATCCACATGGCTGCACGTACCGAAGGCCGTATTTGAGTGAGCATGCCTCCTCGTCTCGTGCTTCGTTTGTTTGACTCAAGTCCCGCAGCTTCGCAAAATACTTCGGGTCGGGTGTTATCGTGCGTGGAGGCGCGGTTCTGTGTTCGGTTGCCCACCCTCTGAGCCGTCTTCCAGATTGCCACGGCCTTCATACACCTTCTCTCACCGGCGCTAACCGAGCTATCCTCTCCTTGTTTGTCGTCGGGGTGGACAGACTATGTGCGTTCTGCGGCCCTACCGATCTAAGCCGCGCTAAGCCGCCATCAGCCCTACGCCCTGGCACTATGCCTTCTCAGCATCTTCTCCATATTCGTGCTTGAGCTAGTCGCATTTAGGTGGGGGACGTCCAAGCTGGAGAGCATCGGGCTCCGCCACGGTGAGTTGCGACGACACCGGTTGCGGAGATGTTGTCCTCGATCCTGATCGTCTCCAGACCCGCATGGTCACTTTGTAGGCTCGCATGCTGCACATGGGCCTGAAGGAGGGTCGGCAACGCCGCCGAAAAGCACGCAGACAGAGGCGGAACTGATCGAGAAGGGGCGCGACGTCGAGGAGTCTACACATCAGCATGAGCATGAGCATCATGGGCACCACCACGGGGAGCGATTCGACAATTCGGCGAGTGCGCAGATCGTGGGCATCGCTATCCTCGAGTTCGGTGTGCTGCTGCACAGCGTGCTCATCGGCCTGACCCTTGCCGTCGACGAGGGCTTCCGGGTGCTATTCGCGGTGATCATCTTCCATCGTGCGTGCGCATTTCCTGCGGGAGTCGGCCCCGGCCAGGCGCTTATTCCTCGCAGAGACATTTGAAGGCCTCGGTCTCGGCTCGCGGCTAGCCGGCATCAGGCTTCCACCACGCTACAATTACGTTCCGGTGGTCGCTGCGATCATATACGGGTTCAGCACTCCCATCGGTATCGCTGTTGGCCTAGGCGTGCGGAGGACGTACAACCCGGGCAGCGCTACAGCGTCGATCGTCAGCGGGGTGTTGGACTCGCTCAGTGCTGGTGTACTGATTTACACGGGGCTGGTTGAGGTGGGTGGTTACGTGCTTTTGCGATCTTCGGAGGCTGACCAGCCGTAGCTTCTGGCTCACGAGTTCTTGTTCAACAAGGAGATGATGAACAGCTCCAATGGGCATCTTGCGTATGCAATCGGCACGATGCTCCTGGGATGCGGGCTGATGGCACTGCTGGGGCGCTGGGCATAGAGTCTCAGCTGAGAAGTCTCCATTACGACACACAACCTATTGCTCACACTGCTTTTATCGTTATTCACACCCGTGCCCTCCAATGTAATGCTTTGTACTTCTGTAGCCAAGGTTTAGGACGATCAGTTTCACTACGCTATCAATCGACACTGGCATATATATACATTGGAGAGACGGGGTTCCAGGCTGATCCGTGGGGCTCCAGGCGCGCAGACTTGTCCACCTGCGGCGTTGTCGGTATTTACGACCCAAAGCCCAGTCCTCAGCGTCAACTCCTGCGCGCTCTGGGACCGCGCCGATTCAGGTGACCCCCGGAGGAAGACCTTGTCCCATGTGGGTAAGAAGCACGTGGTACGGCCCTCCCTGCCTCTCTCTCCCACCATCCAGTTCGAAGCATCGCTGAGCTGCCATCTGGACGCTCGTAACCAGACGGCATCGTCCTGCCGGGGGACGAGGACGCATCACGCGCCCATCACACACACAATTCTTCCCTTCTATTTCCCAGCCTCGCTGCATATCCCTTCCAGCGCCGTCGCGCGGGGGCGAAGTCTGTGATTCGGAAATGAACTTGGCGGTTCCCCCCAGTGTCGTTCTCATCCTTCTGCGCGAAGCTTCTCGATGAGCGTCGCCGCTTGAGACGAGGGATCGGGCTGCGCACGTCTGCACTCCCACCGCATTAAAGAACTATTAAGTTGACTACATCAGAGACTTCTCAGATTCCATGAGCATAATCTCGCTCGTGACTGCGCAGACGACTGCCCATGTTTCTTTGCTGCCGGCCAATCTGGATCTGGCAGCTTCCTCCCCACATGCTTCTGCGCGTCCGTCCCATCCCCGGCCTTTCTCCAGGGAATGAAAGATGGAATTTCTGCAGCGCGTCTTCGATCTTCAAAAGGCAGCGCAGTCCGGCTTCGATTCCCAGCCTGATTCGCGGAGCCTCTTTCGCGCAGGATGTGGTCGTCCTCTGTGCTGGTCTGTGCAGCAGCTGCCGCCGTCGCCCAACTCCGCGCCGTGTCCGCGCAAGCCGACCCTGCGCAGTTCGTCGACACGCTCATCGGGACGTCGAATGGGGGGCATGTGTTTGCGGGTGCGACGCTTCCGTGGGGCTCCGTCAAGGCCGGCGCCGACAGCAACTCGACCGATAAGCAGGGTGGGTATGTCAGCGATGGGTCACCCATCACAGGCATCTCGCAACTGTAGGCTGCCTTTCGTGTGTCGTGTTTCCTGCCCTCACGATGTCCGCAGACACGACGACGGGACCGGTGGCGGTGCATCGCTGGGCAACTTCCCACTGCTGCCTCTGACCGATACCCAATGCGGTTCAGATCTCAAGAAGTGTACGGTGGATCAAGTCGGTCGAGCCATGGCTCACGGCACACCGAACACGTCCCCGGGATACTGTGAGTACTCCGACGGACAAGGGCATGAAAGTCGTTGATGAACGTTTCCCCAGTCAGCATCCCTCTGAACAACAGCGTCCTGGCCGAAGTGACGGTCACCGAGCATGTCGCCGTGCACCGCTTCACCTATCCAGCAGGCACGAAACAGATGGTTCTCATCGTCGATGCGACGAACGGTGCGTGGTGCCTTGATTCGACGGCCAGTGCTCAACTCACCTTATATGCGTAAGACCTGGCTGGGACATACGAAAACGTCGGGTCCACCGCATTGAGAATTAATCCTACCACCAAGGGCACCCAGATCTCTGGCACAGGCGCCTACCAGCCGTCTTTCGGCGAGTCGACGTTCCAAGTGCACTACTGCTTCGACTCCCCTGTCCCCTTCGACACAGCACAGTTCTATCAAAACGTCAGTGGGACGCTCAAATACCGAGCTTTGTCAAAGAAGGCCAGTTTTGCACAAGATATCGGGGCCCAAAGTCCAGCTGGCTTCCTGTTGGGCTTCAACACGCCTTCAAGGAATGTCAGCAGTACGCTGGTTGTCCGGATGGGTATCTCGTGGACGAGCCCCGAGAAGGCCTGTCAGTTCGCTGCAGCTGAAGTTCCCGCGATCACTTCTGCGAGCTTCGACAGCGTGAAAACGGCGGCACGGTTCGTCCTTTTCTCGATCTCTTCGCCAGGTCTTCGACTTATCCAATGCCAGTGCGAAGTGGAACGAGGTGTTCAGCACTGTCCAATTGGATACCACGAATGTCCCGCACGACACGCAAGTCTTGTTCTGGAGCTCGCTGTACCGCACGTACATCTCTCCGACCAACATCACAGGTGACAACCCGCTGTGGGTCTCGAATGAGCCGTACTATGACAGTTTCTACTGCATCTGGTGCGATGACTTCTACTAACCATTGTCAGATGCTGACTGTATCAAAGGGATTCATTCCGTGTTGTGCACCCCCTCTATGCGATCACAGCTCCCAAAACGCAGACTGAAGTCGTTCGAGCGCTGATCGACATCTATCGACACACAGGCTGGCTTCCGGACTGCCGCATGTCGCTCGACAAGGGCTTCTTGCAGGGTGGCTCCAATGCCGACTCACTTCTTGCCGACTCGTTCCTCAAGGGGATCAAGGCGGGGATCGACTGGGAGACGGGATACAAGGCCATGGTCAAGGATGCCACCGTCCCCGGCGATTTCAGCGTGCAAGGCCGCGGCGGAATCGCGGCACGTGCCGCTCTGGGCTTCATCCCCGTCAACGACACGTCCGATAACCCGCCGAACGAGGGCCCCAACACCAGAAGCGCCTCGCGACTGCTGGAATATGCGTACAACGACTTCGGGATCGGACTCGTCGCGCAGGGGCTCGGCAAGACAGGCGACCAACAGAAGTACTTTGCGAAATCGGGCGATTGGTTCAACATCTGGAACCCGAATGCCACGAACACAGGTTTCCATGGATTCATCCAGCCTCGGACGAAGAATGGCTCGTGGTACTTTGACCCGCGGTGGGATGTCGGCGATGTTTTCCGTCCGGACCACTGCAGTCCATCCTTTGGTCCGAATGATTGTTTCTTGGTGAGTGGCTTGTTCCGTTTCGATCGAACTGGCTGCTGAGTGTACTGCGCAGAATCCCGACGGCGGAGAGTTTTACGAGGCTTCTTCCTGGGAGTATAGCTGGTTTGTGCCCCAGGACATGGCCAAACTAATCAAAGCAATGGGTGGTCCTCAGACTGCCAGCGCGCGGCTCGATGCGTATTTCGCCAATAACTTTGGAGCAAGTCTCCTTCACTTCTCTGTTCATACCGTGGGCCTGACCCCAGGCTCTGCAGTCGATCGGAGACGAACCCGGATTCTTGCCTACGTATCTCTACAACTACTTTGGCCAGCCGACGAAAACAGTGGACCGGGTAGCCGAAACTTTGTCTCAAAACTTCAGCACGGCGTGCGTATGACTCTTTTGGCTTATTTCACGCACTCATTCTTATCCCAGGGTCGACGGGCTACCTGGCAACGATGATTCAGGGGCGATGGGCGCCTACGCAGTGTGGAGTCTTCTCGGTGCGTCGTTTCCGGTACCTGACCTGACCTTCCCGTTGCTAACACCACAGCAAGGATTCTACCCTGTGGCGGGCCAGGACACGTATCTGCTCAGCCGACCGCACTTCCCGCAAACGAAGATCCGAAACCAACTGACTGGCAACGTCGCGACGATCACCGCGCAGGGTCTGAGTGCGACGAATATCTACATCCAGTCGGCGACGCTGAACGGGAAGAGCTATACCAAGAACTGGATATCGCACCAGCTGTTCTTGGACGGCGGGGAGTTGATTCTGGTCATGGGGGCGTCGAAAGATAGCACTTGGGGAACGGGCCAACAGGATCTGCCCATGAGTTTGAGCACAGGGGGATTTGTTTGATATCTTTCCTCAGGGCTGTTATCGCGCGTGAAATTTTGTACAAAAAACAATAAATGTATACTGCTTCATTCTGGCATCTCACAGCCTGGTAAGTATTTGGGCAAGCTGAAAGCCGGTTCGACGGTAAAAGGGTTCAATCCACAACTCGTGCAAACACGAAATGTCTTCCCGATCCACCAAGGACAAAATCCGCATCAACGATCTCTTCCTTACAGTCCCTCTACTCACCGGGGCAGTCTGGCCTAAGCCCGCCGGCGAGGCTGCACTGCAGCCGCTCCTCGTCTCGCTCTCCATCACACATGACATCTCCACCGCAGTGACGCACGACGATTTGAAGACGACGATCAATTACTCGCACCTGTGCAAGATCCTCCGCGAGGCGCTGAACGAGCAGACGCCGGCGTTCGAGACGCTGGTAGCTGTTCTCGATCGGATACTGGACCTGCTGTTTGGCTCGGGGATGGTCGTGGAGGTGGAGGCCTCGGTTGTGCAGACGCGGGCTCCGCTGAACTGCCGGTCCATCGCCGTTGGAGCGCTGGCCAAGTCCAAATCCGCTGGCTGGGAGATCCTGCGTTTAAGACATTACGTGAACGACCTGCAGTGTCTTGCGATCATCGGCGTCAATGCTTGTGAGCGGGAGGAGCGGCAGACTGTGTGCGTCAATGTCACGATAGAACATGCAAGCACTGTCCACTTTCGCGCGCTGACGCGGCACTTGCATCAAGTACGTGGTGCTATTCACTGGACCCCCGATGCAGGTGTATAACCCGGATAGATAGACGGTCGTCGCGTCCTCTTATCTCACACTGGAAGCACTCACATCGCACATCGCTGAGAATACACTTCAAAATCTCGATCGGAAGACCTCTCCTGTTGTGACCGTCAGGGCTGCCAAACCCTGCGCCATCGTGTTCGCTGGCTCGTCGGAGATCGAGGTGTCTCGATCCCATGATGACTTTCCGCAGAGATTCGACCAGCAGGTGCGGTCGGAGAGTCCTGCGCCATTCTTGGCTGACTTTTAGATGCAGCCTCTCAAGGTCGCTATTGCTCTGGGCTCGAACCTCGGTGATCGATTCCAGAACATCGAACACGCGCTCCGTTTGCTCGAATCTCCCGAGACGCCCGATTCTACTGTCGCGGTGGTCGACACCAGCTTTATGTACGAAACGGCGCCGATGTATGTGACGGACCAGCCGTCGTTCATCAACTGTGCTTGTCTGGTCAGTCCGGTCTCCGATGATACCCCAGCTCCCGCTCATGGTACGCAGATCGAAACAAACATGCAGCCTCTGCAGCTGCTGCAACACCTCAAACGGATTGAGCATCTGGTAGGCCGGGTGCCGTCCATCCGGAATGGGCCCCGGGCGGTCGATCTTGACATCGTGCTGTACGGCGATCTTGTGATCGACACACGCAAAAGTCCTCGCAAAGAATTGGGCGATTTGGAGGGCGAATTGGTGGTCCCGCATCCCCGGTTAGGAGAGCGGGAGTTTGTGCTCCGGCCTTTGAACGAGTGGGTCATCGTCTCCCCCATGCTTCTTGATGCTGTAGCTCATCTCGCGAAAGCATGATCCCCGACTCGCTGCACCCCGTTTCGCACCAGACTATCGGCCAGTTACTCTCCGCCTTGCCAAAAAGCTCTGAGCCAATGATCAAAGTGCTTCCCTATCCTGTTTGTCGCGGCACCCCCGCCCAGTCTGCACCGACTTCGTTGAAGCACTGGGCATTGGCGGGCAAAACGTATCTGATGGCAACGCTGAACACGACACCCGACTCCTTCTCCGATGGTGCGACGCACAACACGCTGCCGACTGCGTTGCAATATGCCCGAGACGCAGTCGCCGCTGGTGCCGACATCCTCGACGTGGGAGGATACTCGACTCGACCCGGGGCTGCGCACATCGAATCCGAGGAAGAGATTGCACGAGTGGCGCCATTCGTGTCGGCTGTGCGCGCTGAGCATCCGGATCTCTTGATGAGCGTCGACACATTCAGGCCGGAAGTGGCGCGGGCAGCCCTCGAAGCCGGAGCGAACTGCATCAACGATGTTTACGCGTTTACGGGCCCGGATGCCGCTCCAGATGCTCGGTGTATGGAGCAGATGAAGGCGCTTGCCCGGGCATATGCAGTTCCCATGGTGCTGATGCACTCTCGAGGAGAAGCATCTGGTAACAAAGACTATTCGACGTACGACTACGCTGGGAAAGACAGTGCCGTGGTCGAGGGCATCCGCGTCGAGCTGGGTGCCAAGATAGACGCGATCGTGAAAGGAAAAGGAGGCGTTCGGCGCTGGCTTGTGATTGCGGATCCAGGAGTTGGGTTCAGCAAGACGGTCGAGGGTAACATGCAAGTCTTGAGGAGGGTGTCCGATGTCACGCAGGACAAGACAGCGCAAGGTGCGGTGTCTTCGCGTCACTCGAGTTTCTCTAACTCTCGCCCAGGGCACCGGAATCCTCTACATGGACTCCCGCAACTTATCGGCACATCCAGAAAGTCGTTCTTAGGACTCATTCTGGAAAAAGCCAATGGAAGAAAAACGGAACCAAAAGAGCGATCATGGGCGACCGCTGCCGCCATTGCATGTGCAGTGCAGCAAGGCGCTGCCGTTGTCCGTGTCCACGACGTTCAAGAGATGCGAGATGTGCTGGATATCTCCGACGCACTTTGGGCACAATAAAGTTTACATTAGAAAGTCCGGTTTCTCGCCCAAAGACCCTAGAATATCCCCAATGTAGTTCGTAGGCTTAATCCCCTGCTCAAATGTAGCGTCCCAGCCATCCAGGATGCCCTGCACGACTTTGAGACCCGCCAGACGTAAGTTGACGGTGGCAGGCCGCATGGCCACGAGCGGCGCGAAGAGATTGTCCGCAGAGCTGCCACCTGGGGGTGGGCGGTCGAAATCGGAGCCAGAGCGCATGATCAATATCCTCCCAAAGTCCACCCATCCAGCCAACGCACCGCGCAACATCGCGCCCAGGATAGCGTTGTCCTCCTGCTGCGTGGAGCAGTACGAGCCCAGCCCGTTCGTCAAGACCCGCGTCGTGTTCTCGAACGCTGCCGCCAGGAGCGTACCGCTCCAAAACGTATCCGATGTCAGCGTGTCGCAGAACACGACCGCCGGCGGGGCAGCGCCCGCCGCAAACGCGGGCTCAGCCGCATACGGGGCGCGCAGATCCACGCAGTCCTGCGTATCCACGAGCGGCGCGGACGCAGCCATGCGCGCCGCAGCCTGCCGCAGGGCATCGTTCACCTCGAACACCTCCGTGCCGTCGACCCAGCCGGGGTACTCCCCCGGGCGCGTCGTCCCGAGCGCGAGGTACCCCGACGCGAACCCAGGCGGCGTCTCGCGTGCATCGAGCTCGTGCTGCAGCCCGCTCTGGATCGCGAACCGCGCAAACGCGACGCCTCCGACGGTGCCGTGGCGCGGGTTCATCCCTGCGACGCCGGAGAGGATGAAGTACGTTGAGGTCAGGTCGAAGTGCGCGTGCGCGTGCAGCAGGGAGAGCACGGATGCGGCGGCGTTGATCTCCGCCTGGCCGGTGATGAGCTGGCAGACCTGCCCGTCGGCGGTGCAGTGCACGTCCGGGAAGAGCGGGAAGAGGCCGGGTATTGTGATATTGCGTGCAAGGATGTCGAATTCTGGGATGGCGTGCCATTCGGCGGCCTCGCGGAGAAACATGTTGATGATGAAAACGCGGGGCTTTAGAGGCGCATTGGACTCGACTGGTCGCAGGGTATCGAGTGCGAAGAGGGTGGTCAGGAAGGAGGGCCAGAGCAGCATCGCGAAGCTGGTGGTAATGAGATAAGGAGGACGCGGCCACGTGCCAGGCTCATGTGATCCAAATTCGCGCTTAGGATGGCACATCTATCTGAGCTGGGGATAACTTACAGTTACATACAGGTCAAGTATTACACTATGCTACTTCACATGCATCGGCATCCTCGGCCTCTGAAGCTTGGCGAGTTCGTTTCGGCTGGAAGTTCTTTGGATACGCAAACTCAATCGCGCTTCCGTGCAAGCTATTGGACGACGTGAACTGGAGCGGGTAATTGTTCATCGTGCTTTCGAAAGAGTTGTCCGGCCGCTGACGGTTCTGGATGACGATGAGATTGAACGAGATGCCGATTACTTGGACCAGCTGTGCGGGGAATGATTAATGAGCAGTTGAAAGTAGGAGATTGACGAACGAGAGAGATGCACGCATAAGTCGCATCGTTCTGGAGGACGAAGAGGATCAGGGTGACGGTGCTCATCACGGTGTAGAAGAGCCCCGATTCGACGGCGATGCGGACCCACGGGTGGTCTGTTTGATGGACCCTCCCTCCGACTATGCACACACGTTGTTGCGGTTGATTCAGCGTGGGCAAACTCCCACTCGCGTTCACTGGTGGAGTTGTGCGTCGGATATTCTCTACACGGTACACGCGGATAGCAAGCAGTGCTGCGATCGACGTCATCTCATATTCAGATAATCGCCAACAGACAGTGCGCACCACTCGTGATCAGATTCAATGCGATCTCCACCGCCAGAAAGCCGACCGCCAGGACCCTCGGCTTCTCCACGGCGAACAGACCCTGCACAGAGGAGGCTGTGTAAAGATGGATGACCGATCCCATGAGACCCACAGCAGCCAGCCACAGCACGATGGGGATGGCCACCGTCAACAGCGAGCGGTGATGAACAATCCAGCAGCGGTAGATCTGTAACAGTCAATGCCAAAGCAGGTCCACAGAGCCAGCACCACTGACCATGAAGCCACTGAACACGACGGCTTGGACAAGCAGTGATGTGTCCTGCGGCGGTAAGCATCTGCGTCAGTCCCAAAAAAAAACGACTAACCTGGGCGACGTTCACGGGGTTCCCGCCGTCCAGGAAACCCGCCACCGTCTTCAATACTTCGACCTGCGATGCAGCCTGCAGGTCCATGAAGATGTGGATGCCCATCGAGGACGTCGTTTTCGCGAGGAAGACGAGGAAAAGGATCAGCAGCGGCCAATTGACCGCAGAAAGCCCAGTCCGGCTTCGCGTGTAGGTCGTGAGCAGGACGGGGTAGCAGAACCCGCATGTAACCACGTAGACCCCGAAGGCGAATGTCTCCAAGAACGAGCCCCAGACTTGGATCTTGACGAAGGTGGTAGCGGGCGCCATGGGCAGCAGGTGAAAGCGGCACTGCAGAGAGAGCTTTGGGCTGACGAGATCACGGCAGAAGTCTCAGGATTTGTAACCATGGGAGTTCATGATAGAGTCAGAGCGAAGCTGATTTGGTGCGGTATTCTTGGACAGTGAATCACAGCGGAACAGATTCTGATAGTGCATGGGAGATGGTGAAAGAGCGCGCTCAGTTTGGTCTCGGAGTTGTTCTTGTAAAGAGCAGGAACATAGTACATAGCCACCCGCCCGCCGACATTAGGGCCCAACGGATCTCATCTAATCGTCGAATCTTTCGCGGATCATGCTTGACAGTCCACGCGCTCCGGATCGCAGCCCTGGCAGTGGCGCGCCAAGTCCCTGCTCAGACAGGTAATATGTCCGGAATGTATGAGGATGTCAGGATGCGCATGGGGGGATACTGCATGACCGAGAGAGAGAGAAAGCTCGAGGCTGAGTGGGACGAGCATAAGGGTTGGCCGAAGATCTCCCAAACCCTAACCCCGTGTATCTCTGCTTCATACTTCACGCCTCCACTCGGACTATCACTCGGATGAATGCAGTTCCTTGGCGGGCGATGGCTTCATTCGCGGAAGCATGGTTCAGTCCCCCTACATGCGTCTGCAGGAGCGCGAGCGCTCCCGCCTGCTCCGGATATTCCGCCACCGCCCGTACCTCTACGCCGCGTTCGCCTGCGTGTCCGTCGTCCTCGTCTGGCAGGCCAAGCCGCACCAGTATGTGTCCGCGTCGTTCATGAGCGCAGACGTGGCATATGCGGAGGTCTCTGTGCTGCCTTCCGCCGTGACACATGCTGTCTCGGAGTCCGCGCCCACCAGTAGCTCGAGCTCGTCCCCGAGTCTCGTGCATTCGACTGCCCCGCCAGCTGCTGCAGCGACGCCTGCGGCAGATCTGCATTGGACCCAGCGCGCACAGGACGTCAAGGCTGCATTCTTGCACGCGTACCGCGGGTGGGAGAAATACGCCGCCCCGCACGACGAATTGTCGCCGTTGACACTCGCGTACAAAGATCCGTGCGTCCCGTCTCCGCCTCCCACGGCACCTCCGCTCACCCTGACGCGACGGCTAGATTCAACGCTTGGGGCGTGACCGCGGTCGACTCACTCGACACGATGCTGCTCATGGGCCTCGATGCCGAGTACGCCCGCGCCATGCCGCTGGTGTCCAACATCACCTTCGCCATGCATCCGGGCCTGTCGGCGTCATACTTCGAGACGGTCATCCGGTACCTGGGCGGCTTCCTCAGCGCGCATGCCTTGTCACGCGACCGCACCTTGCTCGATCTAGCCGAACAGCTCGCGGAGCAGCTGGACCCTGTGTTCGAGCGATACGACTCTCCGTTTCCTGTTTACGGCATCAACACGGAAGAGTGCGTGCCTTTTGCTTCCGAACCGCTTCGCGACATGTGCTCATGCGGTGCATGCGTAGCGGTAAGCTCAGTGGCGGGGAGTTTGGCGGGCTGGCCGAGATCGGCACTTTGCAAGTGGAATATCTGTATCTGGCCAAGGCGACTGGGAATAAACGTTGGTATGACCGGGTGAGTTGCGCAGCGACATCCTCCATGTCCTGCTCGACTAAGCGCTTTCACAGGCTAATGGGGTGATCGATGCACTGGCCAAAGCTGACGTCCGGAAGTACGGCGGCATGCTACCCACTACTTGGAACCTGACCTCAGGCCAGCCAGTCGAGTGCGATGACACAGATGGACGTTGGACGCTTCACTGCCCACTGCAACTATCTGTTGGCGGCATGGCTGATAGCACGCACGAGTACCTGCTCAAAGAGTATCTTCTGACCTCCAAAACAGACAAGGCAAGCCTTGATATGTGTGGGTAGCGCAACGAAGCAGACTGTTCTCCCGGCTGACGAGTTCTCTGCAGATCTGCGTGCAAGCACACACATCCTGACCAGCCTTCTGCACGTCTCTCCGGAACGCAATCTGCTGTATATGACGGACACGTCCTCGACGACGCATCTCCATGCCGCCGAGCCATCGCACAAGCTGGAGCACCTCTCATGCTTCCTGCCCGGTCTCCTCGCGCTCGGCGCGCATACGCTGCCGCTCGACGCGCTCGCCCCACGGCTGCACGAGCTGGGGAAGGACTTTGGCTTCGCATCGCGCGGGTACGACATCCTGTCCAAGCAGAAGTCGCTCAAGGAGCTCCATCTCTGGGCGGCCAAGGGTCTGGCCGAGACGTGCTACATGCTGTACGCGGACCAAGGGTCGGGCCTCTCGCCAGACGAGGTGATGATTTCTATCCCGTGGGGCGAGATGGAGGATGGGCGGTGGGAGGCAGGTAAGGTCCGGCTGTGGATCGATGAGGTGCAGGAATGGAGGACGTCGCTTGCGACGAACCAGGGGACGTTCAAGGGCCGCCGTTTCCCACCCGGCGTCGAAGAGAATCACCAGCCTGCACCGGAGACGGGTCCGCCCGGCCGGGACTACCTCGTCAGAACCGCGGGGTACTACCTCCGCCCGGAGGTGCGTTGCTACCCATGAGGTTTCCGTGTCCGCAGATGACTCACGCCGTCTCTTGACAGACGGTAGAATCGCTGTACATCCTGTGGCGCGTCACGGGCGAGACGCGCTGGAGGGAGATGGGGTGGAAGATCTTCCAGGCGATCGAGCGGGAGTCCAGGACCGCATCGGGCTACGCGTCGCTGCAGTACACGGAGAAGTCGCCCGCGCCGCTGCTAGACGAGATGCCCAGCTACTTCCTGGCAGAAACGTGCGTTGTGTTGCGCTGATTCGGGTTTATTATACCCCCCCCTGCGAGTCTGAGTCTGATCGTGTTTTGCAGGCTGAAGTATCTGTACTTGCTGTTTCTGGACGAGGATCCGCTTCCACTCGACCAGTGGGTTTTCAATACGGAGGCTCACCCGTTGCCTGTATTCAGATGGACGGAAAAGGAGAAGGAGAAGTTCGGTATACCGTGAGGCGTTGCCGGGCCTGTTTTCGGCGTGCCTACTACTTGTACAGCATCTACTATAATATGGACGACTTTCTACGCGATGAAATGATTGGAGAGGCAGAGGGATCCGCGGGGTGCTATCTGGTGAGTTGGATCGCTGATGAGGTTGAGAGCGGGACAAAACGTTCAAGGATTGTGATTACTTGATCGCCCCAATGTCAGAGCTCAGATCTTGAATCTCTACCCAGTTGTGTTCCCGCTAGCCAATTTGAACGACTGACCTCGTCATTACTAGTGACGCGCTCTACCAACTGAGCTAAGAGGGATGGGGACAGTCTCCATGACAGAAAATCATCTAATATTGGGGAGGCGCGCAGCCGGAAGGAATTGCCTTCCCTGCGGTTCTTGCAAACCTCATCAAGAAATGGGAGTAATTTTGGTTCGTTTTCAGCTGAGTGACGCGGATGAGTGGACGATCAAGGCTCTAAATGGTGCAGTACTCTGCAATGTTCAGAAAGCGATCAGTCTTTCCTTCAGATGAGCGACCTTTCCGAATGTGCCAGTGCAGTGGGAGTACAAAGTGATTTCTCCTGGGCCGTTGCGGGGAAGGAATATCATGTTCCCCATGTGGCGTATCACCCCACAGTCAATATTCAAGCTTGGCGAACTTCGCTCTCAACATTGTCTTCCAGCCTGTGCCGAGATCTCGTCAGCATTGTAGATATGTCTTGCTACGCATAGGGTAATTACTGCAAAGGTGATGAAGACAATGGATTGACCGCAGACAATTCGGTCTGGCTTCGATGGACGATCAATGACAGGAAATGGTGGCTTCTGCAGACCGATGTCTAAAACGGGACTCGAGCTCGGCTGTACCGTGAAGCATTGTTCTCTTGGGTGCGGCGGTATATATAAGAGAGCGATGTAGGGGCTGCATGGCCAGTAATCTCAGTTCAACTGAACATGGACATGGACACTACCAACTCAACCCCGACCCCCGCTGCCCCCTTCACCGGTCATCCGGAACGCCGTGTCGCAGCGCGCACTTCGGTGCCTATGCGCCCGGGAGCGAAGATGCGCCAGGAGCGCCGCGAGACGCGCCGCCGAATCGAGAGGACGGTTTCCAATGAGAACTTGGCGAACTTGGTGCGTTTCATTGGACATTAATCCTCTCCGGTCTCTCAAGCGCTTGGCAGGTTGAGGATCAGATGCTCAAGGCTGAGCCGATGCAGAGCGTCGAAGAACCCACCCCGCGCCCGGTTGAAGTCCCGCGTCCGATCCTCAAGGCTACGCCCGCCGTGCCGAAGGCAGCTGCTCCGGCCTACCGCGGTCCCCCGGTCATGGTGAGTCTCCTTCCAAACTCTTGTCAACCAATACTCACCGCCTCCGAGCCTGCGGCAGCCCCCACCTACATCCCACGCCCCGACCCACACGTGATCCCGCCGTTCTGCTTCGACAAGCTCTCCGATCTGCGCAACCCGCTCCTGAACCAGACGCTCCCGCGCTACCGCCCGCACACGTACCAGATGCCGCAGCCGTGCGCGAAACCGACCGCGGAGTCGCAGGCGCTACTCGTCGCGCGCGCGCGCCGCCAGGCGGACGTGCCGATTTATCGCAGCCATGCGGAGATTTGCGCGGAGCGCCAGATCTCGATGTGCATCGTCACTTCCCCAGATGACGATTAGACAAGAGACGTCTCCATTCCTTCTTTTTATGTGTATTCAAATCAGTATGATCTAAAATATGGACCGCAATTCTCCATGCAAATATCTGAGATCTCATAACGGACCGACTGGCGAGTGAGAGAAATATTAGGTAACAGTCTTGTTGATCAAAAGTATATTGCGTCTTTTTTTCCACGTCCCTCCGTCAAATCCATACATTAAGAGCTCACACATTGCCTGACTTGGAATACTGTGCAGAAACTGAGAGCCCAATGGGTCTCGGATGGAGCAAAAGGTCGCACCCGGGGTCGAACCGGGATCTCAAGAACTGATATCACGTGGAAGAATATTCAATCACGTGATCGCTCAAAATCTTGTGTGATGAGCCGCTACACTATGCAACCGTATCTGTTATGGCACTTCGAACGTACAAGAGTGCGGGGGGAATTGTGCCAGTAGGTGCGCAACAAAATCAATCACAAAGTTGTTGCCTGAATGTCGCGTCATCGTATACGACATCAAGTCAACGAAAGTCATTATGGGATCAATACTGCCCTAAACGGACTGATGGGGTGCAATCCTGACTCATGAGATAGATGGGCTGCTCTAGTGCTCATAGACCGACAGGCACCCCACGTCGGTGGGCCTACATGCATGCATTAGGGACCGCAATCTTGACACCCACACACCGATAAGCACGCACCCACACTGATCCTATACACACGCAGTGGGACAAAAGAAATCTTTCGGGGGTGTATAAATAGATAAATACGTATACGTAAGTAAGGTATCCAACCGGGGTACAAGAAAGAGTGACAGTGAGAGCCGTACAGTCCGAGTGCGCAAGTAAGTGAGTGAGTAAGGATAAGTGATGAGTACGAGCTTATGTAGGATACTTGCGATAACACGCAGCGGACGGTCCCCGAGCAAGGGAACTGATGTACACGGTACAGGGGTGAAGTTTCGGTTCTGTAAGGAGCGGAAGGAGCCGGCCGTCGGAAACCCGCGGAGACTCTGGACTGGGGGGAGCACCAGCACTAACTGAGCAGCAGCTAGACTGCGATGGGGCCGGTCGACTTGGTGTCACGGGCGGATTTTGTGCGGCGAGGCACCTTGGTCGGCGTCTCGAGCGGATCGGGGAGCGGCGGAGGCGGAGCCTTGATATGTGGGGCGGTGCACACCACGCTGAGCGTGTCCGACGAGTGCGTGAACGAGAGCCCGTGGTGGTGGTACATCGGCCGCGTGAACGCCTCTTTCGAGAGCGGCAGGGTGGCTTGGAGCGGGCCCAGAGCGTATGCGCCTGCAGGACGATCAGCACGCGCGAGTCTCAATACAGAAGATCGCAGGGGGGCGGGGAGAAGACAACGCACGGGCTGGGTAATGGCGCTTACGGCGCTGATAAAGCAGCAGCGACACCAGCAGGACAGCGATCAGGATAAACCCCCCAACGCTACCGGCTACTATCGCGATGATCCGTCGTCGGTGATCAAGTGCGGCTGAAGCGGGGCTGGAAACGCTGCCGCCGGCTACCGCAAGCGTCGCGTTCTCGTTGGCGAGGCGTATCGCCAGAGTGTGGGAGCCCGCTGCGAGCCGGGGGGAGGAATAGAGTTTTGAAGAAGACTGGTCGTAAAGGAAGGTGTGGTCAGGCTCGCCATCGAGGACGTAAAGTACTGCAGAGCCTGAGTGGGATTGGACCGAGCCAAACACATCGATGCTCGTTCCTAGAAGACGTATGAGAACGCGGCCTCGACAACGGCTCGAAAGAGTGTGTGAGACGCACCCTGGAACTGGAACGAAACCGTCGCGTCTCGGTCGCTGGTGGAAAACGAGTTCCAGCTGCCATTGAGGTAGTGGACGGTGCTGCTATCGGGAGCGAATCGAACGAGCACGTCATCGTCGTTCATGTCGAGCGCATGAGACGAGCCGGAAAGTTGAAAAGCGTAGGAGGCAACCGAGTACAAGAACCCGCCAGGTTAATGTAGGGCGCCAGACAGCGCAACAGCTGATGAGATCAGAAACGTGCGGCGAGGAAGTGGACGAAGGAGGAATCGTGGATTCCGTTATGCCCTTCTTAGCAGCTTCGTGTAAATGACAGGTCCACCCGAGGTCCCGATGCGAGGAAAGAAGACTCCACTAGGCAATTATTACCAACGCCTCCAGCGCCGGGAAATGCTCAATCGAGGGCCACAACAGCGTAAAGATCGACACGACGCATTAAACCATTCCCAGATCGTGCAGAAACCCGAGAAACGGAAAAGAAATGGAGAGACCCTTCAGACACATGGGGCCCAGCCATGAAACGTACGGTGTCCCTCTCCGGCTTCGGAAAGACAGATCCGGTAAGAAAAGCACAAGGGCGACGACGGCGTTGCAGTCTTCAGAGTGGCGCAGTCCAGGCCAAGACAGATCTGCACATTGCACATTGCGGTCGTGACGTGGACACTGTATGTTTTCGATTGCTGATCCGATCAGCCGCTCGACTCGAAAGGCGACGACCGAGTCCCGCGGCTCGGTGCCATCCGACAGCCTTGTCCTGGTCTCTTTCCGACCATCGAATCGTCGATGCACCGACACTGTGCGACTCTTCTAGCGCGCCAGTGACTCCCTGAAAACATTCGGCCCCGCAGCGATGACAGCACGCTCTCAGCCTTCTTCTGCTCGGCTCGTTTCAGCTTCGAAAACCTTGTCCGGATGCTGTGACTGAGACTGAGAGTACTTCAGTGGGGCTCGAGCACTGTGCCACCCTCACCCCGCTCTCAATGCACCTCCACACGACGTCAGCAGCTGCACTCGCCCTCTTGCCCATCGCACTGGTGGCGGGTGCGGACACACTCCGGGACAAGCACTGCGCCCCGCCCCTGAAGTCTAGCTTCACGCACAACACATATACGTACACGGTCCCGCTGCCCCAAATCACCCAGATCACCAAGGACTTCTTCGACATCGAGTGGTACGTGCGTGCCCATCCGCTGTCCACTCCGTGCGCGGTCCTAACGCGCGTCCCAGGGCGGCGTCGTCGTGAGCACACACACCGGCCGGAACGGCGTTCCTGGTGCGACGCGCTCGGGCAACTTTACAGGCGGATCGTTCCACGAGACTCTCACGGAATACACGCTCCGGCCCGACGCATTCGCGTACGCATACAGCGGCGTCCCATACACGTTCGCCCCGCCGCACGCGCAGCCCGTCCATTTCGGCGTGTACGCGGAGACGCTGCGCTTCGAGAGCGTCTGTGGCGGCCGCGCGACGTACATCGATTTCCAGACGTGGTCGTGCGTCGACGATCGCCCGGCAGGGTACAACTTCTGGTACACGCTCCATCAGACTGCGGCGGAGGGCCTGGCGCAGACGCTCAAAGCCAACGTGCTTGCTGGGGATTGCGATTAGGCGGGGATGGATTGTGTAGGATGAACGCGTGCTGCCAATGTGTCAATTGAATGAATGAATGCGATTTCGACTGGATCGGTGTACGGCACTTTCCGCGTCGTTTTCGCGGTTCATCTCGGTGACCACGGCATTCTAACACAAGTGCTATTGCCTCGGTCCTGCTGTCGCCGCTTCTATCATCTGCTAATGCTTGCTGATATCACTGATAGTACGTGAACCGATCATGAACGGTGTGTGAAACTTTCTCCGTGTTTCTGTTTGTGGACACAGGATTCACGTCCTCATTCGATGTCTCGGTTCGCGCATCGACTCTACTGCGTGTTTCTCAGAACAGTGGAATGGAATTGATGGTCTATGCAGTCGCAAATGTTCCCAATCCCACGTCGCGACGTGCTCGAGAGCACAGGCGAAGAGCCTCACTAAAACCCCACATCGAGAATCACTTCCTTGAATCAGAGATGAGGGAAATTGACGCCACCTTCCTTGCGGTTCTACTTTCTTTCATCTTTGGTGTCGGTAGAAGAGGACGAAAGACGGATTGACTTTCACTCAGTCTTGTTGACCTTGCGTCCGGCGTCGATTGTTAAGAAACTAGGTGCGGGCGGGATGTCTTGTGACTTGAGATGGAGAGTCTGTCGATCTCTATTCCTAACTGCTATCTATAATCGTTTCTATTCAGTTTGGACAAGGCGCCAATCCCATGACGCAGCGCCACTCTTGTCGTATGCCTCGAGGAAACACTCAGCTTCGCTGATATGACATGATGCCCTGGTTCTTCTCGCTGGCGGTAAGCTGTATTAAGAGCACTTGGGCCCCCCAGAACGAGACAACTGTGAAGCTCAAAGTTTCCATGTATCTCCTTCGCGCACTATCCGCCTCTCCCCTGCTGGCGATCGCACTGGCCGCCGCAGACCAGCAGGAAGATCTGACACTCCTCGACAAGCCCTGTGCCGCAGAGCTGAATCTCAACTCGAGCTTCATACACAGCGCATTCGCGTACTCCGTCCCCTTGCATCAGGTCGCCCCGATCGTGCAGAACTTCTTCGACATCGAGTGGTATGTACGTACCCCCGCTCCTTTCCAAGCACCCACCGCGCCCGTATTGAATCAGCTGATCCACGGGGCGGCATCGCCATCACCAATCACACGGGCCAGAACGGCGTCCCCGGCGCGACGCGCTCGGGCATCCTGACGGGCGAGCCGTTCCACGAGACGCTCACGGAGTACACGCCCCGGCGCGCTCGCGTACTCGTACTTCGGCGTCCCATACACCTTTGCGCCCCCGGGCGCGCCGCCCGTCTTCTTCGGCGCCTATGCGGAGACGCTGCGCTTCGAGAGCATCTGCGGCGGCGCGACGACTCTAATCGACTTCCAGTCGTGGTCGTGCGTCGATTTCCGCGCGAGGGCGTACAATTTTTGGTACACGCTGCACCAGACTGCGGCGCAGGGTCTGGCGCAGAGGTTCGGAGCGAACGTGCTTGCCGGGGATTGTGAGTGGACGGGGGGATGCGTAGGGATGTCACTTGGTGGCAGTGCCTTCATTGATTGAATCTTATTCTGATGTGGTTTTGGTCAGTGCTAGTGCTGGTCGAAAACCAAGAATTAGCTGAGTGTGTGCTATGTTCATTGTTTACAGAGCCAGAGTTCCATTTTGATTCCAGATTTGAACTCAGCGTGAACACGCAAGATAAGGAAGGCGCCGTGCCGCCGCGAAGTGACCAGTGCAAGTGGCAGAGTGATGGCCGCCTTTGTTGCCGCTGATCGCCGATATCTGCTCTCGTCAAACAACTTCCCAATTTGGGGGCGTGGTGTGTCGTGGGAACATTGGCCAAGATCTTCCCATCACGCATTCTTGACCGGGGCTTGAAATATAGTTGTGTGCGGCCGCCTGCGGCGGCTAGAGAAATGTCTGGAGCTCGGCTGTGTATAAAGACGGTGACCACCTGCTGGTGCGCTTGCGGATGGCTATACATAGCGACTTGAAGCGGGGCGTCGCTATGTCAGCGCATACGAGACTTTCTAGACTGCGAGTGCTTGCATCCGATTTCTATAGCACCTATTCCTTCAAAACACCATCAAATGAATGCCTGCGCACCACTGCATTCGAAAGTTGTAGGTCCTGGATCACCTGTCGAATGTGTCCACAAGCATGACGGTGGGAGGAGGGTAAATTCACTCAGTCATGAGGGCAGTTGCTCCCGCTCGAAACTTGACAGTGCGTACTGATGATCGTTACGGTTCGTATTCTTGATTGTCAGGCAACGATTTTGCGCTCCAGCAGGAGCCTTCCGACGCGATCACGTGCCTGATCTGGACCTCGATCTGGCCTCCGTGAACTGACTGCAGTGGGGTCTCCTGCAGTCTGATCAAAACGAAACTCGAAGCCATCTTTAGCTTTTAAGTTGTGACAATAAATAATAAAGATAGATCCAAGCACAATCTACACACCTGTACAGATTCTGCTACACACATCTACTACGCACTCGCGTCGACCTTTACGCGATCAAAAGAGTCCATCTGATGCACATTGTCCGTCGTCACCTCGACTAGTCTCGACACATTCACACCCTCTATCCGGGGCGCCGCCGGACGGCCGCTGCCGCTCAACTCCGAGCCCTGCTTAGCGCCCGTGACCGGTAGGATGATCATGCTGAATGTGATCCCTAGTAAGCTGCATGTCTGCGCAGCTGACTGAGTCCTTGACTTATCGCGCGTGACAAGGCGAAGACTTACGGCATCTAGCACGACGTATTGCACATTGACTTCGAGCTGATGGGTGACGAGCAGGGCTATCAGCTCCGCGGAATACAGCGCAGCGGATTCGAGGAAGACGACCTGCTCTGGCTGAGTAACATGGATTCATCAGCGCGACGGCGTGACGCACCACGAGCGACGTCATCCGACTGTTCACTGCATTCATCTTGCGGACGGCGAATTGAGAGCGGAGGATCCGGTAGGCAATGAGTACTAGGTGCAGATAGGTGAATCTCCGTCAGAGCTTTGGTAAATCAGACGCACTGGTGCAATATCCGTTGGTTGCCAACGAGAGGGCGATGAAAGTCGGAATCCAGACCACCACGGGCGACAGTTCTGTGCCTTGTTTCGTGGCGTGCGTCGCATATGCCCCGCCGTATCCAGATACGATCGAACCGATCCACAAAACAATGGGAAGAGCTACGATGGGGAGAGAACTCTGCCAGATCTTGTAAGAGCGGTAAATCTGGGGAGGAGAATAAGTAAAGTATATGACCCCGGCGGTTTGTGCTAGATGCATGCGACGGACCATGAACCAGTCACCGATGAGCGTCGCGGTGACGTACAGCACGACCTTCGCGACTTCGACTGGAGAGGAGACGTTTGCGAAAAACACAGCAGCATTCGGTTCATGCATGAATGCCGTCTCGGCACGCGAGATATCCAATATCCAGTGCTAAGCGTTCAGTACATCCATCAGCCGCTAACAGAACATGGAAGGGCTCCAAAACGCACCGATACCGCAAGCAACCATATCAGCGTTATAGTTGGCAGGACGAGTCTCGCTGTTTTTTGGCTGGGGATGGCTTTGGTGACGATGAGCCGCAGCACGGTCGCGAACATCGTGGTGAAGATGCCCATCAGAAACGTCTCGATTATCAGGGAGACGAGCTGGATGGGGTTTCTCGTCACCACCGTCGCCACTAACAAGGTAATCGAGGCACTCACCCCTATTTCATCCAAAGGCACATCCCCCATGAAGGTGTGGAAAGAGCGGAACGTGATTTTTCACTGGGCACCATGGTCGCGGTAGCACTGGTCTTAAGTACCCGTGTCCAGAGGAACAGAGATCTCGTTGCCGCCCGCTGATCAAGCATTTGCCTGACGTTCTGGCCTGATGGGATTCTCAACCCACGTTAGGCAAAAGGGAAAGCAAGCGTTCAGGAACTTCGGAAGCTGCCGCCGGAGATGAGATTTTGACGTATTGCCGTTATGCCTTCGCGGATGCCGCCTGATCAGACGACGACGAAGTGCCAAACATAGGTGGGCGACCTGGTCCGTTCGACCAAAGAGAGCTGAGACTTGGATTCGCCCTTATTTCTTGGTGAATCCTACTTTATGGTGCCTTTCTGCAGTACCGAATCTGTCGTCCGGATGAAGGGTGTCGCACGGCAAAGAATTGATGAAGGACTCGAGGATAAACCGAAAGAGCCCGAGTTTGTGATAGCATGTTGTGATGCACGTGGACAGCTGCATTCGAGACAGCGCGTACTGTGGATCGACTGTTCAGAAGTCCGAGGCTGGCAGCAGAATTGATCCAAGGCAAGGCGACTGTAACCTGTCGATGGGAGGGAGACTCCACAATGATCGAACTTTGGACTTGATGTGTCATTTTCAGAAATGATCTGAACTGCGCGGAGGTTCAACACTTACGTCTTCGAGATGAACTCGGAATAAACATTCGCCCTAATCGGTCGATAACAAAGGTCTGCAACGGAAAAATGTGCTTTTCATCGTATTCCTCTGCTCTGAAATGTTTTCGAGCACTCAGATTGTGCTGCATTGAATTGATCATTTGTCAAATAGGCCGAGCAAACAAGAGAGCTCACCTCGGTTATATAGAGCTAGCTACCCAGTAGGTACCAGTCACTCGTCTGTGTCTCGTGTAAGTGTGAATGAATGTGTGACTACTCGTGACTGCTATGCTCCGCTCTACTCACGTGCCTATTCCAGCGGGAGCACTGGTCCGTTTGTCAATGTTTGCCCACCCACCCCTCTTGAAGAGGAGTCACGTGGTATGTTGCCCCCCCCTCCAAATGACCAGACGTCCCCCTGCGAACCTGCCAGGGGTCAGAACCGTGGGATTACAATCGCGAGTGAGGTGCAGCTTACCTATATGTGCTTGCCCGCCAACCAACGTGAACAGTCGTGCCTCTGTCTGATTTATGGAGGCTCAAAACTACATGCTGATAACCGAGACGCATATCAGTGATGCCATATGTTGTTGAACTACGGATCATATGTTATTATGTCAGGACCCCAAAGACCATGAGTGATGATCAGAACGATCACGTGCAATAACCTTGACGAGCTCGCTGACAAATCCATTGACCGACACTTGTCATCACGTGATAGATTGATTGTGGCTGCTTTGTCAGCTCAAGCAGCTTGCTACGTCATACTGATGTGGCCTCTGATCAATTGATCGCGGGGCCAGGGTGCATCACTGCTCGTCAATGAATAGATAGAGATACAGTACAATTATCGCTACCAATCACCCTCTGCTGCCGCTAAAGACTCCTCTTCATCAGAAAACCATGCGAATAAATCATCCGATGTGGAAGGTTCATTTTGCAAATCACCATTGACATTGGGCTCTACGTCGTCAATCATCTGGTTCAATTTAGACCGTAAGCCTTGGTCTAGAAAGTTGTAAGTCTCAGAGAACACAAAATCCAATAAGCACGCACCTAAACCATCACCTTGATTTACACCACCCATATAATATCCGCCATCTGGACCAATGACACCTTCACCTCCGCGTAGTTCCTTGAGACCGGGGATGGGCTGAATTTCGTCATTGTAGTTGTCCAATGCTTGTGTGAGCGCATAACCCCAATTCCCTGTCGCAGACAATACCGCGCAGTGGAGATACGACCAGTAGCGATCACCTATAAGACAGAGTCTCAGCGAGTGTAGAGACACAGGAGCTGAGGATATGGAGCGTATAGTACTAGGTTTATATACCAGTCTGGAGCAGATATCATGATGTCATAGTGGAGTAATGATATCATAGATGAGTAATGGATGACGCAATAATGAGGTCAGGTATGAGGTCATTGTGGAGCGAGCCAAAGTAATCTAAGAATACTACTTATGATGTCATGTCTACATACTGTGATAGTCGCTAATACAAACAAGCTTCAACACTCCCACTCGACTAAACAGTCGGATCACGAAGACCCAAAGACAGCCGATGTTGTTGGAACTTCACCCATGCCAGAGACTTTGTGAGCGTGTCGGAGATCATCGCATCAGTCGGCACATGGTAAAGTTGGACATTGCCAGCTTCGACGGATTCTCGTACGAAGTGATAGCGGATGTCGATGTGCTTCGTCCTCCTATCATGAACTGGATTTACTGCTATAAAGATAGCGCCTTGGTTATCAACACAAAGAGGCGTGGATGGCAAGTCATATCCGAGCTCAGTCAACAAAGTGCGGATCCAGGCAATCTGGCGCGTAGCATCGCTCAGAGCCATGTATTCGGCCTCTGTTGAGGACAAAGCGACCGTGGGTTGGCGTCTAGAAACCCAGGTCACTGCACAACCGGCGATGAAGAAGGAATATCCCGTGGTTGAATGCCTGTCGTCTTTGTTCTCCGCCCAATCAGCATCGGAATAACCGATAAGACCTGCGCCAGTGGAACCATCATAGCAAAGTTGGTAGTTTTTGGTGCCCTGAAGGTACCGGAGTATGTATTTTGCCATGTTCCAATGATGTTCTGACGGGTTGCTGTTGAACTTTGATAGACGGATGA